TGACCAATGAAAACACAAATTAATATGCAGCTGGGGAGGAAAAGCAATTTTGCGCAGTTAACCGCGCATTGCTGATGGCGCTTACAATAGAACTGTCCCTGCACCTGAGATGACTGTAATATCAGATGTCTCGTGTCACCTCCCTCAAGTGGCGTTGCGCTGAATGAGGGAGACAGCGGTGGTGAAGTCGCTGAAAGATCCGCTTCCACGTCAGTGAGAGTGTAATCACGCAACGGCCCCATTTTTTCTTTGCATTGTTTTTGAATAGGTGTTGTTCAATGCCATCTTCTTATCTAGCCCTTTCGACCAAAGGAATCGGAGAAAGTGTTACTAGGAATTCAAATTTTAGCATATTTTCCTTGAAATCCGGAAAGTACCTGTCTTACCTCCCTTTTTCTCTAATTGTGATTTGCAGGAATAATTAAAATGTTTAACATGTGGCATGGAGGATACATGAGTTGCAAGATTGAAAAAAATTCATGAGGCGCAGCACAACGCAAGCCACTGGTCTCTGAATTCGTCAGCCTCGTGCAATTTTGATAGGCGATCTCTGGTGCTGACTCGCAACAGCAGGCAAAGCATTTTACCGAAATCCCTAATTTGGGGCGCGATTCCACAGATTTACTTTCCAAGCACTGGTATAAGAATTTGTCTTGAAATATTCATTCTTTGACTGGTCAAATTTTTGTTCAATGAAATTATCCCAGGTTGGTCCCGTGAGTTCAAGGCAGAAGCACTCTCAAGAAGTGGGAAGACAATGTGACTCGCTATGAGTACAAGGCAGGCTGCCAGGAGTGATCCACAACTTACGCTGCTGCTGACTGGCGTGTTTAGTTTAGTCACAGTTGTCAACACAATAATTGACGCTCAGTCACCTCCTATGTACCAAATTTTGGCATTTAGATGTCCTGAAATCGACAGGAAATAGAATTATGTAAGCATTGCTTGCAACAGAAAAGTGAATCAGCTTGCATAAAGATATATCATGCCGACACCTGTTAAACCATTTGGTAGTCATGACCACGAAATACAACCAACAATCTGTCTTACCAGGTAATGCTGGCCAAATTATGTCACTCAATTTTAAAAGCAACAAATGCACTACACTTATTTGGTTAAAAGCTTGTTAATATTGATGCAATTCGTTATAGCAATAGCGCCACTACGGAAATTTAGGCTTTCCTTAATAATTTTAGGTGGTCTCAAGCATTTCTTCATGCTCTCACAGGAGGCCCTTTTAGAGCGGCAAGCTAAGGAAAGCCTATGAAGGTACAGACCGTCCTCAAGGTAGCACAAGCGATGCTCCTCACACTTATTCCAAAAAGAAGGCACGCAAACTTGTGCGTTTTAAAGGTGAAACACGGAGACGAACTCCAATGAGGGAATGCAAATCAAGTGAAGAATGTGCATTCCGCACTTCACTCCTGTAGGCCAAACACGTGACAAGTGGTTGTCTGGCTAGCTCACTGCCTGCATCAAACGGCTTCTTGGCAGTATGCGAAGACGTGCATCAAAACCGAATTCTCGCCCCTTACTTCAGCGACACGATTTCGCGGGCCATTAACTTTAAGTCACAAATTTATGTAAAAAGGCTGAATAGTGAAAATAGCCGGACCTATACTAAAAAAATCCCGATTCCCGTTTTTCTTTAAAGACATTGTATAAAGTAATTGAATTTGGTGTAATGTGGGAGTCCAAAAACAGGTCCCTTTAATCTGCGTACCCAAAGTTATGCAATAACTTAAATGTTATAGTCAACGTTAATAGAGTAGTTTGCCATATAACAATGCAAGTTAACAGCCAAAAGTCAAATAATTGACTTTGGAAGTCTGGAATTAAATAAAACTACATTATTCATGCCCCTTACATGAGAGGAGCGCACAGTGCTCTAATCATAAGCATTTGGCTTCAAAGAGTAGAAATCCTTTTAATTCTCGAATAAACATTTAGCCGACTGTGAGGTTTGAACAATGGCGCGAGTTGCGCCTATTCTTGTGGCTACTGAGAGGCCTATGAGTGGAAGCAAGGGAGGGCAGACTGAAGCCCGTCTGACCAATGCACTATTAGAAACTGATGACATGTACGTCACACACGACCATAAATAGCACACATTTACGTCGAATAGGTTGTTTAACTTTAAACTAGGCAGGATGGAGGGGACTGGTGGAAAAGCGAGGTGAAAAATGGCTTGTGGAAATGCACCGATCCTCACAATGCTTAAATTGCCTTCTCGGTATAAGATGGCATCCCACTTCCTCCCTCCATCATTTGTGACAGATGCAAAGTCGCATGTCTCGACCTCTCATGCTTCTCGATGAAAATTCGCATCCTAATTTAAGTGTCCAAACTACCAATTTGTGATGTGTTTACTGGACTGGATGAGTAATACGGACACTACAGTTAATTAATCAAAAGTTTGTTGGGCACTTGTCCCTCCGAGTCCTACCTCTAACCAATTTCAACAAAAGACTCACAATTGCAAATGCTCTCTACTAAGACTACTTTGAACCGTTAAAGGCATTCTGTGAGCTTTCTCATAGAACAGTCTGGAATGCTAATTGTAAAGGACACAAGACCCTCTTTTCTTGTTCTGCAAAAAGGACTCATTAATAATCTATTCGCCACTTCTTACAGGCAATAGGAAACCATAATTACCGTTATGATTATATTACCGTTGCCCTGAGTAAAACTGCAATGCGACACAAAACCCACGCATCCGTGCAACAAACCAGGTTCAAAGTTTTGCATTTATGTTACTGCATTCTCCCATCTGATTCACTCGCCTCTCTTTACTTAGTTGCACTTCATCAAAAACCCTTTGCCATAATTTTTTTGTGCGCAATGATTTCTGCGAACTTATCGGTATTACCGAGATTCGCAATTGATGATCTTAAAATATTTGATATTTATTCGTAATTTGTTGCTGTTTAACTCCTGCATAAAGTGCACTACTTTTAGTGTAGTAATTTGAGCTCTTTGACAAAGTTAAACTACTCATTTAATCGCCTGTGAGGAAATGATCGGAACGATGCCGCCCAAATTTAGGGTAGAGAGATGAAAAATGAGAAACAATGGAATGCTTCCAAATGGTAAGCCTTGTGTAGGAATGGTGGAAGCGACATCCTGACGCCTGGACGAGTGGACCACACCGAGTGCGTAAAAAAAATGACGAAATAGACTGGACTTTCCATCTTTCAACCATGAAAATGGAGGAGCACTTATGTTGTCGACTAAGAGCCTTGCCGTGCTTGCCATGACTTCCAGAGGTATTGCCGATATCGATGCGCCAGTAACCAAGGTCGTCAAATCAACCTTTTAAAGAAATCGTGACTTATCCGGAGTTCAGAATCCACGCGTCACGAACCCTCTTGTCTCACAGCTTCAACGCAATAGACGTGCGACCGTGTTTGTGGAGTAGTTGGGGCACCACCCCACGTAATGCCTCTTTGATCCAATGTTATGATGCGAAGTTTCATCTAGTCAAATTCCAAGTTGGCAGTCCACCTAACCAAACATAAAATGCATCAGATTAAGCATTTTGAGCCTCTCTTATTTTCCCACCGCACTATCAAATGAAGACGCAAGTAATAAAGAGTTTCTAACCAGTTGCTTTATCCCAACATTCCATTACAAATTAATTATTGATAATCAGAAGCAATAAAACTTGGAGCCGTTTGTGATTTGAGTAATGGCATCATTAAAGTTTACCGAATTGCCTTTGAACTAATTAGATGATAATTCTTGGGCAGTCTCCCAATTGTTTTCCTTGCGAGGATAAAACGATATCACACTGAGCATGGTTAATAATGACGAAACTTGCACTTGCATTATCAGGCAATCTCAGTATTTTTTTCTGGGGCACTAGATTTTTGATCAATTGATTCGGAAACATTTGAGGCGATGACAAAGCAGCTAATTATTTGGGTATTAAAACAATTCGACCGTCTCCATTCATACCCTAATACGTGAATTGGGTAAACCGGGTAGATTGTACAATACCTTGGTAGACGCATGCAAAATTTATGCTCGAAAGGTCCCAAGATTTGACTATGCTGCATAAACAATGCTTTGTTTGAATGGTTATATTGGTTAACATATTGCTCTGGTTAGCAGCGCTGGCATCCTGTATTCTACTAAAATAATATGTCTTCTCCTGTCCTTAAAATTTCTAAGACCGTAATGCGATTTACATTTTAACGGTTTTCACCACTGCATGTGCAAAAACATTTGGATATGGATGCCGTATGGATGGCACTAAGGGACGATCAGCACAAGGGACATGGAACATCCTTGATCTTGACACTAGTCAACAAACTATGCGTATTGCAATTCATGCCAACTTTAAAATTAACTTGTCTATGCTCAACTGCCAACATAGATGTATTTCGATGCTAAAGGATTGACAAACGTAGTATCTTGAATGCGTCGTCAAGATCCCGAAATATTTCAAAGGGATAAAACAGCAAGATCTGAGTTTCTACACAGTTTGCCTAAGGCTAACCGTTTTTCTCATAGGTGAAATTCTCCCATACAAACAGAGAAGGTATCACGAAACGCTCCGCACAACAGTTATAAATTAAATCGAAGAACAATATGCTTAGTACTTAAGTCGTTAGTTTCATGGTCATGTATGCCCAAAATACCATGCAAATGCAATATAAGTGTTCTCTAAGCGTAAGTCTCGAGGCAACATGGTCGAAGAAGACGGGTTTTGTAACCAAGACGGTAAATAAGTAGCAAGCATACAAAAAAGATAGCGATGTGCCACATTGTACAATAATAGATTATTCAATTATTAACAAACTGCCACTTTGGATACGGATGTTATGCCAAGAAATTATAGCAAAAAAATTACCATAATTACTATATATTGTACTTAGCAGAAATTCTGCTTATTTAGCATTTGATTTTTGGACAATTCAATCAAGATAAACGATCGTTTAGATTGTTGGATCTTAAGCGGTGTAAGCAGACGCATAGGGCTACGTCTCAGGTCAAGAATGAGTGGTGAAGTTCAGGTGCGTTCATCTCTGCTTTTTCGCATGAACGATGAATTGTTTTTGCCTTTGGTTATCTGCTAGGGTTCTTTTTGTAGGGTATTGAGCTGCTATTTAGGATTCCTCCAAGTAAACTTATTGAGCTCTTCCCCCATTTGAACAAGCATTTTCCTGGGCTTTTTGGATTCGATTCTCCCGAGCGTCTTTTCCCGCTAAGTATCGAGAGAGACTCGAGTGTGAGGACCTTGTCAATGCTCTTTGATGGAGTTCTGATACCTAGCAGTTTGCTTTCTTATGTAATTGTTCATGATTGTTGCGCCTTAGTGACATATTAATAGGTGCTTATACTTAAATACACATGCTGTCCCTTCGTTTACTTTTCATTCATTTTTTGTTTTCACCTAGGCATTCATTTTCTACTCTTAGAATTGCAAGTACATATGTTGTGATATAAATCGATTCATGGGCTCCACACGATCACCTTGGACGGGTGTCTTTCACCCATCTGTATCAGATCCTCCCTTACTCAAAGAACAACACAGACAGCTTGAAGAGTTGCTTAATGCCGCCTTTTCATATTATGTCAAGTCGTAAGCCCTCGATTGCTTTACCTCATTACACCTGTATTCCACTCTATGTTGCTTATCCCTCCTATCACGTTTTTTTGAAGATATTTTATCTACATGTGATGGCTTTGGCTCACTTTTAGATATTATCATTCTCAAGACACAGTTACATCGGTTTATTGTCTTGGTCGAGATGTGGGCATCCTAATATGTGCTTTGATCAAATCGCCTTTGGTGGATATTGTGTACCTAATTGACGTCAAAGTAAGCTGTCGTCATTCCCATCTCTTTTTCTGCATTGTCTCTTCGCCTAGTTTCACATTTCTTGAAGCAAACTTCTCTCGTTTATAGTTGCCTAGTTTCATTGTGAATCAAGTGATTTTTAAAATGTTTACTGTTTCTTGGAGTTACCTAGTATTTTCTTGGATTCCATACCAAGCAGAGGTTAGTTGGTTCGGCCATTTACAATCTTTCGGTCGTCTATGCAATCAAACTGATGAAGGACGAGTTTTCAACTACGGAGATTGATGATCTTTGCTTCTCTTTTTATCTCCGACAAAATCGGACTGAGGAAGCAAAGGTGTCGGCCAACATAAATGAGGCTCACGTCAAGAATATTGGCGTCTTAATAGAGGTAATTCTTTTTTAAGTCATGCTACATTTGTCTAATTGGACACTTTTGTTCATGTTAGCATTCGTTTTCCTGGCAGGAAATAATGCCATTTGCATTGTTTGGAAAATATTTATGGCTTATAAATATCACTGTACCATTTTTTTCAAGGCAGTTAATGCGAAATTCCTTCATTTTTTAGGAAGTAGATAACGATGTTTTCGCCAGACTCAAAACCGTATATCCTATGCAAACGAGGGTAATTCTTCAGAATTTGCGTACTGATAACTCCAAAGTTCCACCAAAATCGACAATTGCCTTCAAAGAGGAACTTTCGGCTGCATTGTTGCCCCGTAGCAATGTGTGATTCATCGATACTTTCGCAATTTTACCTAACTTTTGTTCCGATTTGCTTGCTGACCACTTGATTCTTTTTCTTCTCTACTCTGGTTTAGACAATCATTTTATGTCCACTGTCTTCCTCCAAAAAAACATAAGTACTACTGGTTTGTCTTTGGTTCTCATTTTGCTGTGCTGATCCCTGGCATATGTGATGAAGGCTAAAAGGCTGTTGTAGGCTCATTCGCAACGACTAGATGGCCACTTACGAACGTGCGAGCACCTCTCCCGGTGGGCGGCCTCAAATATTCGTGATGTACGGCGCATTCGGCTCCTCTTGATGAGCCTTCTTGACAGGTCTACCGCCGATTCCTCCGAGACTGACGCCCAGGAGGAGGGCAGACAGTTTGATGTGAGTTCAGAGGTCAACGACGTTGAGGCATCCATTAGGAAAATAAAGTCAGTCCCAAAGTCACAGTTTTTCCTGCTTGAGAAAGGTGCATTCAGCTTTTAAGTAAATCCATCTTTAGGTTAGCTTTGGATAATCTGGACAAGTCAGCAATTAAATCCAAAAAACAAATGGACAATCGTTCCTTGTTGCCATACAATTTAGTCCTTCCTCTTGACCAAATGGACGTCCAGGTGGAGGATGGGGACTCACTGCGTCGTGTCGATTGGCTTGTTGGTCGAAACGAGGCTTGTCGTTGGCTGCGTCGAACAAACTACCGAACAGAGGCTATTCAACTCAGTCTGGCTAGTTGTGGTCGGTTTATGAGGTATTTTCTGCGTTGTTATGTTCCTACTTCTCAAAGCATTGCAGCTATTATGTGAGCATGCTGTTTTTTTCGATAGAAATACTACTCTCGTTCCTCTTTCCTCGGCCATGGATCTGAGGAACCTGGCAGCACCACATATGAGCTTTGCATTGATTGAGCCAAATTCTCGTAATCCAATTCTTTATGTAAAGGTAAGGCTAAGGCTTTTATCGCATACTTTTTTTTGTTTTTTGTACTAAAACAGCCTATTGCATACAGGTAGGGGATATTATGCACTGTCTCATCAGTTTTGGTAATCTCTGTATGGAAAACATCATTGTGCGTGGTCTAGACGAGTCGCATTGTGCGCCTGGTTACACACCACGTTCACGAACGGCAAATTCCGGACCGTTTTCTCGAGTTTCTCAGGCCATGTCTGATCTACTTTGCTCTCGAGTAATCAGCGGCTTCTCTGCCAATCTTCTACCGAATGCCGATAATGTAAATTTCTTCGAATGATTTTTACTAGTTCAAACATAATCCTTCTGCTGTATAATGCTACATGTTTCCATGGGGCGTGGTTCCTTCAATGTGGCTGCTAACCATTGCAATGAACTTTTTAAAATAGTTATTGTGCTGCCTCCCCCATCTCACGTCATCTTCCCCATCTTTGATTCGTTTCTCTGGTCTTTGTAAATTGAAGGTGATTAAGTATTAACAACGCCTTGATGTTGAGGTCTATTCTTGTCTCCATTAGATTTCGGACAGTGTGTTGCCGACAGCCAGTCAATTGGACCTCACAACACCCAGTCGCCATGTAACCTTTGTGAGGGTGACAGAAGCGGCACGCAACGCGTTAGTACATTTCGCTACTACCACCGAGCCACCCACCCAACTCTCGGCGTTGCATCAATTCTGTGACTGGCTCCAAACATATACCCGCCTCTTCACGGAGCCCTGCGCGAGCTGCGAGCAACTGTTGGGCCAAGATGCTGCCCTACCCGTCCTTCGCACCTTCCATACAAATCCTGCCAACGCTCGCGCACAGCATGAACAGTGCAGAGTCAATGCCTCACCTAGTCTCGCCTTTTAAACGCCTGACTTAGTGTATAAACAAACGTTTTTTTGTGAACGTAGCAGCGGAACTATTCCTACTACATATTGATGTGCACAAATTCTACTCAAGCATTATGTCCTCCTTTGCCTTCGTTGATGAGAGTAGGGAGCAAGTTCGACTAGGCAACGGCCCCTATTCTGGTTTCATCGTTTGTGGCAAATTTTAACAGCACAGAATAGTGCATATGCTACAGATGGAGGAATCATAGGCGTCTCCACGACCATGCCTTTATTGCATGTGTGCTTGATTAAGGACACAGTTGGCTGGTGGGTGCTTTATTTTCAGTATTAGCAGCGTCATGATGTTGGCGCTGGTTTACCAGGGCACGCATAGTGGGGGGGAGCTATACAATGCTGCCTTTTTCAGTCACTATGATCTGGATGGCCATATGACCTCTGGTACGTAGGCTAACTTAAAGCCATTATTGTCGCATCGATTCTTTTCTGTCTGTTGAATGCATAGTCTATTTAGAATAAGGCATTGCGGAAAGCTAAGTACACTCCAAATTGATGAATTTGTTGTAAAATGGAACAGGAAAGCAATTTTGGTAAGTAGTGGTGCTACTAATCGCTAAGTATAATTTCATGCTTGTCAGGACTTGGTATAGCGGATGGTGTCATTACCATTATATAAAGCAACTATGCTAAATGTTTTTATTAACAATAAGTTACCATAAAGAAAAACTTAATTAATTTTAATGGGTTTATTTAAACAAAAGTTAAATGTTAAAAAGTTTTTAGAATTAGTTATTTAATCGGCGCCTTAGACAAGATTTTTTAGTCTAGGACTCGATTGGTGGAATTCGCGTAAGGGGGTCGTTATGCAAGCTGCATCGAAAAAAGTATTTTTTGTGTTCTTTACATTTGTAGCCACAAAATCGACTCAAATATATTCAATCCGAGCACTTTTCAAGGCTAGTGTCAAAGCAAAATAGTGAGACAGAACTACTTGAAGATATGAGGTATGCTTTAAAGTGGTTTATTTCCCAGGAATTTTTGTAAACAAAGGGCGATTTTGGACAAAGAATATGGGCAGTCATTACAGAAGCTGTGTTCTTCTTTCCTTGGTAAAAGGGAATTCTTGGCTCTCCAGAATCCCCCCAACACTGGGTAGATGGAAGTCCACTTCATTAATCCTTGTAGACACCGTTCCGTATGGGATATCTGGAAGTCGTTTCTGCGGGAATTCAACGCCCTTGCTCTGTCGCATTTAAAATTGGCTGAAGTACATCATCGACTTAGCCTAGAGTTTAAACCTATCAAGTCTCTTCGTGTCAGTGTATCGAAGCGGATATTTGAGCAACTTAAGTCGCTTCAGGTTTGTCTTTGATGATTTACTCTTCTTTTGAGCAATCTGAACTTAGCTTTTACCACACCGTATCCTTTATGCATTTCGATTTTTTGTGTAGGTTGACGAAAGCTCGTCTCCAGTGCTTCACTATATTTGGACTGTATTTGTCTAGATTTAGCATATTTAGTTCATTGAATTAATTTGTTACGTCTTCTTATAAAACAACTTTTGTAATGTCCCACATAACAGTTGCCTGGAAATGTAGACATCTTGAATCAAGTTAGTTTTAGCACCAGTTATTGCATGATGTTTCCTTGCTGCACTCAGAATGATTTGGCTGCATCTATGCAAGAGATGGTAAAATCGCAGAAGATCTACTCTGAAGAGGAGAAACAGGCTCATGAAACGCGGCTGAAGGCTATGAACATTGAAGACAAATTGCGTCGACGTTCGACTAATCTCTTCAATTCTATGGCTCAATTGCATCGCAATCATGTCAAGGTAGTTATTCCTCGTATTTGTCCTTTCAGTGTCTTAGAATTAAACACTGACCTGTATCCGAATCTATACTATCAAAATTGATAGGGCATTTGGTAGTCTCTCTTAATTATAGATTTCTCAAAGACGAGATGAATGCGAGAACCGATCTGCGGGAGCTCGAAATGAATACCTTTTTCAATTAACTGCAATAAACGCGCATCTTGATCACTACCTGAAAACTGACATTCCAGATCTCGCCCAGGTAGGATAACTTTGGGTTCATATACTTCTTCGAATGTTTGGAATTGGGATGCGTTAAAATGGGGTACTTTTTCTTTGTTTATGTCGAAGCACTAGCTATGTACTTATTCCGCAGATTAGAAGGCTGTCTTTTAGTGATTTGCTGGTTAGTAACAAAACACGTAGCTATAATAGTAGATTATGTGGTTGATTTTATTTTTGCAGCTCAAGCTAAGTGATATGTAGAATTGTCCTTTCATGGACCTTATCAGAAATAAAACCTCCAATTTATTTTCATTCAACCGTGCATTTCTTGATAATTCATTGAATACGTTTTAATTTGCCAATGCTTTTGCTTCGTCTGATCTCGGAATTCCAGCATATTCACAAAGAGACGTCATTATAGTCTAACTTACTTTTTCTTGGTAAAATTCTCTAAATGGTCTAACTGTACTTACATTACCTTCCAAAAGAAACATTTGGGTTTGAATAATCCTTAAAGCGTGCATGCATTCGTTGAGCTCAGATTATTTCGACGTTTATAGAGATATGAAAACTTTTTTAGGCCTTTAAGTGTAAAAAATTTAAGCTGTCTCCTTCTCCCCAAAAGCCGTTCCAACCACCTGAGTTCCTCCTTTGCGTGTGCGAAAAGTGCCCCCTTGCCGTTATTTGTGTACAGCATACGGCCTTTCTTAGTGCGTTTCACGGTAGGGGCTACAATAATGCATAGCGCTCTTCGGCAGTACAATTTGATCTTTCCATGAAAAGGCATTCCAACGCAATCGTATAGAACTAGATACCTCGTAAACTTGCGCTTGCGAGGGTTTGTTATCGACAGATGCGACGAGTTTCCGAATAGGGCAAAAGTAACCTCTGCCGCTTCAATCCCATGTAGCCTTCTCCATCTTGCAGGTGAAACTTAATTTTTAACAGCTGTTATAACTTGACTTCAAATTAAGGGTAAAAGTGCATTCTCACACGTGTGGGTATGTGAGCCTTGTTTATGCATTTCCAATGGGCAAATTTGTAAGGCCATAGCGTTGTCTTGGAACAGTAGCCCTATAAGTGTCATTATCTATATGTTTTCGGAAGAATATGAAACTTAGTAGAAAATATGGTGCATTTACGTCAGAATATCAGTTCTAGAGCTTGATTTGTGCAAATGTATGATCCGCATTTGAATTTGCGTTTGAAAGTTGTTTTCTGTTTTTGACATCTTTTCTCATAAAATTTTCTTTTATGCACCTTTCCTTGAAAAGGGCATGTCTTGCTTTCGCTTCTACATCTTATCAATAGGAAGCATTAAATGGATGCTGAAAGAAATGGCTTTATGTCACTTTCACGGTAGATCTTGGATGGTGATGTCTACGACCGGTTTCGTGAGGTTCTTTCTAAAACTAGTGAAATGGAACTCGACATCTGTCGGCACCATCAGGATCCGTTTAAGACTCTGTTGGAAGAGTCGTCAAAGGTATGTCAAATGGCACGGAATGTCTGAACCGACGACTTAACGGAAAGTGATTGCATAATTGTCTCTGTTTCTTTCCACTGATTCCCGATAAAGGGACCTTCGATATAAGCGTGGCTACTTTTGGAATTATATGGTACACTAAACTAACCGATAAATCGCTTTACGCATTCATTATAAGGCGTATAAAACGCGCTGTTTTGATACCATTTTTGTTCATACAAATACGTCTATGCACCCTCTTTTGTCAGTATATGCACACTTATTTTGTCAATACCAAACCTATGACTACTTGACCTTTGATTTACCACTTTCAAGTGCGTAAATAGATTAGCATCTTTTTTCAGATTAATCGGACGACTGCCTGGGAAAACTTCATTAAAGAATCGCCCATTTTCTCTGTAGACGTTGAATTTCATTTCGAACCTCGAGATGGTGATACTGTAAGTCTGGCATCCTATGATTTTTATCAGAACTATCGGTATTAACTGTGGAATTATTGATGACTTCTGCTTACTTTTAATTTGAGCACTTCGTCTCACCTTTGAATTTGTCATATTGCTATGTGTTGCACCGTTCTGCTTCATGCGGTATGAAATTACGGTTCTGTGGGCAGCTAACTGATCTGCCATTCGGTAGACTTCAAAACTTTTATTAGCCGAATGGGGTTAAACTCAAAATGTTGTCGTTCAACATCAAAGCTTTTGCCTTATTTCCCGTGAAAGACCATTCATAAATGGCACTGTCTATGTTCGAAGAATTGCACTTCTTAACAATGCTTAATAGTGGAGATTGGAACCGTCAGCTTGACAGCTCTAGGTACCCCCGGTTTTAATACGTTAAATCGTTCAATACGGAGACTTAAACAGGGTTGATGTTTCCCTTAGCTTACGCTGGCAAATCACGTTCGAAGGACTTATTAAGTCTGTTTCGTTTCATAAATGCTATCGATGCTGCGCTACTTGTAAAACATTGCATGGTCTTCCAGTCGATCCCATCATCAACTAACGTTAGTAGTCATTGAAAACTTAAACTTCGTGTTGACAGGTTAACGTCTGCATTTATCAGACCCCATCAGATATTGTGCAAATTATTATTTCTTCCATTCAAACGCACCAAGTAGGCATTGCCTTTGGACGTGTTAAATATTTGGTCGCGTAAATCGAAGGCATCAAATTTCGTATAATCCATACCTAGGGAGAAGAATGAGCAGGTTAAACTTTTCCCTTTCACGTACATGTTTTCATCGTGCAAACGTGTATACTTCAGTCAGTCGCCCGTTTTAAAAGTTATTTCTTCTCTCCCTCCCGATTAAGTATGTGATTATTTTTGTTGCCTGCTCTGATATCAACTCAATTGCTAAAATCTGATGCCTCAATAGAAATTGTGTTTCCTTTACTAACGTCCACTCACACATAAGTGCTCTTTGTTAAAAACAATCATTCTCTTGATTTGGGGGTCGATTTGGCCCATTTGCTACCATTTACTATTTCATCATGCCTCAAGACTCCTCTTAAGTCTCATTGCCGTAGTGTTTTTTTGACTATAACTCTAAGCTAGTGTCTTGTAAGAACTTGCTACGTCTCTCTCGCCTTCTGTCCTATGAAAACGGGGCATGTGGTAATCACTACGGGAAAATTCTAAATTAATGAGCTCCTCTGTAAGCAATCTTTATAGGTCGTTTCTAACTGAACTAAAAAAATTGGGCTCTCTGACATTTAAGTTTGCTTGTAATGTCACCAAAACCTGGTCCTTTGACTCCATTAAAAAACAGTTAAATTTTCCATATGCCTTAGTTTCTTCAATGTTAACAGTTTGAATAGGGATAACTTTTCAATTTGTTTCTCTTGCAATGTATCTGGTCTTCTTGAATTAAAAGAGTTGTTGTTGAGGGTATGGGGCACAATATTTGCAAAAAATAAAGTTCTTTACTCCATAACACACCATAGCTGAAAAATATGATTTAATTTCCAGTTTTTTACTGGTGTATTGAGTTACTGATTAGAAAATCAGTTTACTAGTCTCCGTTTATTAAGTCGATTCTCCAATGGATTCCATCAGTAACGAGTAATTTCACTAAACCTCGTATTTGATGGCTCTCAACTGCCTTAACAGTGACAGCTATTCCGTTTTGTAAAGCTGAGACTGCACAGCCAAGCATTCATTTCAGCTCATTTACTTCCTTTGCTCACTCCTGAAACATACTTTCACATACATACATACTCTTCACAGATATCTTCGTTGTTGTCAGTGAATGCGAAAGAGGGCAGCTTTGATCAAGTGGCTAAGAAGCTCGCTCGTCGCTTTGTTACTCGAGAGCGGCGGATCAAGTCCTACCGGGATGAGATCAACGACCTCTGTTCGGGTAGGATTAGTCCCTCTCCTGGGATGAGCGTTTCTCTGAGTCAGGTGTGCTCCTTCTCCTCCATCTGAAGTGCTGAATCCCCTTTATAAAACTCCCATGCCAAGAAATTATTTTTAATCAGCCTTTTACACTAGTTACAATGAGGTGGTCGTTTCAGTTTACTTTTGGCGGCTGACTTAGTTAGACATTTCCTTATTTTAAATTGTGTTTATTCTAGTCCATTTTCTATACTTTTGGGATACCTTTCTGGTTGTTATTGAAATACTTGAACCTCCTGTTTATGCTTTAGCTTTATACCAAAAGCCATCCGAGTAGCTTCCAGTAACTTTGGTCGAAGCTAGTCTTTTCTCGCCCCAGAACCTTTGACTTCCAAGGGGGTCTTTTTCTTGAATGAAATCTTCATTCTCCTCCTTTTTGAGTCTTGAGAGACTACAAAGCAAGTTCATCAATTTTACCTAGGCTGTCTTCCTTGGGCTGATTTATCTGTTTTTCAATAATCATGCCACCACTGCCTTTAGTAGCTGGTGGCTCTGGGTATTCCACCTCGAAAGAAATGAGCTCTCATGATCATTAGTCGCATATGCTAGACAGCTAGTTACTTCGGCCAAATTGTTGCTCCCATCATATTCATCTCCTGGCTGTTTGTGCGCGCTTTTCACGCAGATCGAGCAATCCTTGCCCCGTCTAGCTCCTTTTCTTTCGTTTCTTTGAAGCAGGTACCACCGCCACCACGAAAGTTTCCTCTAAAGGTTAGTTTTCATCAGCCCACTGCTTGCACTTTCGTGCTCTCCGTTTTTTCACTGCTTTTGCTTTTTTTTGCACTTTACGGTCACGAAGCTGAGAAGTCGAAGTCAGTCCAAAACATTGGGTGTAGATATGGCCTTTTTATCAATTCCTTAATAAAAGGAAAGCACCATTGGTAAAGCACGCCGGGATGTTCGCGTTTTAGCACTAGGGTTCAAATCGAGTTAACAATTGAACTATTTCCATGGCAATTGGCTTTCGTGCTTTTGCGAATTGCTGCCAATGTCTCCTTGGCTTTTATCTCCATTAATACTCACGGTTTTCTCGATTCTTGTGGATCGTCTAGGATTATGATGCTAACGAGGAGAGTGGCGCCTTGAATCAAGAGTACGTCGAGAACAAAGTTGAGGAGTTAGAATTTGCGATTCGACGTGAAGAGGTAAGGAAAAGGCAATCAATTTATGGCCTTTATTTTCGCATATTTTTAAATTAAACCGCCACGTGTATTGTTTTTCAAATTAATTGCAAACTGTCTCTGGATAAATAAACTATCCCCTCTTTCACCTTCCCCCCATCTTACCTATCTCCTCTGGTCTGGTGTCCACTGTCATATCACTAGGATTTCTACCTACCTTTTGCGACATTCGAAGATTAAAAGCATTTCGCTGTTGTTCAGGCTCAATCCAATATTAAAACAACAAATTTTAGTTTAGCGGCAAGCAAGTCAATTGCATTGCATCTTAAAAACTGGCGCTGTCATTTCGCCCCAAAATAAAGCACAATTTGCATTGTAATCGCAATCCTATGGCACACACTATGAATTTTAGATAATGCACAAACTATTCCACTACATGGGGTTGTAGGCACTGTGCTTGAGGAGCCCCTCATTGCGTTCCTCGAACCGCAATTTAGGAGATCCGTTGGCGCTACTCACTCCCTTGACGTTTGTACTTGCTCGTCTCAGTGGTAAACCTACTATTCAATGTTCAAAAGCCTCATCTCAAACTCCCTTTTAACAGTTTAATTATGCTTACTAATAAAAGATTAGTTAGTGGAAAATCACTGCCTGATCTCTTACATCTCGATTTTAAAGTTACGTTACAGTCAAGCCCGGAGGTTAGGCTCTGAAATTATATATTTTTTTCAATCTTCAATTAGCATTTTTAATTCTGCCATGGGGGATCTTTTTGTCTCTCAAAGCGAGGGGAGGATTTTCCTTTTTTGCTAAGACTTAAATTTAAGTTACTATGGCAACACAACCAATCTATTCTCATTTCGGTATGGGTAATGGTTCTGAACACAGCGTCATGGCTATTTCAGCTGTATCAACGTCTGTTTTCATTACCAACAAACTCATAAATTGTGCCCTTCACTGACATATTTTGGCTCCGTCTCAAAGAAATACCGCTTCATCTGAATGATGCAGTAGCTGGGATTATCCACCATTCGTGTGACTTTTTTGCTCCTTAAACTAACGGCTTATTTTAAAAATGTGCCAATTGTTACCTCCTCCGGAATTCTCTATAACGCGATCAGGTATGGCTTTGGACCATTCGTGTCCTTTTGAGACGCGAACTAGGTCTTTCCAACCTCTTAATGCATTATCGCTAAAGTAAAATGAGAACTTTCAGATTGAAGTAAATGATTGTGGTTTCCACTTTCTCAGAAATTCGTGCCTAATTTTCTTTGTTGCAGATTGAGAAAACGAAAATCAGCGCCTGCTTGGAGCTACTGAAGAAAACGCATGGTAGGTTGTCCTTTCTCAATTTGACTCTAAATACCCGTAAGTCGGCCGTTCAACAATGCTAGTCGCGCATAGTCGTTGATAATTTTCGGCCCACCTTGGTCTTCTCAGTCAAATTAAGTTCACTTTTGTAAGATGCACTTTTTTTGTTTCGGTCTTTCCATGCAAAACATTCAAGTTTTAACCATATTGTAAGCGGCATTCATTAAAGAAATGCATCGAGGTGTGCTGTAATTCCAGATTTAGGAGAGGTTAGCTCCCTTCTACTTTGCACTCGATAACATCATCTGTTTGAACTTTATCGAAAATCCTTCCCTTCTTGCATGGATTTATCAATTTCTGCTTAAATTTCCAAACCACTTCTGGAATGGGAGGTATAATAATGGAAAGTGTTCATTTGAACCTTGCATTTCCATCATGGGTGCTAGAGCTTTTTAGTCAAGCCACACATAGTCTGCATCGCAAAAGTCAGACGCACATCTCATTCAGTTTCCAAGTTCCTTTTTTCAATGAAGTGGAGGCATTTTCATTGTGTGCAACAGATGGTGACAATGATCCAGCTATCCTTGATTTTCAAATGCTGCATCTAAGTGCAACTTTTTTTGGGCCTAAACTGCAGCTTGCTTTTGTTTCGGCAGTTGAATGCGTCCATTTGATTGTGTGTTTTGAATTTCGTGGAGATGGTCGTGCGTGTATTTGAATTAGCAAAGCTAGCTTTATTTATTCTGCTTTTCCGCGATCTCGGCCTCCACCTTATGCAATGCTTACTCAAGTCCATGCTGGTGTTTTTAACGTAAATGCGAACGAACTGAATTATTAGTCGCCAAATTTGACTCGATTGATACACGCTAATGCCTTCCTTTTGCCTTTCGGCACACCTTTGCATAACCTTTTTATCTCTGCAGGATGGCATGCTTGAGAGTGATAATCACAAAGAATGGCCAACTCCGTCATTAGCGTGCCGATACAGGTCGTGATTTGCATTGCTTGAGGAATTTTAACATGAGTTCGTTCATTACTGTCTCAAAAATGAGGTCTTGTTCGCAATGAATTATGGATTATCTGGCAGTGGATGGAATTCCGATGACGGATGGGATCGTGAGACTTCTTGCTATGACTGTGAAAGTCACTACGAACTTCAACGATACGTCCTCTTTGCGTGTGGCGTTTTAAATTGACAATTGACTTTCTGTTATTAGTGTGCATCAATGCAATAATTAAATGCAACAACCACCAACGGAAGAATCATTTTAAGCCTTGTGATGAGTACCGATGGGACCGTAAGCCTTCCTGTGCCTTTCTTTTGTTAGTGGATGTGCAAGCTGCCCTGTACGAGGCGAATCTAGCGGCGGCAGAGGTAGAAGCTGCAACGGCGGGAGGAGGAACGACGGTGGCAGAGAAAACTCACCACGGTGCGAGTTCAAGTTCCACCGCAGCCACGGGAAGCAGTTCAACGGAGGGTAGCACTGTAGGTCTTACAGGACTGCTGACTGAATCTGGTCAGCACCGAAGCTCTGCTCTTCTGGAGGGCTCCTTTGTACCCCTAAACTCGGCCTCACGTTCTCGCACGGTACGCAGCATGTCATCCATTTGTCTGACTTGGTCTATTTTGTGCTGCATCACCTAACCTTAGCGGTCCCCACTGATGCGTAGTGGTTGCCAATTAAACGGCAGTATTTTGTCCGATGGGGTTGGGATGTGTGCTTTTGTATTCCTTTAATGTGTATATGTAAATGCTTGTCGATCGGTTTGATGAATGGTCTAGGATTTTAGTGTTCATATCTACCAAAATGGCGTGCATGTCGATATACATACTTCGTGATATTTTATTTCATAAAATTTGCATGAGTTACTTTTTTTGCCTGTTTGTGGACTTGTTTTGATACTTTTTGGACAAATCCTAGTTCTTTGATTACCGTATATTTTTCTGGATATGTCTTGTGAAAGAGCTAAGATAATGTAACCTCAGTTAAGGTGTACTAAGCGGATCATGTTACTGTGCGGACGTCAAATATACCTAAAGCAGTATGGAGAGGGGCTCAAGGAGCCCCTACTCAATGTTGCCGGAAGCGATTTAATTGATATTGGATCGAGTGGCTTTTGCGGTCATCCACCCCTTTGCAGTCAAGGCTAGGACGTGCATGCAAATGAAGGGTTTCTTAGCCTTTTTCACTGGCAGACTTTCTGGGTGGCGTGATTCTCTCTTGGATTGAACATAACTGTTAAACTGCTGCGTAATTCAGGAAGAGCAACCGTTTCAAGATTTTACTTAGAGTGCTATGGGATTCCATGTGCAAGTGCAGATTGGCATTTCGGATAATGTTGATTCATTCGACATTGGACGGAATAATAAGCTTTTTTTGTCGTATCAGGAAGCTGTATCGGCTCGCTGAGCTATTTTGAAAGTCGTCACGAAAATTAATTTAGGCTTATGCTTGTGTTTATGGAACCGAATAGTCCGGGTGGTCCGCTCGTGCTTTCCCTTTCAGCAAAACGGCGGCGTGTCTCGAACCTCAGCTCAACAGCTTGCAAATGAAGCCTGGGCTCGAGGTAGGATTGAATCCTTTTGGTTTCCTCCGATCCAATGCTACCTTAAATACTGTCTATCAAGGTGTTTTTTGCTCTCTCGAAAGTCTCATTTAATTTATCCTTCAGGTACAGACAAAAGTTATTGCAATGCTCTTTTGCCTCTTTGCACCACCATCTAACCCCTTCTTATTCTTGGCTAGAAATATATGACGAATTATTCTTACGTTGCTGGGTATACAGTTGTGAATCACTGTGACCTGCCACTTTGCTCCAGCCGGTCGCCTTTGAAGCTTGGCTTCACTCAATTTTCTCACACGGTTCCAATCCTATTCTTGTCTTTAAAAATGTCAACCATCATGTTGGCTCTTTTAGTTATTAAACTTTTTGCGCCCTTACCACCCATTACTGATCGATTGTAAGATGAAATTTTCCTACGTTGGTAAGTTTACGCACCAATTCATGGCAGAAAAGACATAAACGTGCAGCGATACTTCAACAGCTTAATTATGTTCTGACTGGCATCATGGAAGTGAAGTTCTGCATTTTCGCCTCTCAGCGTGCTTTAATCCGCATTTAATACGATAATCCTCTCTTCCATCTGGATGTAGTTCACAGTTATGCTCTATGCCCAGCCATCACATAGTACACTGCTTTACAGCATCTGGACTTTGCTCCACCGAATATCTTATTTATGTTCAACAAGCTCTTTCCGATTAGAACTCAGGCGGGGTCTTTTTAATCCATATTTGATCTTGATTGTACATATTATGGCTGTGGACTAATTGGTATTTTCCACTGGTAATGGTTTCTGCTAGCCAATCCATGTATTTCCAACACATGATGCTTTCTAAAACCATCCTAATGCCCCTTAGGCCAGGGTTGTGGCTGCAATGGTTCCCTTGAGCTACCACTTCACTCTACACATTCTTTTCAAAACTGAATAGTTGGCAGACTGTACTGTGAACAGTCTTTGGGCTTTTGGTTTTCTTTCCAAAACAGTCTTGACGCATTTAATTTCTCTCCCATGGTGGCCTACCCACCACATTAACTCCCTATCTTGCCCTGTGTAGTACATCATCAGTCCTTCAGCTTACGAGGCAAAGCGCTTGTTGACCTGATTTAGTTATCCTCTCCGAGTGGCGTGTACTTTTGCTCCATTATATCTTTAACTGCACGAATCTAAAAACGGTGTAACGTAGTGGTATCCCCTCTTGAGTGCATCCCTGTTTCGGTCTCCTCCTTATTTAGGTTCCCAAAACAATACTAGTTTCCATTTTTCTTTCTCCAGTTGTTATCTGGAATTACGCGTACAGCGCTGGACACTACCTTCGTTTCCGTTGTATATCCACTGGAAACTGGGAAATTGTGTATTGTGGCCGAAATGGGTCTACTACTTCCGGATTTGCAACTTGATAAGAGGACTGGAAGTTGTGCACTACAGGATTTTGTTTATGCGGAAATTAGGCGTGGCATGACTTTTGTATCGGAGACTTTAGGCACCATTACTAAGCTGGATACTCATTCCTAGTGTTCAAGGGCTATTGGTGGCTACCAATGTAAGGCAGCCTTGACTTTTCACTTCCCCTGTCATTAACGCCGAGTTGGTACCGTCTAAACTGCACCGAAATTATATTGTCGACCGTTCTCATCCCAAGTTATTCATTAAGTAACTTACCTTAGATGTGTTCAAACTTTTAATTCACTGTGAACGTTTATTACCTTGCGGATTTTGAGAACGAAAATCCAGTGCCACTGCTTTGAAGCATTCTTTGTGGTGTTTCTTCACTGAATGAAGCCATTATCAATGTACCTGAGGCTTGAGGGTAAGGTGAGCATTTTCCAGGGGAACGATTAAGTTTTCACAAATCCTTCCCAAACCTTCATTTATCCAGATTTGTCAAATAACGCTGGTGGGAGTTACGTTTCTATCACCGTAGACTTAAGAACTGGTTTATTGCATGCTACTTGTTTTAATATTTTCTATGCTTGAACGCTGATTAATCGTATCGTTAAATGCCTCATGCTACAACTTGCTGTTTCATCCATTCCTATGTCCTTCGCAGGCGATTTATCGACTTGGTAGTGCGAAAAGGTTCTGGAAATCAACAACACAATGATATCCTCGCTCTTTTATTACTTGCGGAGTAAATGATCCTATAGTGAACCTCAGACCGCGCCAGAATGTTTGCATCTGTCAGTGATGTGGAATCCATGTTCATTGCTGTAGACCAAGACGATATTGTGACTCCCTATCGTCATCATCACTTCCTTGGTTATTCAGCTGGCCATGTGTTCTGCTCATCTGGGCTATTTGTGGCCTTCATGCGTTTCTTTCGTTGCCTTTGCCTGCTTTTCGAATTTCCATTGCATAATTCCCAGACTACCAGCGTTCCTCTTTTTGCTTCCGGCTACTCTTTGGTTGATTTATTTTATTTGTTTTAAACATGACCAAAAACCAAAAGCTCCATCCATGCGATTATTAAATTTTTACTTTGACCTTTCATTTGCGCATGTTGACTAAGTCACTTTAACGCCAGCAAACGTTACCACCGCTGGAGAAAATTATGAGCCTTCCTTCATTCAACTGGATGATGAGGACCCCTTGAGTCAGCAGCAGTCATCTAGAAGGGAGCCTTCGCCTGAAGTTGACTGGACGGGGGGTGGTCGGTTGCCCAAGGCGACAGCGATGTATGAGTTTCTTGCGGCGCGCAGTGATGAAATTAACATGGTCTGTAACGAGCAAGTCGTACTCCTAGGAACAGGAGACGGTGAGGATTGGGTGAAAGTGAGTTCCATTTTCATCACACGCATAACGCTTTACCGCATTTCCATCATTGTTCACGACAGCCTAGGTTCTTGTTGTCGAGGTTATGCATCCATTTGTTCTTCACCGGTTCTTTTGCAATGTTTGCTGTTTCACTTGAAATAAAATTCTTTTTAATCAGGATAAAATCTTGTTTGAACGTCGTTCTGAAGGCCACTATTTCAAATCCCATCTCTGACTCCACTCACGAAGGTTATAAGACCAGTCAATTTTAATTTCGATTTCAATAAGAAGTCATGTCTTATGAGTTATTAAAGTCACGCTCATCAAGTGCGTTTGTTCCGCACTGTTGAGAATCGGCTGTAAACAGGTCACAGTCTTCGTCTATTCAACTGTCTGTCAAATTAATGCCCGTATCACTGAGGCACAAAGATAGAGGCTTTGAACTGCATGCTTAGTTCGCTTGGTCAATGCGCTTTGAAGGTACGCAGTCTTTTGGATGGTAAAGAGGGTCTGGTGCCACGGGCTTTTCTGTCAATCGACCCGACGCCCCCACCGGCTCCACCTCACCCCTCTGTGCCCACTCTAATTGCACAAAGTGACACGGAGCAGGATCCTCATGATAAGACCTCCTCTCCACCTGCCTCTTCTCCCTCTGACCTTGCCGCATCAACTCGTAAGTTAAGCTTCCTTTCAAGGCACGATTTTCGAGCTAGTACCGTTGCTAAAACTACTTTGACTTGCTTATTATCATGCCTTTGAGCGAATAGGCATTGGGACCACATCATTAATTCGATCCTGATTATTTACTTAGGACACCCTCCTTCTTGAAACATTATTTGACGTCTTTTTTTCCTACTTGAGGTGTTTTTTTAGGAGACTTCACACCCGAGTAATTTAGCCTTTCATTTTCCATTGAAACAACTAATCTTTCGCGTCAGTATTTGATTTTTATTCAAAGAAGCGTCAAAACTAGTTAAACTGGCCTTATTTTGTGGTCCGGCCACTCAAATTTCTTATTTGTCGAAAGTTTAAAGACAAACAGTCCAGTTTTGGGTAGCAAACGTGGGAATAACTGTTGCGACATTAATGATGGCGTCGATACTACGCAAATAAGAGGATATTAGGCTCAAAAACATAGCAGATGGTGGTTGTGGTATGGCTAGTGTTATTATTTCCAAAAATCCTAACTGGTAGAGTTACGTTCATCTTCAGATCCACCAATGTCGCAGCGCTTGGCAGGTCAATTTGTCCGTGCACTGATTGACTTCGCGGGGACGGCGGATGATGAATTGAGCTTCGGAGTGGGCGCGGTCATCCATGTGCTGGGTCGACGGGCGGTGGGTGAGGTAGACGACGGATGGATCGAGGGTGAATTAGTACCCCTCACCGATGCTGAAACCTCAACTCCTCCCCCTCGTGGCGTTTTTCCTTCCATGTTAGTCGAAATTGTACCGGCTGAGGAGTCCTGGAAACGCCGACTCGGCGCCTGCCGACCTCGTAAGTTTGATATTTCATCTGTCCCACCACTTATTTGCGCATCTAGGCTGATTATTAGCCGATCCTTCTTATAATGAACTGAACGAAACATTTGCTATTGACACACCACTGTATTGTTCCCATGTTAGTTCCTTATGGGCGTGATTTCAACCCCTTTAGTTTTTGCGGAATTCTTATCAGTTGAAGCGATTCACTGGTTTTTATTTTTACCTCAGGATCCGCAAAAGCGTTGCTGTCAACGGGTTTCCCAGCAGATACCAAGACATCTCCAATCAGTGAGCGCAGATGCAAGCTCTTGTCCTCGTCTGGTTCTGTTCCCTCCCCTAGATCGAGTGAGCCCTCACTAATACCATTTGAATTATTTTAACTGTGGTGAAAACTCAAGCCGTCGGCATATCCAGGCAATTCAGGGAACCGAAGCAAATCGCGTTCTGCTTCGGCCAAGAGAAGTTGGAGTGGCGGTGCTGGTGGTGGACAGAGACGTTCCACAGTGAGTCACCTCGTTTCATCTAGTCAGCGTTCCTTGCACCGCCACCACCAACAGCAGCACCATGAACACCAAGGACGGGAAACGTCTGCAGGTCATGGGCGTGCTTCACACACCCTCATAACTACGAAAGTGAACCCTTCTCAGGCGTCTCCTACTTCTCCTCCTCCTCCTGAGGCTAATGTTCCTGGCTCGATCTGTCAGCAGCATGAATTCTCATCTGTTACACCAAACGGGGAAGGTTTGATAAGCCCGAAACACAATCATGAAGATGAGGAGGTGCGCTGCTTTCCTCTAGTACCCCGAATTGGCACGTTTTTGGTCTTGCAACTTTTCTACACTTTACACTACTTTTTCGCTCTTAGCAAATGATACAAATAGAGGCTTAAATTTGTGCAAACTTCAAATGGGTTCTGCAACCCCATGCATTCTTGGGTTTACCCATTTTCGAATGAACGAGGCAATTTAATTCGTCTCTAAGCGACTCAAGAGTCTTATTCTATACCGAAGTTCCTAAATAACTTCTTTTTCACTGCTTATTTTCTCAATGTTCACTGAAGCGTTGTACAGGAAACTAACATTGCTTGTTTTAGTGGTAAGTTGTTTTCTGGATTTCATGACCGTTTCCTTTAAATAGGGTTTTTCTACAAGTTGCATTACAAACAAAATGAGTCGACTATTTGCTAATGAGATGGTTGATGGAGGGATTGGAGCAGCCTATTTGACAGTCGAGTGCATATTATCCTTCCAAAACTTCAGTAGGGCGTTGAAACCCCTTTTGTTTACAATTAGCTTCCTAATTTTTTTTTCCCCTTTAGCTTCAAATTGCTGAGCTGTGATCGAAGTCTCCCTATCATCTCCGTGCCCACCTTGATTCCCTGAGATGACGGCCACACCTAATTGCTACCAAATTATTGCATGTTTTTGGTCAGCGCCTTTACTATCCCTTTTTGCTGAGCTTTGTACAGCTAATTCGTTGATTCTTGTTCAAGTTGGACGCTTGTATGTGAAAAGACTCATGCTTACACAATTGAATTCATTTCAGCAAAGTGCTATTTTTTTGTTAAATGCGTTTTACGAAGATTTTAGGAATTCCTCACTCATTTCGTGCAATCAACTTCGTCGTTCGGTCGTAAGCTAATGTAAACACTGTGCATGTTTATCATCTCTTGTATTCAATTTATTCGCCCTCAGATTGTTTTTATTGGAGTTAGCAGTAAGTGCCAGGACATTCGACATGTTTTCATCCGGTGAAAACAATATGCACAAAAATCAGCGCATGTCAACAATATAAGTACGTCAACGAGACCTCGGGATGCTCCTAACGTGCTTTAAGCGATAATGAGCAGGTTTTGAACTTGCTCCTACCGTAAGCTGTAACAAGCGGAAGTGTAATCTATTCGATTGATAACAGAGTAAATAGGATCCCAACTGTACTTGTACGCTTAAAGCAATAAGAATCGGTGTCAGAGGCGGTGCGCCGGACAAAGCATCAATCTGAAGGGAAATTGGTGGTCAAAGAGGTTTCATCAGGCAAATTTGTGTGGATCACAACTTGCTATCCCAGACGCACTTCATTGTTTGGTCACTAGTACTCAAGAAGCATGGGTACAACAACATGTAATCTTGAAAGTGCATCACTCCCTAACTCAGAATTTATGCAAGTCCTCATGGTAGAAATGAGTGGATGTTCAGGTGCACCCTTAAAGAGGCTTTTTTGCTTTACAAACAGAGATTTTCACCAAAAGTGGACAAGAAATGGTACCACTTGATACAAAGTGGGATAGACTGAAGTGATATTACTTCCACTACTGCCAGTTAAGCATGAGATACTAAAAGCCTCAGAGGAGAGCTTATCAGTGGAAGCTTGGAGCTACGTGGAGGACTTATTCGGCAAGGCTAGGGTGGGACGCATTCGCTCTAATTTGCATAATCAGGAGGAGATGAAGGAGCGCGGAAGCATGGAGTATGCACCGGGTCAGCATGCTCACATTTAGTCTTCACTGATGTAGTAAAGCGATCGTTTCGTACATCACATGGAAGTAATGCACAAAATAGCTCAAGAACTATTGTTAAAGGAAACCAAAGTGCGGTCTGCGCACGTTAAAGTTTCTGCTTAAACTTCATCCCCGAGCACATCTTGGCGATTCTTCATGGCTATTGCAGACTATACGAGGCTCCGAGAGTGAGTGCGTGAGTGCGTGAGTGATGGTCTTTTTTGCTTATGTCCAGTGGGGTGGCCTTCGGCCATGTCACTATGCCTTCTCTACCCTTCTTGTTTTAATACGGGTAATCAGCCATGTCTCATGTCACCTAGTATCGAATAGGGAAGCGCAGGACGCTACATACGCAAAATCCAACTATATTTCTGAGATCATTTCACTGAAGGTTTCCTATTTCTAAATATTTCTCGATATTCCTTAGTGAAGACCTTTCGCCTTTCTGTCACTAGTGACTAGGATTTGACGCAAAGGGCTTCATAGGGTTGGCATTTCCTATTTTCCCTTTCGTGAAAAGTTGTTTTCATTAAAATGCATTTTATTTAGCTGGTAGCTAAGTGTAAAAGGTATGGCACTGCACTCCAAACTTGAACTATTGGAGTGCTTTGATTTCAATGTCGTTTAAATTAGTAAATGGGCATTTGCTAAGGGTAGACACCAGACCTAGCTTCTTGGTTTACAGCAATGAGGTTTAGTATTTAGACAGAAATCGATGCACTTGACCTTTAGGCTTGGTCTCGTCCAATTCCGCACAAATGCATCATCTCAAATTTTGGGGCAGTCGAAGTGTTATTGGAAAGGCAAGTGCAACTAGCAGAGAGGAAGGCCAAAACGTACCGAAGCAACACGAATACCACACCGAAAAGTGGGAAAAAACTTAACACGACTGTTGGCAGGATTCCTCTCGGACAAACGAAATGAGACAAAAAAATGAAATAAGTGAACTGTAATACTTTGTTTATGTGACCGCCTGATGTCTGGAGGTTGCGTTAAGGAACGTATGGCTCTTGCACATATGAGCTGGCCTTTGGGCTAGGCACAGACTTTAGCCCTTGGTTCTCCCTGGAATACATTAATTCAGTTCCACTTAATGCCTTCTACCCGATGGCAAGTCGTGGGAAGCTACACTTGTGGCAGCAGAAGGCGAACTCGGCTTTTCTAACGACTTCGATCTAGTACCTACCCTTTGTGACATATACCTACGGTGTAGAAGAAGCGCATTTAAATTGGGGGAGGGAGGACCTCTAAATTCTTCACAATAATGGGGTTGAGAGTGATGGCTGCGTTTGACTTCACCTCGTTTCTGTGTTCCACAAACAAGCTGTGGGCAACTGAAGACACCGCCGTGAACCATCCGGAAAAATTTCGTGTCGGAATTTCCCCTGCTGCATCCGTGTATAGGTGCCGAAAATGAAAATAAGAATCTCTTTATATACGGGCCTGTGTCTGGTCATGTTTTCTCTGTGGCAAACCCGTTTTGGATCAGAGATTCACCATTTATTTCTGAAGACAATTGATGGTCAACATGTATGTGTGGCCTCTAGTCCGGCTGTCAGGCCGAACGTAACTCCATACCCAGTTGAAGGCGCTGGGAGACCAAGTACCGTCTCGCACTCTCATGGTAGCTGCTGATTTACACAGCTAGCTCATGGAGCTTTCTTTCAGTGCCGAATATGTTGTGATAGCTGGTGTGTAGGGTGTACGGAGAGCGTCTAGAACGTCGCCCAAGAGAAGGGAGGGATGGTGTAGTACTTTGTTTATGTGACTACCAAATGTCTGGCGGTTGCTTTAGCATTCATCTGGGCTGGTCTTCGTGCCGAGCTCAGACTTGATCCCCTTTCTTCCCCTTGAATATATACATTCAGCTTCACTTACTGCCTTCCTCTACTCGGTGGGAAGCCTCAAGACGCTATGGGAGTCACATAAGTCGTCTGTAATATATATTGGAGTATTTAAGTTGGCTTTGAAAGGGTAGAGACAAGAAGCGAATTCGAACGCGAATCCGGCGCGTGAGGACCATGAGGATTTCCTTTCCGAGTGATATCTACTATAGGGCTCATCTGTACTCTCATCCCGTTCTTCCTGTATTCAATGTCTAATAAATCTGCCGCAACTAACCCTCTCTTGAGGTCCGTAGAAATAAAGAGACAAGGGTAGGCAGGTAGTTCCAACATCGTCTTCGTTTGTCTACTTTTGTCTGTTAATTCCAAAAGTTAGTGTTTAAAATTGAAAATTACTGAATAACACCGAGCACCATTGAATTAAGACACCTGTAGAACTACTGACATTGCACCACCCGAGAAGAACGCTTGTCTTCTACTAACAAAATTAGGTCCATTTTTGTCCTATTTATGCCAAAATATAGCTTTATTCAAAATTTTGAACGGTTAATTATGTTTACAAGTATTTTATGCCTTTTACATCCCCTTCTTCCATTCTCCTTTTAGGATGCGTTGGTTTGAAACTACACAACTATTTCAGAGAATATCTTGGATTCATTTAACCATAGAAGTTAAAGGTCATGCTTTCCTATTGGGTCATTCATGGCGGGTACGCGTTTTGTAGTTTTCCTCATCGGTAGATTCGTGCTATGAGAAATGGATTTCTCGCCGTTGGTAGAAGGCAATAAAATAGCCAATACTGTCCCTTTTGAAACAGTGTGCAAACTCCTAGAGCGGGTTTCATCAATGGATTGTGCAAATAGGAAAAGGACCTGTATCTCCTTGTTTATTCAAAAGTGGGCAGCTAGATACAGGGAAACTAGTTGGAATGTTGACCCGATTGCAGGAAATTTGGGCAGCTTCTTTCCGGTTTTGCGCCTTCTCATTCCGTCTGCTGATCGCACTCGACCAGCGTATGGCGTTGGAGAATCAACAATGGCAAGATTCATTATTAAGGCTTTTGGCCTGTCTCCAAAGAGTTCTGATGCTGTCAGAATCCTAACGAGAAGAAGAACGTTGTTGTTCAAGGCCACTGCCAAGGAGGACTTGGCAGACATCGTTCAATGCGTGTTGCAAGACCGTTGTACCATTGAAAGCTGCCATACAATAAATGTACGGGTTATCTTTTACTTGTTTGCTTTGTAGAAAATTCACGAAATATTAGATGATCTGGCATCCTCGTCCTCTCACGGCCAGAAGTATGAAATAATCGGTTGCTTTGCTCGTAAGGCAACTATACTGGAATTGAAATGGTTTGTGCGTATTGTTAGTCGGCGCGATTTATCGTTAGGTGTCAAAGTCAGAACCATTCTTGGTTGCCTTCATCCTGCTGCTCCTTCCATTTGGAATGTTACACAGGTATTTCTTACCATTTACAAACATGTATAATAAGGCACCTAGGATCTATGCGTCGTCTGTCAACGAATCGCGTACATCGACCCAAAGCTGGCTCCACCTGACGATTTTCATTGTAATTACGATTCCGTAGAGCTCTTTACTGCCTTCAAACCTATGCTTTGCTCTCGAGCCAACAGCGTTGATGAAATCTGCACCACCTACCAGCAAGAATTCTCGGGATCCATTGATAATGGCCTTTGTGTTGAGGTTAAATATGATGGCGAAAGAGTTCAAGTAACCAATTTTTAAGTCGTTCATTCATTGTAGTTGCATAAGTCAGGTATAAACTACCGTTTTTGGTCTCGTTCCGGTCGTGAATGGAGTTCGAGTTATGGTGAGCGCGGGGATTCTTCGAAGGGGAGCCTCACATACCGTTTGCACGCAAATGGGACCACTTTTGCTAGCCATGTTGTAGACTGCATTCTTGACGGAGAGATGCTTGCTTTTGATGGACTTACCAACCGGTTTGTCACAAAAGCTACAGGCAATGATGTCAAACGTGTCGGGGTTGATCGCCAATCTGATGGTGGTAAGAATGTCCTGCCGTGTTTCATCGTCTTCGACGTACTCTATTTAAATGGGCAGGTGATTTTTTGCCTTATTTTTTTATTTTTAATGAATGATGGGTTATGTGATCTAGAATTTCTTGTGATTGCGCTCATTCCATGTTTTTTACTAGCAAATGTCGATCATTTTGCTATCCATTGCTTTCATTGTTAATGTTTGGCGGTTCGTGTCTTACTTTCAGAGAAGAAACCCCTTGTGTCATGCCGTCTTCGTTGGTGATAATTTACCAAACACTTGAGTATAGAGCTTCTTTTTTCTTTATCCCCAGTGCTACTCAGCTCTATGATGCTGCAAAAAGTCTTAGGTATATGATTTAACCCCACTCTACCTTCATTTCAGCTTCTTACGGAGATGCCCCTCTCTCAACGCAAAAGTATCCTTCTGACAATGTTCCCATCAGTTATGTCAACTTGTGAGGAGATTTCATCGAGAATTGAGACCTGTTTCAAATCCATTAGTAATTGTGGGGACGATGGCGATTCGGAAGGTTACCAGTGTCAACAGGACCGACTTCTATCGCTTTTCGCAATTAGAAAAGGGGCCTTTTATTTAGGCGGCTTCTTGTTAACGCAGCCAGACAAAGTAAATTTATTTGGGTTTCATTCTTCTATCACTGTCTAGTTACATTTACTAGATATTTTTTAGATGCCTTTGGTGATAGAATGATTTTCACCATCGAGAAGAAAACTAGCTCTTACTTGTGTTATAGCATTCTCCTAATGTTCTGTTACCAAATTGTAATTTCGAAGTGTCCATCTTTAAGTCGGCATTTTAGCGAAGTCATTTAACCTGTGGTCTCCAGGTGATTTCTGACCAGGTCATGGGTGTGCGATTGTCGAAGTTCTAGCTTGGACAGCATTAATACGATTGATTTTGCATTTTTCGAATGATAGTCGATGGTTTACGCTGCGAATACAGCCACTTTGCATCACATTATCCTAACTCAATTTACAGTTGCCAAGAAAGACGATTGTCTAGGTGCGTTCTTCTCACGACAGACTCGAATATCGCGTTGCTTCGACACTTGGGTGCAGCATGGTGCGGAGGGGCTGGTGGCGAAGGCACTTTGCACCCCTTACACCCCCAATGGACGGGCAGGTGCGGGGTGGTGGAAGCTGAAACCGGACTACGTGCTCGGTCTCTGCGTTGACCTTGACTGCCTCGTTGTAGGCGCCTACGCTAGTGCTTCTGCCCCCGCCTGCGGGACAAAGTTCTCCACTTTCCTTTGTGCCATTTCTGACGACGGCAATAGTGCTGAGACAGAAACTAAACGACGAAGATTACAATCAAATAATCTGTCCCCGCCCTCCTTCCTGACATTTTGTCAAGTAATTCCATGTTTCTCCCTTTAATAGTGAGATAATAGGTTTTTATCGAAGTTATAGTTTTCAAACTTTTGGCGAAATTAGATCAAGATTATCGATGCTTCTAGTTGCTGAATTCGGTGCACGCGGCGGTTGAAGAAACTGCAAAAGTTTTTTCCCTTCACTCTCAGTTATGCAAGCTTTTACTTACCAAGGCGTTGCGCCTTTGGGTGACAACCCTTGGGTTAGTCCCACGCAGTTGTTCGGAGGTGTCCGTTAAATTTGCTGTTAAAGGAAACAATTTATTTCATTGCAGGAATGTGTGATGTCTACCTAAACTATGTAGGTATCATGCGGATTGAAGCGAGATCAACTGGAGCGCCTCAATCGCTGCCTTGCGTCGCACTGGAGACAGTATGACAGACGCAAAATAAACTGTGATGAGACTGAATGGCTTCGAGTTTCAGGGGAGCGACCTGACTTTTGGCTTCCACCACGCCATTCCCTTGTTCTTCAGGTACGAATAATTACAACACTAAAACTGTCAAAAAAGTAACGTCCATCCCAAGTTTTGTCATTGAAATTTTTTGTTCTTTGACTGCATGACGCTAATTTGATCCCTTTAACTAATGCGCATGTTTGTGTCCACCCTTGAATTTTGATTGCATGCCGGTCTTTAGGTCCCTGAAATACTAGAGGAATGTGTACCTAAATGAAATTGCTCCGACCTATCCACCGTGTACTGTCCTGTCTTTTGTAGATTCACGCTGCAGAAATGATACAGAGCGCCTCATATTCTGCGGGTTTTACCCTTCGATTTCCCAGAATCGTAGCTATTCGAGAGGATAAAACGTGGGAGAATGTCTCCTCAATATCGGAAATCAAGAAGCTCTATCAGGACACCAAAGTATGCACGTTTGTTCCTTGGGTTTCGTTAATGGTTAAGTGCTTCAGGAATGCTATTGCAAAATGCTGCATACATTGTAGCGTGATTTCGTTTTTACTTTTGAACATTCATTTGAATTTTTTGCTAATGCTGGCGCTTTGTCTGGGCGCTGACTATCAATAAGGCGAAAATCTATTATGTTCAGTGTTTTCCAAACACTTTTATTCTCAAGTTGCTAATATGTGTGAGTTAAACTGTGATCAAGTATTGATGTTAGTTTTACAATCCAAGTATTTATAGTCCTTCTCACAAGGTTTATCTGCATTTCCACAGGGTAAAATGATCAGAAGGAGGACCGTCCAATCAGATGAAGACAATAAAAGTGATGCCGATAGCGATGAAGACAGAAAATCTAGTTCATGCATCACTCCAAAGACAAGAAGGATTTCTACGAGGCGTATGCGGTCATCGAAGCCTTCGACCTCCCTTCCAGCCCAATGCTGGCATTCATTAGCAGATTCAGTGAGTACTTCACTCTTAGGTGGTTATTTAACAGGAAATCAGTTTGCAACCCCATACATGACTGTGGGATCGCCATTGCACGCAAAGAACTATTTTTGATATACGGGTGAATAACTGGCTGGCTGAACCGACTGTCAGTCTCTTGCAGAGAATTGATTGTGTATTTGCCCCACAGGCTATGATTGCAGGTTTAGTGCTGAAAAGTAATGGCCACTCGTAACGTTAATACTTCTAGGTCGAAATTGAGTCCTCTGCCTTCGTTGAAGTGGAATTCTGTCTTTACATTTCATCTCGATTTTCCGGTCCATCTACTGGCTTGGAGACAAAGGGTGATCTTGAAAAGGCAATTCTGAAAAGGAGCGGGAAGGTGGTTCAAAACCCCGGATCTGACACAACCTATATAGTAGCGGACCGAATCACCGCCAAGGTTAGCCTTGATAACCTATTACAGAATGGTGCCAACTCAGTTGTAACTGTCCGCATCCATTTTCAGATTTCCAATTTCATTGAAGCCACCCATAGGAGCATAGGTAGGGGTAAGGAAGGTGGTTATGACATCGTATCCACCGAGTGGTTAATTCAGTGTATCCAAACTAATCGAATCCTCCCGTTGCGTAAGGACCAAGTGTTCGCAGCTCGTCCGTCTACACTGCTTCAACTTGATGAGTCCTATGATGATACACACAGCAACTATGTTGACCTTGTTTTGCCAGCTCGTCTAAGAGCAGAACTATTTGATCAAATGGTAAGAGTTCTAAGCAGCTTCGATGCTAGGCATCACAATTGCAACTAACTTATATGTTGAAGTCTGTTATCTCCTACCTCCATTATTAACTCAATTTACTGATCACAAATTCTGTTGGGCAAAGTCCATGCTTTTATTTTTTTTCTTTTTCTCTAGTCTTTTCGTCGGCTCTCTACTAGTGAATATATTCAGCTCTTCAAAGGCTGCGATTTTTCCGACTTGGCCCTTCCTTTGTGTGGTGTTAGCATCATACTATATGGTTCGGTTGACGCTTCACCTCAAGTGAAGCTTATGATAGCCGATCTGCGGTCTTTACAGGCAACTGTACACGGTCCTTTGACGGAATTCTCGACCTTACTCCCTGAACGGACAGGCACTGTCACGCATGTAGTTGTGGTACGTTTCGTTCTTGGCCGTGGATCCTTGCATTTGAGGCTGAACTCTTATTGGTACTTGCCCTTATAGATAAATGAAAACGTTCATGGCATTGCGATTGAGCCTGTGTTGGAGGAAATACGGAAACACATTGGCCAATCAAGTTTGCCGATTGCTGTTACTTTGGATTGGGCCATGGGTTGTGCTTCTCACAAGGCTTTACTTCCTTCATCAAGTTATCACTTGTAGCACCCTAATTTCCATCGCTTCCATCATTTTTGCACCGCGTGTTCCAATCATCATTACTACTATTCATCTATGGGACGTTGGTATCGTCTGAATTTTGAGCTAATTTATGCTTGTGATATCCTACAGATTTTAAGGATATTGTTGTATCATAATTCTCTGAAACTGTAATACATCAGCATTGTGCTGGATGGCATATCTCGCTAACATGCAAGAGGGTTTGAAAGCCACTGGTTCGGTCCAAAGGTGAGACACACAATCAGGCTTGGCAAAGTTTAGGGGACTGAACCACTTTGAATCGTAAAATCTAAATAATGAAGATGAATTTGGGGCTCTGGGGTGTACAAAAAAACAAAGGAGCGAGCGCTTATCAATGGGATGCCAAAATGGGTCAAGTTGGAATTCTACCGACAAGGATCGGGATCATGCCACCAAGTGAAGATACGAAGGTTGAATAATCAGCATTGGCGCAGTAGAAGAAGGGCATTCGCAACGAATGAGGATCGATGGCGACCTATAATGTCAGTGTTGAAGTGGCATTTACTTTCGCCAACTGTCTTTGTCCCATGCTCTGTAGGAAAATGATAGACGCATTAACAAGGACACCAAAAATGTTTCGTTAAGAAGCACTTTACCACCCTTACATCTATTGTGTAAGATGACAATAACTTCACTTTTCCATTATCTGCACTGAACCTTGGTAAACATGGCTTGACGGTGTCATAGCGAGAGAAATGTGTTAATAATGAATAAAAAGGAAAGCTTTCCTCATTAAATCGTCTGCTGCCTACCTCTAACTCACATTTCTACCACCATAGATAAATTTATGTAATGATGTTCACATTTCTTTTCATCCCTAAATTCGCAGTTGAAGCCAACTAGAACTTTGCATCCAGTGAAATCGATAAACTGAGTCGGTACTATAGAAGGAAATTGGCATCTTAGTTAACTGGCTGTTTGATTACAGACACAAAGCCATTTATTTATATACCAATTGCGACGACAGTAAAGAGTGGCCAGATGAAGAGAAGGTCCGTATATAGACTTGGAAGATGAGAAGCATTGCGTCGAAACTAAATCCATAGCATAGAGGTCAACCCAATCCTTCGGGATTAGAAAAAGCTCAGAAATATGTTGAAGCAAACTGATTGCAAAACCTGGAGGGCAGAGGTAGGGATCCAAGCATCGCATCCATTACTTAACCTGCACTTCACACCGCACCAAAAACCCAAATCCTTCTGACAAGTGCAAGTTTATAGCCTTGCCTACTTCTTTCGATAACAAACTGGAACCCCTGATGCAGAAGCCCAAGGATTCCCACTAGGTAGGAGAAGGTTTAAATTTGGGCTGAATACTTGCTCCCTACTTGGATTAAAAGGCTTTGAACTTCGGCTTAGCCACAGGGCTGCTCGCACAAACAAGCGCAGGACAAATATGAAAGCGACGGCCACATATAAAGGTATTACACCGAGAATAATCCAGCGGCTTACCCTAAAATGCACAAGTCATTAGGTGAAAAAAATATATAGAGCCCAAAAATAGCCCTTATGACAAGCAAAAATAACCACTGCGGGGACTATCTAGATTTAGCGAACAGAAAAAATCATTCTGTAGTCGCAAGACCAAGTAACAATTGTGTTAAGGCGATCACAACCCATAATGAGTTTTATCGGCAAGAAAAGCAAAGCAAAAAACTAAAATAAATCCACTTAACAGTTTGTAATGCCAACAATAGAATGAAATGTAATGTATAATCATAAAAAGAAAGAAAGTAAGTAATTTGTTTATTTTTATGAGCTAGGAAGCGCCTGTTTCTATAATCGCGCACACTTTAAGGATGATCTGTGTGCCTTAACATGGAAATCGAAGTTCATTCAAATGACAGTCTTGATACACAAGTCAATACATACATTAGCGAAGGGAGATTTCACATTGCTATACTATCGCTTTTCCTCTTGGATGTATGGGTCATTTACATATTTTTCTACAATGCTCGTGTTCTTGGATTCATTACATCTGTTATTCTCCGCAAATTTGTTAAAAGCGGCTACATAAGGCTTGGTTAGTTGCTTTACACTTTTTGATGTACAGGATCGATATCTATTTCTGCTATCGGTGGGGTGTTAATGGTTCGAGACCTGATTTATCTGACTGATGATTACAGCATCCGCTGTTGCTACGGCATACTTGTATTTAATTACTGGGTGCCTTTCGATCCTACGAAAAAGGGTTTGTTTTGTTGTTACAGACTTTTGCTACATTGGTGCGTGGGTCAATTGCTTTTTTCATTTTCATAGACGTGACCACTAAAAGGCGGCTGCACATCTTTCTATACGGGTTCGATATGCATGTATTTAACCGAAACTCATTTTACGGTGGATCTACCTTAAGTGAAAAGAATTATTCAAATGCAAGTCATCAGTCACAATCTCGGTACGTACCATCTCCACTTGATTTCATTCCTTTTATTTACAACGTGCTGCTCATTACCAATTTGTTGCAACTTTTCTTTAAAGTGCGGTTTTTCTTTACCACGCTCTAGGCGCAATGTGCAGCAGGAAGATACACTGGGATGGATTTGGACAAAATTCGAACGCCTCTTTCCAGTTGTTAGATTCCATTTGGAAATGGTGGGTCCAATTCTCACTCTATTTACTCAACCACTTTCAACTTTACTTAATATTTTTTTTCGTTTTTGGATTTTATAGTCAAAGTTTTGCTTCGGTAATCACCTCATTCCTCGTGCTTTTGTTCTGACATGCCAAAAGGCGCATGGAACGTACACCCAAAAGCGCGCCACTTGGCGGTATGATAAGTATCAGCACTGGGTTTCTTTGGATTTTTATGATTTTATGGGATCATTGGTACCAGTTTCTAAGTATTCTGGGCATTACGCTGTTGAAGAGTAAGTCATAGTCGAGGCTTCTGAATATCAATCAGTGCCTACTTTTCTTTATCCTACTCTTTTATAGACCACCACAAAAGGCAGATACTTTTCGCGTATTTTCTCTCGGACGGGGCAAGATTACGTATTATCAAGACCAGCCAGGTATTAAAAATGTTCGCGCACGTAATTGTATCTTTATGCTCATTTTTTTGACTTAGCTTCATATTCTAGCAAATGTCATATCGATGTCTGTGACAATCTAGGCTCTGCCATAGGTAAACGAGGTCTGAAATGAACAAATTAGTGTAATTTGCTGAATTTCCTTGCCATAATTTCTGCTGAATTTTTAGGTTTGATTTCTGTTGAATCGGAAGATGTACAACTTAGCGAAAATCGGGAGTCAACCTTTTCTACGTTTCCAGAGTGGAAAATGATAATAAATGTAGAAAAAGATTTTCTCTTAGCGTATGGACCCTGGGCTGATCGCCAACGGTGAGGTTCTCTACTCTTTTGTTTAAGATTATATCACATTTCCGTCTTTGGTAACTTTGTCGAGTGCTTTCTGCAATTAACTTTTCGTTCTTGGTTAATTTTGTCAGTTGTTGCGGTGACCCTTCAGCCAAATAAAGAGCAGTGTATATTGTGGTTATCTATAGTACGAAAAGTTGCACACTTGTTTTTTTAGAATTGGTTAGTTAGCATGACTTTGGTTGACAATTAGTCATTTTGGACAGTCGCTTAACAATGCTTTATGTGCTTTCATCGTTATACCTTTTCTCCTTGTAACATTGGGTAGTACGGGTAACCTGTGAGGATTCGCACATAGCAGCCACTCTAACCTACTTTTATCCTCATTTTTTGCAGTGAAATGCTATGGAAGTTTTTCTTCCCACCAACCTATCGGCCAGCCGAGGTAACCCCGGCTCCTTCTGTTGGGAAATTTCGCACAACTCAAAAGTTTACTTTGGACATTTCCAGTTCGACCACTGTACAAATGGACCTCTGGTTTGTTCAGGACAAGAATAAGTCAAATGTTAGTTTATACCTACTTACTCTCCTCCCATCATATGGAAATCAACTCAAGTACTCGCGAACAGCGTAGTTTACTCTTCTGGTTCTTTTCATTGTTGTAGAAGTTCGCCCTCCATGGTGGACCTGATTCTACCTTCAAGCTGTCAATGCCCTGGGTGATAAGAAAGGATGGCAGTACTGTAGAGATGGCTTTAAGTCTAGCAAAAGGTAGTTTGGTGACAGACTGCTTGTGGCACAACCTCATTACATCTTCCTGGTTTGACCTTCAATTGAGTGTGCACTACCCAAGGCACTGGAACTCTCTACAAACATGGACTTTCAATCTGAATGGCCAGGATACAATCTTTTCCATGCTCTATACACAGAAGACGTACTTCAAAGGTGTGTATCTTGAATTCAGATGGACTAATGACCACTTTTCGTCCATTTGTTTACTTGTGATCTTTATACTCCGTATCAATTATTGTCTTTAGCTTACTTTGATAATTTTGTCTACGCATTTGTAAAGATACTGCTTCAAAAAAAGGGGTATTTGACGTATTGCTAATTCCTTACTTATCACTTTTTACTGTGCATTTTAAATGGTTCGAATCGTGTTTTAATATCTTACGATCTATCACATCTGGAAATGACTGTGGCATGTGCCTTCTTTGTTTATAGGCTTTTTCGAAGATTGGTCGAATGGTTCCAGACCAGACATTCTTTATTTCGTCCCTTATATTTACAAATTCAAAATATGTGCGCAGCCGTTCGATTTGCGATTGCTGACAAACGATTATAACTGGGTTGCTCCCACAGCGGAAAATGGTAGTTATTTAAATACTTGTGCATGTTCATGCCCTTCGCATCTTTCATAACGGTTGTACGCGTAGATTTTCCAGTTCTCACTTAACTCGGAACCATGCATTATGGGATTTCAATAACGCTAACTTGCAATTTAATTCCACTGCAAGTCTTCCGAGTACATGACATGAAATTGTCCATTTCCCTTTGATTACCTTTTGCCAGCATTAAAGGCAATAATATTGGTTTCCGATTGTGGTACGATCTTGCTCAACCCTTTCTGGCCTGCTTATTTGGTTGCAGCTTGAGACTAGGTCTAAATGTTGACATTTTCTCATGCAAGAATATGTGTTTCAGAATGAAGCTGTTGGTATGGTTTTATACTTTTTTTGCCGCACAATCTATATTGTTTATTCGTCTCGTCTGAGTTACTTCACTGCTTTCCAACACAGGCATTTTTTTCTCAAAACTTAAATTGTTGCCAATATTACGATGAAACGAGGTAATTTCAAGTATTACAGTCTTGTTGAAGCCATTTCGGTTAATGCTTTTTTATTCTTCCCAGCGTTTGTGTCTTTCTGCACGGAAAAGTTCAACTTTGGTTTTGATTTGCCATTCATCGACTTCCTACCAGCTACTGTTCCAATCAAATTTGACATTACTGTAAGCATTCCGAAATCTTATTTCAACCCATTATTCTACTAACTTCAGAAGCTACTCTATTCGACAGACGAAGTTTATCTGATTTTCTCACGTTATTCTAAAACGTTTGCGTCACATTATGGGAGCTTCAAGAGTCTTTGAAAATCTATTTCTTGAATGCTTTTATCCCCTTTTGCGAATTTGCTGAATGCCACTACTATATTTGCTGCTATTGAAAATGCAGTAACCTAAGTACTCTTGTACGCATTTGGTCAAAGGTGGATTTTGTTTTGAATTTGGATAACAATTCCCTAGCTTTAATGTGGATGAACTTTGGAAATACAGGCATTCAATTACATCAGTGAAGTGTCTTTAAAACCTGATGATGGAACACTGTCAGTTCGTGATAGGTTTCGCTGTTTCTTTTTTTTTTTTTAATTTTGTGATACCTTATTACGTCGATTTTCTACTTTATCGCAAGTGGTCATGTAGATTTCTGGGTAGGTACTTTCTGTTCTGGTACCATTTTAGGCCTTGTCCGCCTCGCTGTGTCTTTCAGCCCCAGAAACCAGCACTCTCCTCTATTTGATCAAGGAAATGCATGAGAATCTCAGGCTTGCCGGTAGTAATTGCAAACCACAGAAAAATAACCCATTCAAAGTTATTGAGGAGACTCTCCCGAATCTCGAAACGTCTGCCCGAGGTACTGACAAAACACTGTAAGTGTGCTCCAAATAAAGCCCTATTAACCGCTAAACCAAGTCTTATGGTAGGTGAAAGACAAGAATTGAAGCCTTGTTGTTTTTTTTTTCCATTTTTATACATTTAATGCTTAACTTTAGAATAATCTCTGTGCCGGTAATCGCCTCAAAATCTTGCTATCTGCGTCATTGTATTAGTACAGTTGAATTCGAACTGCTGTTATGAAGAAAGATGCGTTTTTCGGCGAGACTTAGTGATTCTTCTTGTTTTAAAGACGCAGGCGCTATTGGATCGAATGCTGGCGGGCACCCAGGGTTCACTTGAAGATCGGGTACACTTATTACCCGATTGTATGGGTGCCTGACTTTTGGCGATTTCTGCCACAATGCTGGGGCAAGCACTCACCCAAAAGCCTTTCACCTACTGATAATGCTCATGTACATCCGCAGTTTGTTATTCTGTTGTTTTCGCTTTATCATTGTGCCCGGAGCCATATTCATTGATTGAAATCGCAATCGGCTATCTGCATACACTTTCGATACTAATGGTTCGATCTTACACTGATTTCACTTCTTTTTATGGTATCTTCAGTAGTGCCGTTTCGTTGTTTTAAGTGCCAACCATACACTTGCTATTTTTCTACCGCTTTAAGGCAGTCGGTGCTTTCTGCACTTTATCCGTATTATCCTCCACTATCTTCTGATGCGTTTTGCTTGACTCGTCACTTAGATTTTGGCACCACGGGACCCTGAGGAGACTGCACTCGGTGATCTGCGTCCCGAAGGGTCGAAGGCTCGTGGGCCCACGGAATCCGAGTTAGTCAGGTTCAATTTCGATCCTTCGTATATGCAAGCCGACCAACTGGACGTTCACGTGGCTATTCCTAGCTCCCAGCTCCTCTTTTACGGTGCTCTGATTCGCTATATCATTCATTTTAAGGTGAGTTTTTACGTGTCGCCAAAGTTGGAAAGCCAACAAAGTTGGCAAGTAGGCTTTGCTTGAAGGAATGCGCAATGCATGGTTGATTGGAATTTAATTACTAAAGTACCTTTAGGCACGTTAAGATACTGCTTAATTATAAACAATTTGTCTTAAACCTAGTTTAAATTCATCTTAGTTCCAAGTAATTATTCAACGACTAACTCACGCAAAAGCAAAAACTCATGTTTACTTCTTAATTCTCCAAAATTAACGCCCAGCTCTTGTATGGTTACTAACACGAATATGTCCTCGCTCCCCTCAGTTATTTTAATTGCTAAGTGGAGCATTACATCAACGTTTCCTCGTGAGCTTCCGTGTCCATTAATTGCGTTAGCTTTCACATTCAGGAAAACTACTTTGGTTGCTACCAGACGCCTATAACGACGGAAGACCTAAAGGTGTATGGAGTTAATGAAAAGGGGGATGGATGCTTAGTGCCCCCACATATTTCTGCGCATGACCATCCAGGCAAATCAAATAATGTGGTGGATCCTCGTGAATATCGGCCTTTTGCGGTCCGAGTCACGGTCTCCATTCACAATCTGCAGGCGCATTTACCTATGGTTAGTCATCATATTTCCTATTAGTTTAAACGACGCATTCTGGTGCACTCACAATCACTCGCGTTTACTAAAGTGGCTATTTTATGCATTGTGCACAGTTCATATTGACTTGCCAAATCTATGGCGCGATTTCCAGATTCTTTTTTGGTACCAAAGATTGTATTTCACTGTTTCGTTGTTAGCAGACTTTAATAGTAACAGTCTCAAAGCGTAGCTAACATGAGAAATGTGACAATCATCGCTGGCACAGATCACTGTTACCAACTGCAGCCCTTAAACTTTGGGTACGTTGACAAGGTTTGGCACTGGTAGTTCATTGTATCAAATTTTGATTTACTTATTACCAATCCCGGCACCTCATTCTTCATTCTCAACAACAGAAGGCTCTTATGAAAACGCTTGAGTAACTTAAAGTCAGAACCACTTTGCTTAAACCGTTGTTTTGGGAGTACTTTCTACCACTGTTTTTTCCTCTAACTTCCACGCATTTGACGAAAAGAATCGGCACCCTTTGAAATGAGTTAATCTCGGTTAGTCGGATTTGATGATCTGGACAGTCCATGTAATGGGGAAGTGATACAGCGTTTTATGTGCACTTGATTTGTGTCGAGCGCTTTGCCAATGGATAACGTTTTGCACAATGGATTTCTCCTGGAGTCACCGTATTTCTATTTGAATCTCAGATAGCTGGGTCAAATGCTAACCTTGGAGGCTGTTAATGGTTTGCTAATTAAATTCCTTTCTATTTTTATTTAGCACACCAGTTCAGAAATACCTCTGTGTCCAACAGCTTTCCTCGATTGCATAGGATTTGAAATGGATAAGAATTTTAATGAAACAAAACTACAACTTCTCTTTTCACCCGTTCTTCTCTGCGTTTTTGATAAATGCAATGTAAGTCACTGCCAGCATGTTATTTTAAGACAAATGAAGAACACATTAACGTGCGAAATGCTGTTCTTATTTATTAGGCCTATCGTCCACCCAACGCCGATAACCTCAGCACAGGTAGGGCTCAGCTGACCGGATTCGAGCTCAGAGGACATGCAATGTTCAGCAACAGGGGTCTCCCATTGAAGGCGGATACAGTGGAATACGCCTGGCTCTTTGAGATCACGTGCGGTACCCTAACTGGGCAACTAACTGCACCCCAAGTTTCCTCCCTCGTACAGAGTGTCTCAAGCCTCATATTCTCAGCTATTGATTTGGAGAATGCCATTCTCTCTCGTAGATCGGGAGAGCTTTGCCAACACGCTCTAGACCCTGTACATTCGCGTTTATTTTTTACTCACGTTTACGTACTATAGCGCTTCTATCTTAAGGATTCAGCTTCAATCTCGTTGCTTATATCTCACTTTTAAAGGCAGATACTGTTAGATGTTGGCACATGATTGTTCTAAATTCATCGTTTGCGGAAAGGAGTTGAAGCGGGGGAATGTATGTGGAGATGACCAACGTTCAACATTTTCTAGTAGATGGAATAAATTCTCCTCCTAAGGTTCTTTACAATAAAAGTGTCGTGTTTCGTAGACCCAGTGTTCGTTCTGGACGAGCAAATCACCTGGCGCAAAGTTGTGTCCAACAGAGATTGAACTCAAGTATCGCCTTTTTCGGTTCAACTTGGATGGTGCGGAACTGGCTATCGTGGAGTCGGGCACGTGCCTAATGATCATGCTGGATGCTGTCCGTGTGGCCCGCTGCAACATGCATGACGTCCACTCTCGCGACGGCATCTCTGTTTTCCTTCCTCGTGTGCAGTTCCTTCAGTTGATTAAACCCATCAGTGCGTCAGTCCATCATCCTCATTGTATTTCCTCTCCATGCTAAGTGTTATGAAGTTCCCACCTTCGGCTTAAATCGCATTTTATGATCGCTCGTGTTAATGCAATGATTTTCGCCAATGACGCATTATTTGTAACCAAAACGGAATTCCTTTGTACCTCAGTTCGCTCATCACCGTTAACTCAGTTTATAGCACATTTGTTGTTGGTTAGCAGGTCTAGTGGCCACTTTCCCTTCAACAAGACCTCACTATGTGCAGTCTGAGGGCTGTGAATCGGTTTCATTACTTTTTTTCGTAGAATTGGCATCACAAACACTGGCTAAGGATGGTACACTACATAGCTCTTCTGCCAAGACACCTTTGACGTCTCAGCCTTGGTTGGAGGCGGGTTCTCTTGGCTTCGGTCCTGTTCATCTTCACTCGGGCATTTCGGGTCTGGACCACGCCTATCGTGACCCTCAGCTGGTTTTTATTCGTCACCATGATGCTGCCTCTCATCGTCTCTGGTTTCTCTGGCTTCCGCACGACTCCGTGATATCCTCCGATGCAGCTGTGCGATGCGGCTGCTATGGCAACTGTGCCTTTTTTGGCCCAAACGCATCGGGTAAAATGCTTCTCGATGAGGTGTTAACTGGTGTATTCTCTAGACGCGCTGTCTTCTTTTCCGGATTAAACTCAAACCCGTCCGAAATCACAGAAGACGGTCCACTCAGGCATCCTTTGTAAGTTTAACCTTCTCTTTCCCCACCGAAGTATGACTACGTGTTAAGCAGTTAATGCATTAACATGGTATGGTTTGAACAAATTTGGGTAACTAGTTCAATTCTAAACACTAACAGAACCTCTTTCAATGCTGGCACGACGGAGCGTAGTCTTGGGGTCAATTTTGGAGAGAGTCTTTTTGAGCCAGATCAATTGGTCTTCCAGTTGCATAACTCAAATGTTTGTTCGGACACCTCAAATGGCTTTGCCCTTATGCGGATGGATGTACTGATGGCGGATGAAGCGGCTAAGTTTGAAACATCGACTCTCTCCCAATTGTGTTACTGTTCCTCTGAGGAAGACAGGGAAGAAGAGGAGAACGCAGATTCTTCATTAGCTACACTATCCTCTTCAAGCGGTGATGAACCTCAAGACTTTAAATTGACTGAAAGCCTTGGGGGAAAAGGAGGAAAGCATGAAAGAAGAAGGGGTAGAGGCAATCGCGCTCGTTCATCCACTGCATCTTTGGAGAAGCCGTTGTTTGGAGAAGAAGAAGATGGTGCGCTAACTAGTGATCGCGATGGTTCAGCGCCCGGCCTTTCACTAACAAGTCTTCCCGATGGTCTGTCGGTCGGGCTTCCAGCAGCTCAGGTTTTACCTCCCCCACCTCCACCCAGGCAGTTAGTCTCTGATGCATCGGCAACGCGCATTTCCACCAGTTCTGTCCCCCTCTTCACTGACACTTCGGACACGCCCTTTAATCAACGAAGAGGCAGCACAAGCTCTTTGCGGTTCACTCATGGACCCTCGAAAGCATCTGACGAATCGACCCTTTCCGGTGAAGATTTCACGGCAAAATATGTCGGTGAGTGACCGTTGGCAGGTTTACCGCCAATCTCAAAGCGGAATTCAGGTTAATGGGTTGGTTATTTGTATCCATTTGCAGATCTTCATGGACAGTTAAATCGTCCCATCACAGAAAGCAGTCTTTTGAGAACAGCGTATGAGCGACATTTGAATCGTTACATAGCCAACACCGAGCTGTGTCCCCCATTGCGATTAAGGCATCGCTGGCGAGTCTGTCGACGCTTTCGAGGTCGCCAGCACTGTACAGTTGATGTGGGAAAGGGTGAAAATGGTGAGAGACTGGTAGACGCAAGGCCCAAGTGCGGTTGCCGGATTGGAATTGCCAAGGCTCCTGAGTTCCTTTGTTCTGCCACTGGTTTCTCATTCCGATCCATGGTGGATGCCATGTCTGAGACAACGATTTCGGAGACCACACCAACCAGCATTACTCATCCTGAAGGCGGTAGTCCTGCTCCTTCGTCCTTTCGAATCTCTGATCTTCGACCATTGCTCTATCCTCGTAGGTTACAACTTTTAACCACTCCGTTTAAACGCATTACATTTCATGCACACTTCGCCTAGCTGAACCCAATACAATTCGGGCAACTAAGTACACGGTCTTCCCATGCTATGTGGTGAATATTCATTTAATCTAACCTTAAAGTTTTGATTATTATCTTGAGAATGGGTTGCAAAATAAGCCCAGGTTTGTCTTTTCGTACTTTAATTAATCTCCATCGCATTGTCCACAGCGTTGATTAACGATTTTGTTTAATCCCGGTAGTTTTCTGCCTTTTCATTATCTTCCTTGTGTTAATTTTAACTTTAGAATAATTTAACTGTCGAAATTTAAATTGCTTCCAGCATCGTCATTCCAAATTTGCGGCAAACCTCAACTAAAAGTGCCCATATTTGCTCATTCGATGAGTAATTATGTGTACGTTTGTCGGGATTTGTGAAACTAGAAAATGGTGTGCTTGTAGCTGGTCAAATTTTATTCTCTAGACTGCTGCAATGCGCAGGTATGCGAATCTTCTGCCGCGTCGGTCTCTCGTTCCTCCACCACAGTTTCAGTTCTCGGGCCGGTTGATATCTTTCTCACTCCACTCTGCACCGAATGCATCGATAGGTTGGTGCTGGATGTTGCTGCAAATCTTTTACACTTGTATATTTGCGTAGCAAATTTTGAAAGCATTAATTCATTGAATTGAATGCAGGCATCTACTGTTGATTTTACATTATACCACTTTTTCAGCGCATTAGTATATGCATAACTATTATACCGATGGCAGTGCTGCTTCCAGAACCTTCTATCAGTATCTTGAAGCGAAAAAAATGAGCTTTATGTCATTTCGGATAAGGTAAACCAGTGCAATAATGCGATTAATCAGCAAGTATTTATATATTATAGACCCTTGTCACAGTCAAGGAGGGGCTTCCCTTTCAAAACACTAGTCCTGAGTTTATTTTTCGAAATGTTTCTAGACTTCCCTATCCCTTCATCTAGATATATAACAATTATGGCACCAGTTTTGGCAAATCGTTCTCCGAGCTCTGTTATCGACGAGCTACACTTCAAGTGTATCCTTTCCGCTGGTCGTCAGGGCAAAGTGCTCTATGAACAGCTGAAGCACCAAAACCCTCAAAGTAGCTCAGATCCTAAGTCACCTTCCTCGCCGTCATTGCAACAGCATACAAAACGCTCCATATTCTTTGATCAATTCTCTGAGAACGCTCTATGGTTCCACAAAATTGGTGGTGATCATGGCCCTACTTTCACCGGTAAAGCGTCTTCAATTGATTCATTTTTTGGATTTTCCAAATTTTATTGCTAATCACATGTCTGTTGAATAGCGCGTTCGTGAGGCGATATGTTAAGCTACATTTTCAGCATTTTTTTCCTTATCTGGAAAATTTTAGACACACAAGCGGGTCACCGCGATCGCTCCGTCTCTTCTTTCCATGCACCAAGTATGGATGACTCTAGTGAAACACCGAGCACCGTACTTCCGAGGTCTCACAGACAACTACTTCCTTTCTCGGATAGTCGCTACCACCTTGCCGAGGAGAACAACCTTGTGGGTTTTCTCTCCCTCGGTCGTGTAAATATAGGATTTATGCAAATTTACGCAGTGGAGGACATCGTCACTGTTGACAGTCTTTCCTTGGGTTTGCATGATCTTACCTGCGTCTCACTGCTCACTCTCGCCGTGGACATGGTTAAAATAGAGGTAATGCTGATATTTTGCGCATAACTTGAATTAATTAGCTCAAGGCTTTATTAAAAAAACCAGCTGAAAAATCGTGTTGTCATTTTTTCTGTGACTATTCTAGGTTCTTAACAATAGACGAATTCTCCATTACGGCGTAGAATCCCGTGAACTGACGTCATCATCACACGGATTTTCTCCGGACCTCCTTTCGCACAAGTTGGCGGGCGAGAGAAGGTTAAGCAAGGTTCAAGAAGAGCATGATGACGATACTTCTACCGCTGTTTCTCCACTTCTCTCCTCTCCCCTTCGCTCAGATGCAGTTACTCTACGTCCTGATAGTCAAGCCTCCGCTTTGATTTCTAGTTTAAGAAAACGCTACGCTGGTTCGTTTGTGGTGATTTTAGTTAGCACAAAATTTCGAGTAGATTCCGAGAAATGCATACAATGGAAAACTTTAGTAATTCTGATGCATTCGTTGGACCGATCCTAAGTTTGCTTTGGTGTTTTGCGGCTCTTCAGAAGGTGATGTGGAAACCGGATTGCCACTACCCTTACCTGCGACTCAGTCTTCTCCTTCCAAGGTTGTTAGCGCCACAGAGGTTCGCCACACTGAGCGCCTCGTCTGCAACTTCTCTATCTCTCGCATCCACTCGCAGCTCCGTCGACTCACACGCGAGTCTTCATTCACGCCCGAGGTTCTCCTCACTGCTATTCCCTTCTCTGCCTCGCGTGTTTTCTTTGCCTTTGATGCGGATCAGCAGTCGCGATTAGTCACACGCAAGTCGTCGCCAGCTGGCGGACTCTACACAGGCGTACATGGGCCTGCACAGGCCAGCCTTGCTCCTTCTCTTCACTCTTACAAACCCTCAATTTCAACTCCTAGTCCTTCTGATTCTTTGCTACCTGGGCATTCTGCGGGCTGGATTATGTTTGAGTCTGGTATGGAAGAGCTAACATTGCTTTTTGTTCAGCGAAGAGGCTATGGGGACTCCTTGGAAGAGAGACCTGAATCAAGGAATACTAATAAAAAGCTTACATCTACTGCGAGCGTGTACCCTTCACAGGAAGGGAATGTGGAGACTGAGGAGGATAGTGTTGATCCCAATCGGAACACTGGATGTAGTCCCACTCTCGTAGTAAGTGGCCGAACTCTCATTGTATTGTTCAACGCAACTGCTACTAAAAGTGGGCTTTGGTTTTTTTTCAATAATTAAAAGTTAGTGCATCATAGTTTCCTTCACTTTTGTGTACTTTGGCTTTGTCCTATTCACGCATTACTTTATTTTTAGGGTGATTTTGAAAACAAGGCCCTCAAGGATGATGGCGATGATGAAAATGAAGGAATTAGGAATGCTTTTTTAATGAACTTGCATGTCAAAACCGTTTGGCTCAACTTTCCTGCTCCCAAGCATTTACCAAACAAGCGCCGTGTCGAAATTATACGGTAATGGAACCGTACTCTCAGAAGGCATCTCATGATGGTTTGTACTAATGGCACTTGATTTTACTTTAGATCCGACTGGAACTTTTTAAGCACTGTGACTCCAACAGTGAATGCGTGGATCGGACCCTGCAACCGCCTTGCATCAAATTCGAAGCATTTTATCTCCATCACGGAACGGCGAACCCTCTCGGTTCTCGCCTGTCTTATGATGGAGGCAGTGAACGGGGATAAGCCTCTACCTGACTTCCGTTTCAGCTCCCTCGAAGATGAGGTGTTTTGGCTTTTTGCCGTTAATAGCTTCGAACGGCAGCTGTCACCAGAATCACTGATCCTATTTCCGTGCTCTTTAGATGTTTAGCACTTACTCAACTCTGCGCACACCAGATGCACGTAGGCTTCGCTACGATCCCTCTTGCCAGATATTCACCACCCTCAGACGCTATCTACAGGCCCTTCGAAAGCAGAATAGTCAGGAATTTGTTGATGCCAAACTGAATGAGTGGCTGCGTGAATCTGTTCTCCCTGAGAAAATGATGCTTCTTCGTGGTCTTTTTCTCATTCTCCGCGAGTGGCGAGTTGCTGTCGACGTCATGGTTTTAGCTACTGTTCCTCCGGTAATAACTCGAAAACTCACTGCTCTGTTAAGTCGGAAGAAGGAGCATGCAAATGACGGTAGAAATACAGTTTTTTCTCATGACCCCGTGGAGCGTCGACCATCAGGACTGACGTTGCGGATGTTTGAGTTGTTGACGCAGAATCCGGGTAGTTCATCACGCACTCTTAATCCTGCTGGGGATCGTCTTCAAAACCAGGTTTCGGGAACAGTGGAGGAGGTGGATGACATCGAGGAATCCGATCTGGATGACGAATCTCTCGTTAATGATTCGCGAGTTCGTTGTGAAAATACTATCCTCTATCGTTTTCTACAGGATGCTCAGCATGGCATAAGGTCTGCCTACTTGCGATTCATTTTAAACATTAAGGATTATTTGCTTTCTAAGAAATGTGTATTTTCCTAATCCTCACTGCAATGCAAGTATTTCATGCATTTACAAGTAATTCTTTAGAGCGCAGCCTTTCGAGCCTTGAAATAATTCCTATTTGTTGCTATATAAGCGTCTCATCAGTTTTTTAACTCCACTTATCATTTTCAATTCTCGCCTTCTGAGATACTTGAATTCAAGTTCATTTTTCTCTAAAAGTCTGCATAATATTGTTTATTCGATCTCTTAAACGTATAGACACGGAGGCTCTAGTGCCAACATTCTGGATGCTGCTGAATCCTCACCAAACTACAGAAGCACTGCGACTTATCAATCGCAGCAGGCTCAAGTAGATACGGAACCGGAGGTGACGTTTCGTCCGAAAGCTAACGAGAGTGGGAGGAATGGTCAGCAGCATCATCGTTTACCCTCCATCACCTCGGAAAACGTGAATCAGATCAATCATTTGAGAGGTCAATTCCGTTTCGTTGACGACGCACAACGACTTTTCAGACCTCTACTCGAGGCCATAGGCGTTAACATTAAGGTCCGCCCTAGTATCAAATGTCATTTTTTTGCTGAGATTTTATTAATTCATAGTATTTGCTAATTCCAGGGCGTCCGTCGTAGCGCGCTGATGAAGAAGTTTGGGGGCCTCTTTGCGGCTGAGGGCATGCTCGACTGTTTTCAGATTGAGATATGCGATTCTTTGGAGAACCCGCTGCAGAAATTTAAGCCTTCATTATCGAGCTCAACTTTGACTGCTGAGAACACGGGGTCTTACCGTTTGGGAGCAAGCACTCTGCCAAAGGTCAATGTCAGCGCCGTTCCAGCCGCACCGAGATCTGTCACGGGTATTCCCAGTCCCTCCACCCAAAGAGCGCTGATGTGTCATCGGTTCTCCACCAAAATCACTCTTCGTGACGTCGTTGGATTTGGCAAGCAAGATGGTGCTAATGTATGCCTTATCATCTTAGCAGATGGATTTCATCACTTATTAGGAAAGTAAAACTTAGTTTGAAACCTTGATTCACTTAATTTGGTTGAGGTGATATCGTCGAACATTGCCTTTACCAATTCTCTCATGCGATATTTTTGTTAGCGTTGCAAGAACGTCTGCCTCGACACCTGTGTTTAGTTCAGTTGCGTTATTAATGTTAACCGTTTAAGGCCTCCAGAAAATCGAGGTCACTAAATTTAGGGGGATCGTTTTTTGCTTCAGTTGCGACTGGGTGATGTGGAACTGCGCTCTACGACGACTAAAATAATAGCGGATCTTCATGTGGACAGCATCAGTCAGCACTCAAATATGCCCCTTTTCAGGCTTACCCACCAATTTGTTACAATGTTTTATTGCGCTCGCGATGCGCAGAATTCAGCAGAAAGGAGAAGAAATCTCATTGTTTGTAAGGCTACCTTTGATGCCAAAGGTGAATTTCCACGATCGCTTTAAAAACTAATCTTAAAAACATTCTTTTAGTAACTTCAATGCAGACAACAATAATGGTCGTTATTCGTAGATAGTTATTTTATGTGACCCCTTAATCACTAAACTACTGCTTTTTTTTTCGTTTGTGTTTACTACGTACTTGTTTAGAACTACTTTGTGAGGACAGTACATAATATTTATACTCCACCAAATATTAATTTGCTTGGATGTTTAGATTCAGTGACGGATACAGTTGAGACCGGAAGTACTCTCAAATCGCGTCCAGATTATATTCGGCTCAGTGGTCAATCTCAAGGTAGCACAATCGATAGTGCTGCTCATCAGCCTCTTGCCAATGCCGGTGGTGAGATTTTTACCAACTAGCGTTATGGTCGTAATCTCATTCGTTCTCGAACCTCCTTTACATCACAAATGGCTTTGCAGATACAAGAGAACCATCCTTTGGAAGTGCGCCTGTATCGATACCCGGTCAAGGCTCTCAGCATCTGCCATCCCCTTTCGAGTCTTCCCAAGACCCTTCATTCGGTAGGGATGCTGGACCGTCCACCAATCCCCCTATATTGGGTACAGGAGCCCGGGACAAATCCTTTGATATGCCTCACTTAACTGCCGCTGGTCAGCTTCCGCTGGTCCCGGTTGATGCTGGTGAAGCAGTCCAATCCTCTTCGATTCCTGAATGTTGGAGGAGAATGCTGCGCTATATAGATCTCTACTCAACAGTTCCTGAGACGAAAAATGTCACAAAGAGGGTATGGGTTCAATATAGTCTTCAAAACATTCCACCTCATTGACTAAAATCTCACTCGAAATTTCCTATTGCTTAAGGAACAATTATACTAAAAGGATTTTTCAATATTCTGTTTTTCCAATTATTAATATATCTTGAACTCACTGGGGGGTACCAATTTTTAACTAATTTCAGGCGTCTGTCATGCCAACAATATTGGAGGAAAATGATTACTTCTGTCCTGTACGTCTCGTTTTTTGTTTCGTTGGAATTGCCTTCAACAACTGCATGAAGTCTGATTTCTCTCATTTCGTTCGTCTTTCTTTCCGCGTTAGATTTTTAGCGAGTCGATTGTTTGATTTCCTACTTGTATTTATTAATAACCGGGCGATTTCTTTCCATTTTCTGGAAAATTCTCCTCGGACCCTACCATATCTTTAGGCTGCTTAATGATCTAGACAATCTTGATGTGCTTGTCTGTGTCGATTTTATTCCTACAAGAGGTGGCGCATTTCACGCAAGTAATTGCATGCCAAATATTGCATGCAATACTAATTCAAAACTTAAATTCAAGTTCTTATTTGTAAGATGCATGGCTGCTTCGCTGCGTGTAGCTTTGACGTTGTGCTTTTAACACTTAGTTAATTTTTGCTTTTCCTCAAAATGCGTGTCCTGCTCAGCCATTCGGTATTACTCGTGTCACTGTTAAGGCTTGAAAATGGCGTAACCAAAAGTCAGTCACTTGTATCAATCTCTTGACGAGTACTTTGCTTCTTTGCTCTGTTGAGGATCTTGATTTAGCCGTTGTGTGTCTACGAATTTGTATAGTAATTGCTCCCGATCTCTGTGCGTGATCTGTTGATCCAAATAGGGGCACTATGGGCATGTTTTTCCTGTGACTACCTTGCGTACTTTGCACATTTTGTTGGTCCACATCCAACTGGATGGTTTGAAGGTATCTGTGTGGTATCATTCCCTACGCTCCCTGTTACTCTGTTTCTACCTTGATCTCCACCTATGAACTGTTTACAAAAAGGGTTTTTATGGTTTTATCAAGTTTTATCAAACAAAAAATTAAAGGGAAGTAAAAAAATGCTGTTTGAATCCGGAATCATAATTCTGACCGCAAGTAGGCTAATATGGAAGTAGCTGTAATGAATCCATCGGAGCCCTATTTTTACTTCATCTGCACACACTTACAGGCAATGGGACACAAGGAAGAAGCTGCGACTCATCTAGGCGGTGTTGCGGGTCTTGTGGGAGGATCTACCTCGCGCTTCTCCTTTATGGGCGGCCGCCACGACACCACAGTGGACCTGGAGGCGGGTCTAGGACAACGCCACTCCGCCACATCCGTGTCCGCATCGTTTGACTCGGTGACGGGGCCTAGGCGTGGCGAGCGGAGCATGGTTCCTTCGCCCTGGTTCAAGACCTCTGAGCGCATCCCCACTGTGGTACTCGTCACCATGCGTGTTCGCCAAATGACCGTTTCTGCAGTTCTCTCTGAGGTCAATCTCACCGCTGTGGTGCGTAGAATCCATGGCTCCTTCACCAAAACCAATCGAGTTCGAGGTCATAGTGAGTGCACCTGTCCTCCCTCATCTCTAGATGCTAACGCATTTTACGACTTCTCTATTTTCGTTCCCTAGAGTGGGCTTTCAAATAGATTTCCTCTTGTCAAAAAGCCTCCATTCGCATTACATTAAGGTGAACTGTCATAGTGGTTTAAAAGTAATCATGGTTTCCGGTTCCTGGTTAATGCTGCTAAAATTAGTGTTTTTAAGTCATTATAACGATCTGCAGTTTGGTTTTTGCGATTCGGATGAAGGTCCCTTTGACAAATGCATCGTTCGTATGGCATTTAACGACTTGAACTTAGTCGTTTATTTTAAACCGTAAAAGTTGCATCACAGGGCACTTTGCCAATCATTTTTGGGCATTCATATTTTCTAATAAAGGTGAAAGTGAATTTTCTTTCGGTTTTTATTTTGCTTTTAACGTGTATTACGATGTGGGACGTAAACGGCAACTCTAGACTTTTCATTTCATAGGTTTGTTCAAGGAAAGGTCGTCAAACTTTAGTTTTTCTGGTCACTTTGGAGACGGTGATGTTCGGTTGACTGAAGGGATTGGCAAATTTGCACAGTAGGTTTTTTTTTAATACATGCCTGAATTCAACGATCGAATAAAACAGAATGCATTATTTGTTAAAAGAAGTGAATTTTTCGCAACCTTGTTGTTCAGTAGCTGCTCATAGTCAAATCATTGTTTCTCTTTGTTCAGCTTATTCACGTAGTTTCCACTTTTGTTCCAGGGAAGCTGCTTGCATGAAAGTCGATCATTCTCACGTCTTACTCTCCTGTGTACGATCGTCGCGCCATGGTGAAAGAAATGCTTGTGTCATAGGGTTGGGGCATGTTGAAATCACTGTACCTCATCATCCAGTGCGCCTTCATGGAATGGTTCAACGGCAGGCAAGGCACCTTAGTACTACTGTCTCTGAATTTCTCCAACTTCCCAATAGTCCTATCATCCCTTCATCCACCGGTAGTCGGAAGTATGCTGTCAGAATTTGATTTCGACATTTTATCGTTTTTAACCGGTGTAAGTTTCTGGCCATTGGACTTTACTCATAGACGAACTTGCATGGACGGGGGATTGACAGCGAACTTGGAAGAATTCAGTCACAGATCAGGAGCTGAAGATCATCTTCTTGGCAACGATGGTGAAAACGGTCCACACCTAATCGTCAATATGACAGCCGTCGCAAGAGGCCTCACTGTTAATGTCTCCCTTCATCCTACTCTCAATGCCATCTACACTGTGGATCCTGTTTACTTCTTGGGACAGGTCGGACCAAACGGGTATTTGGATGTGACCGTTAACAAACATGCGCTCAGTTTTCAATCTCTGGTGAGTTTGAACACTCAATCACTGTCAGGAATCGATTGGAGAACCGTCGTATTTACATTTTCTATCGTTGTTTATTAAATCGTTCTAGAATCGTTTCAAATCGTTTCTCTAACACCTTCCGTGTTTTTAGGACGCTGTTCCACTCTAGTAAAGCTTTGTTTTTCATTACAGCAACTGCCAATCATGTTTCCACGGTCTGTTAGTTTAAGTTTGCCAAAGATTTTGGCATTTTTGGCTCGGCGGCAGTCACCTGGCGGACACTGCATTCTCGGCCCCAGCGGTGAACGAATAGTTCCTCATGGATTGACATCTCGCGAAGGCTCCTACCTCGATGCGCAGGTTTCGGTTGGCTTCTTTGAGCAACGCTTGCCCTCCGATAGGCTCAACTACATAATGGTTGTCGTCAAGCTCCTCATGAAGGTATTTGAAATTCTTTTGCTTGTATTCTGACCTTGTTCAACTAGGATTTGAGCATGGTCTGTTAAGTGGTTGTCCTTAATCTCCTACTATTTTATGTAACCACTGAAGGAGATAAATGAGGTGATCCGGAAAATGGCGGGTGAACAACAGCCTTGGCAAACGGATGCAGCAACGCCGGCAGGTCAGCTTCACTCTCGATTTTTACAGCAACATCACCAGCAGCAGCAAACTCCCCTCTTCCGTCGGTGTTCAGCTTCAATGATCCCACCTGAGCCCCTCTTGGAAGTATCTGCGGCTCCTCCCAATCGATTCTCTGTTTCCAGTCGTTTCAGTTTCCGGTGGGTAATGGTCTAGATCACAGTTTTATCAGTATTCCAATTTGGAATTCATATTTTCTTTCCACGCAGTTTGAAATTCGGTGGGATTCTTCTCCTTGCCAAGACCTTTAATGGTGCGGTAAAATTTGAGACTTCAGAAATGCATGTTGAACTGTCGAACAGAATCGGTAGGAATCATAACAGCTGGTACACTGACTCCTCTTCCTCGTTCTCCGCGCGACCCCAGCATGACCTCTCAGGCTCAACACCACCTGTTAAGACAGAAAAAGCCCAGCCTGCACAGGATTCTAACTCTCGACCACAGGCTCCCTCGGATACGCTCTCGTTCACAAGTAGACCGTTGTGTTCAATTATCGATGTTCCCACTCCGCTCCTATTCATTAACAAGTTCACTTGTCGTTAGGTTCTGAATCAATTCTCATCTACGCCAAGATCGATCACATGAGCGTTGAACTTGGACATCTTGATCAGGTAGGATTTCTTGCGTCAAACGCCTAAAAGCTGGATTGATGTTGTTTGTTTTCCCATCCCCATTGTCTTCATAGGACGTCTTTTACGAGGTGTGGGATCAGGAGTTTCGCACCCTAGCCTTCTTCCGCACAGCTATCGCTCTCCGCTCGCTTCTAGCGGAGGAAATAAATCTTCCCGCCAATCAACAGATACACCGGAATTCATTACTTCGCAACTATGAAGAGGGTTTCTCTCGTTCTTCCCACTCCCGCTCTATGCCTCCTCGTACTGATGGCGACATCGCTGATACAAGTGGTGGCAATGGTGGTTGCGCAGACGGACATTCCAGTACAACTAGCGGTGCTAGTAGTGTTGTTTTCACACCAGTTGATGAAGCAGGTAGCAGTGGTGCTGTTTCCACTGTTGGTCAGGAGGCCTTTTTAGTATCGCTCCGCCATCCGATCATTTGGGCAAAACCTTCGGCCTTTGATAGAGGTATCAGGCTTTCTCACCTAGTTTGAACGGTTTCTTGTTTGAACATTTTTTGAAGGCTTTGTTCAAAGCACCTCTTAATTAACAACCGATACAAACGCAAACTTTGATAGTTAAACAGTTAATCGTTTCGATTAGAATGACTCATATTTTCTCAATCATTTTATTCAGGAGGTGTAAATTCCTTATTTATCTACTCCATTTGGTTGAGCATGATCATGGTAGTTATTCATCGATCGGGATTAGCTGTCACTTACATTATAAGTAACTCGGCTACATTCTGTCTAGCTTATTTACAGGCTACATATTCTATCATTTCATTTATCTTTACCTTTGGGAACGTTTTAGCAATACTTCTATGGATGGTCTATAACAGCGAATTTGCTAAATGGAATGAACATATTCAGCAGTTGGATTCATTGGTAAGTTTGTGTCTCTCAAGATAGTGAAATAAGGAACGACTTGGAAATTTGTTTCGTAACTGTTTTATACTTGCCCAGCATTTGGTTTAGTTGTTTTAGCAATGCGGCCATTTAACCTAGCGATAGTAGTAGTAGGCAAGATATGAACGGAAGTAAAGTAAGCCCTTCAACCGTTTGGTTCTGCTCTCGCACTTCTACAGTCCGGTGAAGCAAACGTTACTTCTCCTAACGCAGAGAGGAGTCATCATCGCGCAGCTTCTGCGGCACCACCAACGCCTGCATTTCCCACCGCCCCTGTGCCCTTGCGCTCCGTAGCCTCACCCAGCCTCTCGAGCCCTTCGTCAGCGGACAACACGAGCTCTGGTGGCACTGGCAGCCTCCCCAAGCGCAAACAGTTGCGCGATCCCACATCACAGCCACCTCTACCGGTGCCCTCTGGCCCTATCCTCTTCTTTCAACTCAATGTAGAGGATCTGGGCATCTGCTTACCCACTAATATTCTTCAGGTTTGTCATTTTCTATCCAATTGCTTGTCCAATCTATTTGATTTCCAGTCACACTTTGCTCCTTTTCTTCTTTCAGTTAGGTCCTCAATCTATGGAAGTCGATTCTCGAACTGCGCTTGTGTTAACTTTGGAGCAGAGTCGTATTTCTGCCTGTCTTCGGGGCTCTCTAGTTAGTGAGGGTGAATTTATAGGTATATTTGCTTAATTTACTCTCAAATATTGGAATAAATAGTGCTTACTCAATGGTTTTTTTTCTCGTTGAGACTTTTGTCTAAGATTTGATGACGATTTCAACGTTGGTTCTGATGATTGGAAGCCGGATAAGACCCGCTCAACGGTGACCGTCAAGAAGGAAGAGCATTTGGTCATTATGAACGCGTGTGTGGTGCCCAGGGGTACATTCCGAGTCTGTTGGAAGGCTGTTGAGGCTCTACGTGCAGGTGACTAGTTTCTCTTTCTTTTATGCGTGTATTTTGGCTGAAACGGAATAGTGTTGTGGCCTTTTGCGGAGACAACTCATTCAACTAAATTTACTAGTTTTTCAGTGTTGCCATAAAGTAGGGCCTTTACAAACACCACTTATCAATCGTATGCCTGAATATGTTGGCGCTTTCGTATTCGTCACAGTTTCTTCCTCAATCCTCACAATACATTTCTGCATGATTTTTCCCATACGCCTTTATCTTGCCGCACCGTCATGCACTTCCCTATTAGCTCTCTCTGCTATACTTCCTCATCCATTTTCACCAAGTAGCACTATCGAATTTTAATGATGCTCTCCCTCTGTAGAAGAGCGTGGTCGATGGCTAGTGAAGATTCAGTATCAGATGCGAGGTCTCGATGTACACATGGATGACAATATTGGACGTCGGTTGAACGCCCTCTTCGACATTCTTACCACCGTGGCTAATGTCGAAGGGGAACAGCAGGCTTCTGGCTGTACTGCTGGCGGCGGTGGTGAAACAGAAACAGGGATTGGAAATGGTGCCGTTGACGAATGCTCCTCCTTTCAACCTAGCCTTTCCATCGATGATGAGACTGATAACGTCTTCTCTTCTCGAACCAAGGCTCTCGATTATCCAATCCTCCCTATCGAGTTAGTTGAGACCCTCTACTTAAGTGGTCGTATGAACTTCCCTAGTTTTTGCCTCATTTATGAGCACTTGGAGTAATTATTAAATGCAGTCCATTGTTTTTATTACCGTGTCTCCAACCTCATGCCATTGCCTTTTCAAATCGTCTTCTGATACGTACTTTTTATTTTTCAGAACTACTAACTTGGAAATTCAACGTCGATCTAGCCAATACCGACGTCTCAAGTGGAGCAATCTTCGAAGGAAGGCAACAATACCTTCTTTCCATCGTCGTGGTCTTCACAGAACTAGCTCTCTGAACAAGGATGAAAGATATGATAAATGGTCAGTGCTGAAAAGACTCACAAATGGCATCACTGCGTGTTATGGGCTAGGGTGTTGACACGTACATCGTGTCATCTGGGTCATTCATTTGAGTCTCCAGCTTATAAACCAACAAGCATCGACTCAATCAGTCGATTTTATTGGGCAAACAAATGATTTAAGATGCTGGAGTCAGGCTGATCTGCTTTCAGTTGGGCATATTTGCAGTTTGTAATTGTTTTTGTCCCTCAAGAGATTATTGGAGCAGTTGGATGGCACCTTTGCTTAATCAGAGTCAAACAGGAGATTAAAAGTGAAGATCGTTTTAGAATATTTGATATTAGTTAACGATCGATTCTGTTGCTCTTTAGTCAACCTAAGCAAACTAATAGTGCCGTGCCCTCTCCTACTCCTACTGAAGACGATGGTGATCTTGTAAGCGCTGCGGGCTCATCAAACGCCTGTGATCAAGCTACGTCTTCTCAAACCAATTCCATCTACTTTGACATTGAGGATCCAATCTCAGGCGATCGTCAATCTGCTGTATCTACTCATCTAACTAAGACACCGTCAATTTTTCGAATCGATAAGTTTCCTCATCATAAAGCAGGTAACCTTTAGTAGCAGAGTACTTATCCATCAAGTTTCTTTTGATGCACTGTTGCATCGCTTACCCTCTAGACACTTATTCTCTGCAAGATGAATGTCTTATCAGTGTCGCAAAAATGAATGGAGACCAGACCACTTCTGTTCGAGGGAAATTCCGACAGCCTCCCACACCACCTCCTCGAAAGCACACCTCTGCTTCATCCGTTCTTAAAACTACAAAGCAGTCACCTTTCTCCAGCTCCCCTATAGAGAAGTCCCCTCGAAGTAGCCTACTTTTGGAACTGGATGTCAATATTCACGTAGACTCCGGTAGATGTGGTCTGCATCCTCGTTTACCCAAGCAGGAAGGAGGTGGAAAATCAATTTGGCCTACTTCGCCGGCTATAGGTAGCCCTTCTTCTTTGCAAGACGAACTTTACAAGGCCTATCTGGCCAGATACAAGAGACAACTCTCCCAGGATCCCCTCTTAAAACCAACTGATATCTCCGTGTTTTATCTGCCTGCACTTGATGTTGGAGTAAGTCAGCAATAATTTTTATTTTAATTTTATGTTTTCATTGCGTAAATTTATCTCCCTTATATGCATTCCGACTTCTTGATTTTATCAGGGCGTGAAGTTTTTTCTTGCGTAATGGTCGATCAAACGTTGTTAAGTTGAGCACAGATTATGCATTCCAGCTACACTACAAATCACACACGAACTACGACCTCTGGAATCAACAAGCCTACCACACATCTGTGGAGATGCCTAAGGCGAGGCAAAAGATGGGCGTCGGTGACGGGATCAAGACTGGCGAGATTACGCTTGAACCAAAAAACGACACTCTAACAGCTACTACTGATGAGATGGGCAAGGAGGCCGAAGTGGAAGTGAAGGCAACGGGAGAAGCGTCGAACAGTGACGCTGAGCATTATCCAGACCCCTCTCACAGGCTCACGTCGGGTACAAACAACTCCGTTGGTGCCTACCCTGACGTTGGTCGCTCTGCTGACCTTTATGCCAGTGTTGTCCTTCAGAAACTACCACAGGTGCATTGCTTTCCTCATTTTGAAGGGAGATAATTTCGGCTACTGCTCAGGCCATTTGAGTGTTCGGATTATTTGTGCTTCTTTTGTCTGTTTTAACTTGAGGTTTGGCGAAAATTAAGTCATTTCAAGTCTCAAAATTCAATTCAGTTACAGTTCATTTCATTATTTAGTACGATTTAACATCTCATCTTACCTATGAATTCGTAAAATCGTTCTGCATCGTAATTTACCATTTTCTGGTCGCAATTTATCCTTTCAGTCCTTACGGTGAAATGGTTATTGTTGCTAACTTTTGTTATTTTTGTATTTTAAGTCATTGATCGTACATCCAGGCTTGTTGGATTTCTTGGAACAGGCGTTGGAAAATCTTCCAGGTTGTTATTCATTTTTGTGTTTTTGTCAAACCTTGCTGCGGGAATTTCAGCTATAATTATGTTTCCAGCTGCATTGGATTCTGAGTCGGATGATGGTCAATCGACGCAGCCAAAGTCCTCTGTACAATTCAACGACGCCCTGATGACAAGCACGAAGGCATTTTTGGTTGACGTAGTCGTTCATCTATGCATCAAGCCATCCAGTATTCGGTGCGTTGTTATTGTAACCAGTTTGAATGCAAAAATAAAAGGCACCCTTTTCTCCAGTCTACAATTTTTTTGTACTGGGACATTTCTATTTTCTTTTAATTTTCTATCCTAAAATCAAATTAAACTAACCTGTTTTAAAATTATTATTGAATTGCTTGAGTTATTAATAGGCCAAGCCAACCATTTTGCTTTTCGTCTACAACAATGCGTTATAAGGAAATTTTGTGGATGTCTCAATTTTAGTTTCCTTTGTCTACCTGCTTCCCAAATGCAATGTCTTATCACTCTTCCATCGTTGAATGTGATATTCTCCACCGAACGTCTTGCTGAAGAAAATTTGAAGGATACTGGCACGTTTGGCCTCCTGCCATGACATTACTTTTTGCTCATTTGTGAATGCTATTGTCACCTTAATGTCGTCAATGCGTCACCACTCTAATGGCCCGGAAGTTATCTTTACTTGACCTTAGTCTTTCTAACCTAGTTGCATTCTCATGTACTCCTAATTCATTGATGTCGTTCAATATTAAGCATCTCATTAATGATGTCTTGCTATTCTTCCCATTTGATGCTTATAATCTTGGATTTGCAGATGGAAAGCCCGCTGGTCGCCTCTCGATTACAGCCAATTTAGCTGATAATATCGTCCTCGGAGACCTTGTGTCTGCCAGTGGTCTTAATGTGACTGCTATTCTTAACGGTATAAATCTGCATTCTCATTTATTTCTTGTCCATTTTTTCTTTGATCATTTTATACAATGAGTTGAGTCTTTATCACCCACTAGACTGAAATTGGTAAGGTTTGACAGATATGATGAATTCACCTTTTCATTGCAGAATTCCGTATGTCTGTATTTCACCCTTATGGTGGAGGCATCGGGGGTGTTCTACGACCTTCAACGGAGGTAGAAGGTACATCACCAGGTGACTCTCTGACACTAAAGGTGCGAGACATACGACTCAATATCAGCCGTACTGTCCAGACCAACGTCGTGGGCCAACAGCAACAGCAGTCACGCCAATCCGGTGACCTCAGTACTCTGCCCGACGTGCGTGCTGCCACCGCCACCATGACTAGCTACGTCACTGCCAGCTCCGGCGCTAACAGCATATCCCTTCATAACATCGTTCGTTTCTCCGGTAGGATAAAATCTCTTAACTTCTTTGCGAACCGCAAATCCATTATCTTGTAGCAATTGCCATGTTTAATAAATTTATTTTAGGGGTTATTGACATCGGTGTGGCAGAATTCAAGTGCGACACAAGAAGGAGCTTGGAGATTTTACACATTCCAAAGGCGTGGTATAGGAATAGCCTTGCTAGAGCGCTCTTCATTGGAAAGGACTCGAAAATACCTCGTGCGTAACCCCGTGTTTTCTATCTCAACGTTCACGAAGTATCGTTTTGGTCGTCCGCTATTAAGCACTTTCGTTTTAGTTCATTTCTTCACAGCTTTTTCTCAATTATAGCTTAACTAAGATCCTCTATTTTTTCAAACTTGTCTTCTTTCCTGTGATTCCCTTACACTTTCATCTTTGACGCATAACACATAACATTTTTTGGATATTAATGTCTTTTCTGTGAAAATTTTTTAAAAGCTTTGAAGGATTAGAATCCGCTTATCGATGCACTGCTCATTTATGAATGAATGAGAAGATTGAATGTAAGTCTCTACTTTGTTTTCTAAGCAGGAATGTGAAGTTGCTGTCCCGTTTTTGCTTTGTGGATCAGCACCTGTGAGCATTTTATGGCTTTCACCCAAGTAACTTTTGTTACAAAGGCTTAATTTTTGATTCTCATGTGTATCCTGCACTTCAGCGGCCTTCTATCATATTTTCTCTATCGAATCCTTTTTCCTTGCATGTTCGACGAAAGTGAGCACTACGTAGCGAAATTTATATTTTGTATTCACGTTAAAGAATCAGTGGGGTCAATAGGCGTATCAGGGCCCTCTCGAATCGACGATGATAACACAGAAGATGACAGTGACGTCGTGGTCAGTGAGGACGAGACAGCTGAGAGAATACCGAAGAACCGCGCCACCCCGCCAACCACTGGCGTGGATGATCCTCTCGCCAACTGGTTGCAAAAAGGACCTCGGCTAAAAGGTACGTTTATTTAATGTTACAAGTTCATTTCTGAGTTCACTTTATCAGGTTTTGTAGTGTTAATGCTGATTTGCTTATTCTTTTGCCTTTAGGCAAGGCTAGGATCGGCGCGGGTACGGCTGCGGCTCCAATCAAGCTTATCGCTACCACTGAACGAGCATCGAAGCGTCGTAGTGCCACAACGCCTCGCGAGGGTCTGACAGAATCGCCCACGGTCCAGACAGTTTCCAATACAACTACTCTGCCTCCCCTAATTCCAACAAATTGTCATGCTCCCGAAGGTGGCCTCTCTTCCACTAGTCGTGGAGGTGGAGCCAAGGTGGTCTCTTGGCAAGCTCTTCCCATATTCTATGTCAAAATTGGCAATTTGGACATTAAGACTTACATGGGAAGCGCCATGGGTAGGACAAAGTGAGTTTCAAGTCGTGTTTTTTGGTTTTCTGCAATAATTTTTTTGCATATCACCTTTTTGCTCATTCGTGTATTTCAGACTCGATGTGAAAAATGTGTTTTGCGATGGACGGCTGTATCAAGACTCTTCCAAGCGCAGACATGGTTCTCTGGGCGCGGGAGTGCATCTCTGCCAATTCACCAGTGAGCAGGGTGTTGTAGGAGGCGAGTTCACCCTGTTAGACTTAGAATCGCGCATTCACTTTAAGGAGGATCCTCGCTGCGATCCTCAGCACAGTGCTGAATTGCTCATGCGCGGTCTTCAGTTGCGTATTGAGTATATGAACACAAACATAGTTTTTCTTCGAATTAACCAAGCTGAGATGTATCTTAACGATGAATGGCACCTACGGGAGGCGGACCACCTCTCAGTGAGCGGAATGGGGGATGAAAATGAAAGTAGCGCTACTGTTCTTGCCTCGCGAAGATTCTCCTCTCCTTCGCCAGGCAGTGAGAACGCCGAGGCCGTCATGACTGCCAATATTGGTGCTCCACCTGTCTACGTTATGATTGCCGGTGAAATAAACTGGGATCAACTTCAGGTTTGTTAATCAGCTTTTGAACACATTATTGGTTTCAAAGTGATTACTGAATTACTTTGTGAAACAAAGATAATAAGTTAATGGGATTTACAATTTGATCCGAAACTCTAACGATAGGTAGCGATTGCCCGGACGACCACAGTTGATTTAATGCGCTCGGCACGCAAAGTACGAGAATACTTTGAAGAACAATTGCGTGAGGGTCGTAACAGTTGGATAGGCCAGGGCGACTATCTTTTGCGACCGGATAACTCCAGCGTAGGCGTGATGGTGGACACCTCTAGCACTCCTGGCGATAGCCTTTCACTCCCTACGGGGAGTGGGGAAACTTTGGAAGTCGTCGAACCAATGGCTGTGAGCGCTGCTCTGGGCTTCCTCTGCACTGATGCAAACGTGGACAAATTGCTGCAACGCCACTGGCAGCGTCCTATGCTAGAAGCCATCAGAGCCTGTCTAGCACACATCGGTACACAGGCACCCCTCGTCCGACGTAGTCTTCTAGAGTCCACTGCACCTCCCAATGAGAATTCCGTTCCTCCGGTTTTGGGAGGCTCACTTCAGCTGGCTGGCAACTCGCTTGCCCTTGCCTGTTTTGCGGGGACCTTTAGATCGGCTCCTGATTGGGCTGTCTTCAATATGCAACATCCTACCATCTGGTAATTGTTTGGGTGAATTCATAACCTTTCTCTAGCTTCGAGACGGAAGCACAGAGGGAACCGCGACAACGCCCTATGCGGATGGGAAAGGGTTCAACACTGAATAAGAAATCAGTGGCCTTTGCTTGTGAGGATTCCGAGAGACTTCCGGAGAGCATTGACGAGGTGGGCGGGTGGTTGAACGTACGGCAAGTGCTGAGCTTTGATCTAGGTCATCAGTTGCAGTACCGACCCCAGACCGCCTATGTGTTGCGTGTGAGGCGCGGTCGTGAACAGAACCCCGTTAAATTGCCCGTCACACCCACTATCGCTGAGTGGCTGGAATTTATGTTTACAGCTGTTGACATCACCGGTGGGCTTTTACGCTGCTTTTTGCTCAGCAACTCTTCTCTTTAAAGATTACGATCAAATTAATTTGAACTAACGTCCGAAGTTTGGAGCATTTTTGGGTAGCCTTTGTGTTCGATTCACTTACTGCTTTCTAAATAACAACTTACCTGTCATCTACCTTAATCGTGGTGACTTGTGTTGATAAGTTAACAATCTCTCTCCCAGTCATACATTAGATGTCGATCTAAGTATTATTAGGCAAGGTTTAGTAAGCTGTAGTACGTCTCAAAGTGGCATTAAAGAGTTTCCCTTTACCTTATTCGTTCTTTCATTTCTTATGTCAGTTCTCAGTCATGTCCGCGGAGCTAATCCTCACTACGCCTCGGATGTTGTAAAGCGTAAGTTTTTATTCGACCTCTCTTTCTGCACATTTTGCTATTGTAAAATGTCGTGGTGTACTCTTTGCTGTCGTCAATGGAGTTGTTCGTGGTTTATCAAAGCTACAAGCCACTTGGAAATGAGGTGAATGCCAAACTTATGGGATTTATTACCAAACTGTTTTCTGGTTCTTTGTAGTCACTGAGTTCTCTGTCGATTTTGCTGTCTATCTGCCGTCAACAAGCGATTCACTTCGTCGCCGTTTTGACGGAATGCAAACAAGTGTCTCCCCTGACCGTCCTATCACCGCATATCCAACCTCTGGTGTCGTGGTGACGCCTAGGCGTCCCAATCCTCTGAAGCCTCCAACAGAGGCAGAGATACTCTTTGTTCTACCTTCCGTTTCGATGCGTTTGACCAGTGATCAGCGTCAGAGTATGGCTCATCCCAGGGTCTCCGAGCTCCTCCTCTTCTCCCGTGACTTGCAACACGAAAAGGCGACTGCGGCTGCAGAGGCGGCTAAGAAGTCGAAGGTCGCAACGGCAACAGGACCTACACCTCCTGACGGGGAAGAAGAGGAGACACGGGAGGGTCATGGCAGCAGTAGTGGTGATGGTGAGGAGGAAGAAGAAAGCGAGCGAGGAACCGAAAATTCCTCTGCCAAGGTGCACCTTAGTTTCCAGACGGATCTTCATGGGGTTATTCAACTTGGTCTTCTTGATGTTCCTTGGCTCCCCTTCCTTATAAAGTCCTATATCAGTGAGCAGATGCATGACACCGAAAGTAAGCTTCTGTTTGCTGCTTATTTATGCTTTACATCGCAAGAATCTCTATTGTGTAGGAAATCGAAGCGATCTGTCTCAGAAATGTTCGCATGAAGTTTTCCTCTTTTGTTTTCTTTAGGCATGACTACTCCCGATCCCACCTACGCAGTGACACCCCGTACTCTAGAATTAGCCAAAGAAGGTTTCTTGCCAGGTGGCCACAGTGCCACCGTGGCTGCAAATGCCGTAAGTACGGCCTCACCAATCGTCAAGGACCTACGTGGGTATGATGTGATCCATTGGAATCTCTCGCCTGAATGTCGTCTACTCTTGGCTTCCAATATCGACGTGCCAGCCTTCGACAAGTTTCTGGAGAACATCGGTTTCCACAGAGCTCGGACTACTATCCCCAAGTGGTTGCAGCGTGGCGTACTCGATCACTTGGATTCGGCAGTGGCCGGTCTGGTGCACGCGTCTTTGCAGTTGGCTGATGAACAAAGCAAAGATCAGAAGAGAGAAGAAATGTCAGAACAAAAATTACATGAATGCAACCTTCTGGAGTATTAGTACTGAAGAAGCTCTCGACTTAGACGCCTGTTTTATTTATTTATTTTTTCGTTAAATTGCTATCCCACCCAGCTTCTCGGTATTTTTGGCGATGTAATGTTCCTCGATTTGCAAATGTTCGGCATTCTCTCATTATTGGTTGTGGTAGGGTTTACCATAGCTTGTAGCTAGTTCGACATCGACTCGAAGCAGTAGCGTCCTCTAGTGGTCCTGAAGTCATCTTGGGCTCATCTCTTGCTATTTCATAGGGTTTTGCCTATATATCGGTGTAACAGCCTCTGTGTTTAAATTGAGTGAAGTCTAGGCTGTTGGCGTGTGCGTAACCGCCAAAATATTTCAAGGTACTTTAACATTTATGGCACTGGAGGACTTTAAGGTGGCTTACCCTATTCCTAGTTTTCTTACGTTTTCAATGGATGCAATACTCGGTCAAATGACCTGTAAAGTAGGCTTTGGGTGGCCTTAAAGCCTTGAGCGTCGTCAAGTCTGTCGACGGAGCTTGAGGTGAGCTTCCGACTACGTCTCCGGGCCAGCTCGTAGAGGCTTTGAAAAGTATCGATTAATCGACGCGCAAAAAGCACGTGCGAAGGAAGTTCCACTTGTGCACTTTATGTACTGGCAAAAGCATGCCTCAGATTAGGGTAAAGAATGGACATGCCAGTCGTACTCATCGCTTAAATGATACCATCAACGAAGCTACGAATCAGAGGAATTTGTTGAACTCCACCAAAACTACGGGAGGGGATTGCGGTCCGTCGATGGCCAGTCAGGGCGTAGCCGAGGTGAAACCATCAGAGCCTAGCACGTCTTTCTCTATGAAAAGAGGAGGGATCATAAATGCATCTCACCTGAAGCAGGTGCAGGCACAGGACTCAGTTTCGTCGGATTTGGCGAGGTTTGATGAAAGATATTCATCCCTTCAAGTTGAGTCAAAATGTTTAAGACAAATAGCACAGCATTGGCTACGCAAATCGCATGCGACTTCGGAAATGAGGAAACCAATGTGCGAAAAATTCGAACTTGAAACAGTTGATTCCACAATTAATTCTTCCCTTTTTGATGACCCGCCCTATGAAAGAGATGAAATAAGTTATTCAGACCCCCCAAGTTGTTATGGCGAATCAGCCGCTGAAAAACAGATCGGAAAACCACCTGATATCCAACGAAACAATTCCACAAATTACGATTTCGGCAAATATCAACAAAGCGGAGACTCGTCGACAAAACCGCTATGTACCGGTGGGTACGTTGAGACCGATAGTTGGGATGGCATTGGAAAAATTTGCCTTGGGTTTTGTGGTTTGTGTTCCAGACGCACAAAACACCATCTTAGGTCTTCAAAACGTCAACCAAATTTGAAGTCGGGCGACGAGAAATCTGAGGTGTTTGATGCTCCAACCAACAGAAACATAGAAAGCACGATTTCAAATAATTTCAATTGTGTTACTCTAGGCACAGGTGAAGTGAAAATGCTCTCTCAAACACAACCAGGACCGGATTTTGAAATAAACCAAGAGGCGACTTTAACAAAAGTGGAAGATGAGAAAGAAAAATCTTGCTGTCTCCCATCGAAACTCCCGGGATTGCAGTTAGACGATTCATACAGTAGCGGACCAGAAAGTGAACAACTCTGCAAACGCTTGGGATGTCTTGGAACCAAGCAGGGAATGAGTTTGCTAAGCATTCACGAAGACGATGACGACTGGTCCACCGTAAGTATTAAGCCACCCCAAAATCAGGCTTTAAAAATGAAAAATCGTAATCAAACTGCTCGTTCTCCCCAGTCACTTCCCAATGATCATGTTAGTAGGCCACAGACTTTGGAATTGCATGAGCAATTCAACTGTTGTAACACCCACGCAGATCCATTGGTTTCTGACCGCCAGACATCTTTGTTGCAAAATGAGATTTTGACGTTCAATTCGCAGTCACTGGGACTAGTTCATCCTTGCTACCTCAATTCGACAGTGTCCACCCCCAGCAATGTGTGCAAGGATGAGGCGTCGGAGCAGTCCCAAACTTACGTTTGCCCCAAACCAAATGTTTCGCTCCCTGAATTAAGCGGTCACAGAACTAGAAGCAACACTTGCCACAAAATTTCCAGTCTTAGCTCTTTTTTTGATACGTTTCCCTGTGCAGAGACTATGTGGCCTAACTCCGGTTCCCGTAATTCAAAACCATACGTGTTTGAGAAGACCTGCAATGAATCCGAAGCTTTAAGCCAAAGGACTTATGTGATCGCAAAAATCGACCTCACTGAGTCGTGTGGACCGCAAACTTATTCCATTCCTTCAAACTCCCACTGCGAAGTGGATGATACTGTAAAAAATGAGTGTTTAAATCAGCACAATAATAATGCAACGAACGAAGTCTCCCCAGGGACCGACTTTGCTCTTCCCGGAATGGTTAAAAAACCTCCATCATTTCTCAGTCTGATAAAAGAAGCTCGTGCTGCTAATATGGTTCCACCAAGCTTGTCAACACCCTCATATTCGTGGGAGAAGAAGGAAGCTCCCGAAAATGACTATATGACTCTTCCATCCCGACAGCCAAAGCGACAAAAACAAGTTGATGAACTTGGGAAGGAAATCACGCCCAAAAACGAAATGGAAGGTGTTGTGGAAACGAACCCTGCCATGCCTTCACCTCAGGTAAATCAAAACAGCACAAACGAAACAAAAGCGCCTTCGTTACAGAGTGTTATTGAAAATATGCAGAAGTTAAAAGCCACAGAGATGCAAATGAAGGTTAAAAAGGAAAAGGAGAGAAGTAAAAAAATTGGCACTGAGTCTGAAAAGGCTCTAACTGCTAGTCAGGCTATGGAAAATACCAAAGGTTCACTAGTAGTTGACTACAAGGAACGCAGACGCTTACGACAACAGAAGGAGCTAGAGGAGGCACGAAAGGAAGTGATCGAGGCAACCAGAAGTGCTCTCAAGGACCGGATTGCATTCAGCAAGAAGGAAGGCAATAGCACCGCCTCTTTGGGAGTCAGTAAAACTCTGTTTTGCGGATCCACGAAAGCAATGTTTAGTCCCAATGCATCTTTGAGTAATATAGAAAAAGTCCCAGAAGAAGTGGAGGAAAAGGAAGTACCGATATCAGAAGCCGTAGTAGAAGAGTCCAAAACAGAACTGGCGCATTGCCCAATCCCTGTCGCTGATGTGAGCCAAGATGGTGTTGAGAAAGATGGAGCTAGTAAATGTGAACCCTTTAAAAGGGAAATAGGGAGCAAGCCTCGGCGTGGCAAGAAAATGAGAAAAAAGACCAAGCGGGTCAACGACGAAAAAAATATCAACCCACTATCGCCTAGCAACATGCAGCTTGTACCTGTGGAAAACACCCTAGTTAAATCCTTTCCAAGTTTGGCCGCGACACCGCAAATGATTGTACCAGTTCCTGTTAATGTGCCTCAATGCGGGATGATGCTGCCGTTCAGTTTTCCCCAGCAATCGCAGCCAAACTTTTACTACATTCATAACCCCTGGGAATTCATGAAACCCCAACATGGGGTTCAAATGGCCTATATCTCCGAAACCTCCTCCTCTTGTAGCACCTCGTCCAGGCAATATCGGCACAGAACCCGGTCAAAACCAAGGCGACGCAAGGAAAGCTCCTCATTCAGCAGCTTCAGCGGAACTTCATCATTCTCTTCAGGCTCCACATTCTCAACGGACAATGGATCATCAGAATCGCCACCAACACTATCCACATCAGTAACCTCCTCATCATCGGATCGAAGGTGCACATGTTCCACTTCCAGCCTATCCAATGTCTCCTCATGTGTTTCATTGGGAACCTCACACTCAACATCACCACCGCCATCCATACCGAGATCATCCGATTCCTCACCCTACAAAGACTAAGGAAACAATGGCTGACAGTCTTATTTGGTTTCTTTTAAACACGCCTCAGTACTTTGAATACCGTTGCCTAGTGCCACATTAGTGAGTAACAGAGATGCGCGGACCGCGAACTCTATCCAACTGCACAACTATGTCGTGCCCCCAGTTCTGGGTCACAATTCTGGCAGAGGAATCTTACATAGTTACCCTATAAATAAACAATACGGGATAGACCTGAAGCACGTCATCCACCGTGTTTATCATACTCAAAATTCTAAAATGCCACTTTCAAAAAAAAAAGTTACTAAGCTGTAGCATTTAATCACAGAACATTGTTAGGGTAAAGGAGTAATCGAGCATGAGTATGCACTATTTACATGAGTAAGGCTGACAACTGTCAATGATGGGAATGCTTCCTCTTCTTCTTGTGCTTCTTCGAGGAAAAAGTTCCATCGTCCTGTGACAGTTTACTAAGTTTTTTAAGCAGCCTTTCTCGTTGTTTTTCCGACAAGGATCTGAGGAATTCAACCGTCAATTCGTGCTCCACTGCCTCGGGATCTAATCCCCGAGAACTCGAGATAGCACACTTAGCTTTGTAAACGATCGCATTTAGACCAGTAGATTCAGCTGATTTCTTAAATGCCAAGCCCTCCTTACGCAAGTTAGACTTCGCACGATCCAGAGAACGCAAAGTACCTGCCGTCGGCTCTTGGGTGAACGATTGTCCATACAGCGGGCAGGTCCGGTCTGTGTTCAAGTGTCCCCACTGTTTACAGCGCATGCAACGTACGTTCCTTACTTCAATGCCAAACGGCTGATCAGTAACATCAGAAGAATTCTTGCAGTAACTTTCGCGAGGAGCATTATACTTCCGCTGCCATTCGAATTTCGCATCATTCCTGTCTGCCTCTTTCTCCGGCTCCATAACAGCTGGTTGGTCATACATCCACGCCAGCCCCAGGCGCGCTTTCTCATCGCCGAGAAGAACACGATTTTCTAGTATCTCCTGTTCACGACGATATTGGGTAAGTCTCTCCTGTTCTCTCTTGCTGTCGAACTCCTCCTTCTGCTCCGCCATCCACTTCCTCTTTATGTTTTCAAAGTTTGTTGGGTGGAAAAACTTCTTACACATGTAGTTGTTGTAACCCTTTCCCATTTTACAAGAGAACCCACAGCAATCAGATTGAACAAGCCGAACAAATAACGAACCAAAACTGTCCCACGAACGTTACGATATAAACAATTATTATAACAACGAATCGATGTAAAAATTTTCATTGCCTAACATTTAAATGGTCTCGGGGCAGCAATTTTTTATATTTGGAAAATATAAATTGTTGGTTTAGCTGGCGTTAATTGCTTTTGTAAGCAGCTCCGGGGTCGATACAGACAAAAACGCATTAATAAAGTGGTCGCATGATGATCAAAAAAGCACTGCTTAATGCCTAATTTAATGCTTTGTGTATGGGATTATCTGACATGTGGCGGTCACGTTAGGAGTTATTTGACTCTTGTACTTGTAGACTGACCTTCGGGACGTACTTAGGTCCATTTGCTCTCCCCTTTAGAATACATGTATCCAGCTTCACTTACCGCCTTCCTCCACCTTATAGGAAGTCTCGGGACGCTACACTTAATTCCTAGTTAAAATTGTTTTAACAGAGTATGGGCTTCGAATCAGCTCGAACCTCGTACATGAAGAACGCCAGGACCCTTCTGCAGACTAACGCAGGGCCGCCGTCTTAACCAAACCCAAGCTCTTTTGTGTTTTTGTAAAGAACGCCTAATAAACCTTTAAAATCAAGCCACTCGCAGAGCCAGACGTTCGAGAGCCTAAGGGTGAGCTAAGAGGGACTGCAATATGCGCCAGAGTTAAAATTCGAAGAATGCGGAAAACATATTTAGATTTTTGTCACTGTTGGGTTAGGTGGAAGAAAACTAGTAAAGCTCAACGATTTTGTTCCAGATGTTATATATATATACTAGTGTTTAAGTTGGCTTTTTATAGGAGAGAGGCGAGAATTGAATTGGAGCGTGAATCCCGTGCGTTAGGACCATGAAAATATTTCTTTGGGTGATATCTGCTTTTTGGCTCATCTGTACTCCTATTTCCGTTCTTATTGTATTCAATGTTTAATAAAGCTACTACAATTAACACTCTCTTGGAGTCCGTGGTTCAAGGGCATGAGTGTAGATAGGCAGTTCCTACACCGGAAAAGGCCTTTACCCCTAATACCAGGCCTAACCTCCTGGCAGTAGATCAAGCGTTCCGGGGTTCCCCTTAGGGTGGAAGAAGGTATGAGGTTGAAAATATGTATTCTGAATACGACAGTCAAATGGGACCCGAGCGTGGCCCGAAGGCCAGCCCACGTGTACAGGGGCCAGATAAAGTCTAAAGTGACCGTCAAATGTCAGGTAGTTGCATTAACAAAGCACTACAGTAGACATGGCCAAAATCAGCAACTCTTCCAGTCTTGGTGGGAATTCGGTGTGGAGGGATGAGGTGAATTTGAGGTTATGAGACAGTTATGTCTAGCACAGTAGCGTCACGAGACATCCTACTAGGCAGAAGAAGGCATTAAGTTTGGCTGAGCACAGGCATTTTAGGGAGAGAAGAAAAAAATAAGTTTCGGCTTGACTTGAAAGCCATCCCAATCGTATAAGAGCAAGACGGTTACTAAAGTAAACGTCGGGCACAATATGGGCACATAAGTTATAACAAGCACTGTCAAGGCCAGAGTGTTTTGTTTTGTGGGATTTAACACTACAATAACTTACTTATTTGACTTTCTATAAGACAGGCGGGAAATTTGAATTTTATATTGCTCATGCTTGCGTCAGTCGAATTAGCCAAGCTGAGATCCGTTTTTCACACTTTTGCCTTAAATACACGTATTTACACCTACCTAATGCCCTATTCGATTAAATGGAAAGTCTATTCATACAGATTGCATCTGACCCCAAGTGTAGTAAAAAAACCGAAACAAAACTTTTACAGGTGGCAAGAAACAAATGTTGCATCCGATAGCACTAGTCTGGGATATTACACACTGCATCACTTATGGTCACTTTGATGACCATGTGAACTGGCTGCTAATAAGTACAATCAGTTCCATTCAATATCATCATTGATTGTGCAATACATATTGGTTGTTTATACTGTGTATGGCGGAAGGGAGGTAGTGATTTGATTCGAGCACCATAGAGGCGGGGTGCGAGGATGCATCACTTAAGACTCTTGGAAGAGGCTTTTTATGGAAGTTTTAGTTGGTTACAATGAGTCAGAGGTGGAAAAATAGAGAAGAATTCACTTGAATAGCACAGACTTTTCCTCAGCGGGACCAAGTTAGAATTTAAATTTTGTCTCATTCAACCAAGCACAATTTAAGAACAAGTTAGATTATAACAACATGTCAATGATTAAGAGATCTTTATATCTGCGCCCTATTTCTGAAAAGATTAGAAGGAAGGCAGTACCGGAATACGTTGTTATGTACCGCCCCATGCACCATGCATGTTTGGGCCGGCCTTCAGGCCAAGCTAAGGCTTATTTCCTTTGTTCTTTCTAGAAAACACGTATTCAGCTTCATTTTGTAATGCTTTGTTTATGTGACTACCTGAAGTTTGTTGGTCATTTTAGATTTTGTCTGGTCCCTATACGCGAGGGCTGGCCTTCGGGCCACGCTCATGCCCCATTTGCCCTGTCGTCTTCGGAATACATGTATTCAGCCCCACTTGTGTCTTCTTTCACCCTATGGGAAGCCTCAAAGCACAACACATTTAATGTCTTCTATCCATTATGCCAATTTTTTATTTAAAATAGTCTTAAGATTCAACGATTAAAACGAATTATGGAGTTCTCGCATGCCTCAAGTACAGGATTGCTTTTTGTCGTTAGTCCATAGTCAAACAGTAAGCATTGTCCCGCAATCTAGATGTCTGCATTTACCAAACTTATCATTTTTAACAATGCTTTTTTGTTTTAATGTGCATCACGTTTTGAAGTTATCTGGCTGTTGGACTACATCGTGTCCTATTTCGAGTTGGTTATTCTGGAGAACATGGGCGATGTGAGAAGTGTTTTGGTCCCGAAAAACCGAAGAAGTCCTCTGAAACAACATTGGAAAGCGATCGTAGAGGTTCGGTTATGCCTTTTTTTGAGCTAAGAAATGCCGATGTGTCCAATCAGTTGCTCTTTTTGTTACGTCGTACTTAAGTTTTACTGAAATAGCGTGGGTACTTGCATTTGTTATCAAGTGCCTTTTTTCTTAGTATCGCTTTTTCTCGTAGCTTGTCATTACCTGCTTGTTACGTTTGAATGTTTGACTATCAAAGCAGGACTGGCACCGTACACAAAGTTGCGCGTAACACTTGAGATCGTAATTACGTTTTGCAGATTTTGACAAAGCAATTGAAGTTGATGGTATGTTTGCGCACACAATCGGGACGCTGGGCGGTCTTGATGCGCGTTTCGCCTGAAACAACCGATCCTCAACACCTCCAAAAGGGTGTTGACTTTGTGTCAGCGTTTGTCGCAGGTTTCAGCGTTCAGGACGCTCTCGCGATTCTGCGTATTGATGGGATTTATATGGAGTCATTTCACATTAATGACGTTCGTCAACGCCTCCGTGTAAGTGTTCTGGGCTGTCAAACACAATAGTAGTTTCTCGTACCAATTCCTTTAAACGATATGATGGCGTCTTCTCCCTAAATTTTCTCTAAGAGACAAATTCGTCGCGACTTGTCTCGGTGCTGGAAATAAGACGAAACTAGTTATTTTCCATAGTTGCACTTGCCTTACTCTTCTGCTGATTGAGACTGGATAAGTTCTCATCTGCTACATGTACCTTATAGAACGACCACATGGCACGCGCGGTCGGTCGCATATGTGGTGCTAATGGACGTATTCGGTTGTCGATTGAAAATGCTACGCGGACGAGGATTGTTATGGCTGACAGATGCATTCGTATCCTAGGAAGCAATGAGCGCATTGCTGTGGCCCGTAAGGCCATTTGCGATCTCATCATCGGGGCGCCTCCCAACAAAGTGTTCGGTCGCCTCCAAAACCAGATAGCACGGCTTGATTCGACTTTCTAGACCGAACGGTGTTTGGAAAGATGTTTCCACTTTTAACTATCAGATTTTCTTGTTTCTTCTCTTCCTCAACTCTCATTGGCTCCATTCGGGCGGGCTGGCGTGCTTGCATCGGTGGGCGGCGGTGTTGGAGGCGTTGTTGTGCTAATAGAAAGTCGTTGTCTTATTCGAGTGTCTTGATTAGTGCCGTTAATTGGTTTTCTATTTCGGGTAGTTGAGTGGGTTGGCAGTTAAACAAGTCTTCATGGGCGCGCTTGTTCTAATAGTCAGGACGGGACCCGCCCAAATCGAATTCGTGCTACCTGTCCTGTATGGAGGACAGACGGCGTGCGGAGTGTGATCGGTTGAGGATTTGCAAAATATATTTCTTCGGTTCGTTCTTGCCACGCATTTAATTCAATCGGTTGTTTGTGCTGTGATAAATGGTCCTCTGACTCAACCTGAGCTGGATATGGAGAGATGAGGTTTTGCTTATAGGACTGAGGTCTCAGCTTGGAAATCCATAACTTTTGTGTGTCGATTAAGTTGTGTTTTGTGCAATTTAATTAACTTCCGAAACGGTGGTGGTATCTTGAATGGTTTCCTCCTATTCCTGAGTTTTATTGGGCACTTGCATATTTGTCACGGGCTGTATCCTATTTTCCATGTGACTTCTCTTAAGAATGTAGGCGAATTGATGTGGTTACTTTTTTATTTTGTAGCTGGCATCGCTTTCCTTCCTTTCCTTTGGTTGGTAAACATTATCTGGTTCTTCCGGGACGCATTTTTCGGTCCACCATCTAGCACCAAAAAGAAGTTTCGACTTTGTGAGTTGAATAACTTATTTTATTCATTGTATAAGACATTTTTCTGAGTCTTGTCGGTGCCTTGCTTTGGATTGCTGGGCTGATTGCTTGGAACATAGTTTACCACAAAAGGAGAATTTATTGGGGCTCTCTTGGTGATCGTTTATCTTTTAACATTCCCCCTGGAGAACTGTAACCATGGAGATATGCGAATTGCTGCAGCTGGAGGATGTAGTTCAAACCACTAAGCTTGGAAACCACCGTGACCAATACAACTATTTTGTTTCAGTCAACAAAAAGCTTACTGTAAGTCTGGTCTCTATCATTTTAGTTTTAAAATTATCAGGACCAGATTTTTATGTGTAAAAATATTGTCGATCGACTTGTTGATCCGCCCTGGAACGCAGATCCAATGCGGAAATCCTTTTGGATACACGCTGCTGGTGGAATGGCAATCGAGCGCGCCTCTGAAATTGCCCTTCATCTCTGCAAACGATTTTATCCTGACCAACTCGACATGTTTGTCTACACAGATACTTTGAATACTGAAGAGGAGGTAAGCCTAATGCCATCTTCATCTATCTTACGACGTTGTACTAAACTTCGTTTCTTCTGCTATGAAGCGTATTCGTGTTACCTCCGATGGTGAAGTGGTTGAAAGGACTACGTCAGTGCTAAAACCTACTGTTCATATTCGATTAACGGTAGCCGCCTCGTCATTTCCAAAGGATTCTCGTTCTTTGCAGTTAAACATCAAAACTAACGACTGTACCATCACACACGTTGTCTGAGTGTTGCCGTCGACGTTGCTTAATAAATGGTGAACGCACCTAAATCTTGCTTATTGTTGATGTTCCGATATTCATTATTGTCGGCCTAGTTAACCTTTTGTTTTCATTTCCACGGATAAATAGATAGCTAACTAAATGAGTAAAGTTGCGGTAGTTATGGATGGTAGCCTTATGCTTGAATCAACCCAGCTTATGCTTTCCTATGCATGTTCTTTGTGTATAATCGAAACCATTAATGCAGGAACTGCCATCGTCGATCCAGTTGAAGCGTGTGGCAAGACACAAAGCATTTTTAGTCGGCCTCTTCGTTTTGTTCGTTTTGCTCGCTTAAGAGCGTCAATAGGATATGGCTGCATTGAATTCAAGTGTCATATTTTGGAACGAAGAAGAGATTGTGCCGCGGAGTCTCCTACTCATCTCTTCAGGAGCTGTTGGTGACCGATTGCTTTTCTGGCAGTCGACCAGCTCTCCCAACAGTTCTGCCTATCAAGAGCAAGTGTCACTATGCGGCGCTAATATCCCAAGGTGGGCTCGTCAAATTCGCTTTCCCTATCACCCTTGAGACTTATGTTTCGTTCTAAGTCAGTCAATATGTGCTGCATTTCAGCAGTAGGTCTTGATTGTTATCTCTGCTTATTAGTGTCATTTTTGGCATCCTTAGAAATTATACATGTTTTGGCAGGAAGCTTAGTCTACGATGTTCTTCCTGCCTCCCCTCTTCATATATAAAATTTTAATTTTGTCATAGTCGCTTGGGTGATACACAATCCCACTCTCGTGGTTTTCTCATAATCACGTGCATTCTCCTTTAAGGCGAAAAATTCCCACTTCCCTGGAAACAGCTCCTTCCCCTCATAGCACACTAAGTCAAAACGCATCGCAATATGGTTGTCGAGTAAGTAGCCATTGTGTTAGTTAAAGATGTAAATATTGTATTTTTAATATTCTTCCTGTGCTTTCCTTAAGGGGGTCTCTTGTCCGTCTTCGGCAGGGGGCTTCGGGAGTGGAAACCTCACTACTTCAGTTTCCTCCACAGTCGTCGGATCACCACAGCAGGCTAGCATTCCTTCGGGCGAGGCAACTTTGGCGGGCGCTCTAGGCACGGGCAAGACACGTCTCTCGAACACAGCTCCCAGTACCCAGCGCCACTCTGCTGCTGCTGCTGCTGCTGCTGCTGCCACCACTGTCGCCTCCTCCTCTGGCAATTCTGGAGGCAGTGGCAATCCAAACCAATCTGGCGGGTCCATTACTGTCGCTCCTACCGAAATGGTTGTTGAAGGCGTACCTGTCAGCTCTTTACTCAGCTTGCTCCACCCCTCCACCAACGAGCTCCAGCATAGAATCTACATAAAGGTAAGTTTTTAGGTGTCTGTGTAAAATGTCAATTGATCTTTCCCTAAGACCACTTCCGGGCCTCTAACAGTATTCTATTCTATGCTGTTCCTTTTGTGAACAAGTAAGGTCCATAAAAGCGGCGTTTCTTTATTATTACCCACGTCGGCAGTGTTCATAGGGCTTTCGTATCAAATGACAATTCAAGACTATTACTTGTTTGCTTTTCAGTTGATAAAAGACTCACAAAATATAGCTTATTTTGTAAGATGTTTTGGATGTATGATATTCATAAGATGTCTTTATACAAGATAACTACAAGTTGACAAGATTAACTCTAACAGCTTTCTAACACAATGTCACTGAATGTAGCTACTCATCGTAGCATTGCTGGTGCATAGCTCTAATTGCATAAAATCTGGAACTCCTGTACGGTAAAAGTGAATGCAATCGAAACCTACTAAAGCCTCATAATTTATGGGTGGTCAGCGCGAATTATGGATAAGATTTTTTTATAAATTTATTTCGATCGTAAACTAAGTGTTCGACTTCGATGTGTCAGGATTTTTATTCTTCTTTTCCAGCTGAGCACGAAAGTCTTCGTCGGCGTGGCCTTCAGCCTAACAAAGGCCATAATGGAGACGAATGGTCTTCCAGTGGTAAATCAATCATCACCTCTGATCAATCGAAGGGGTTCAATGCCTAGCACTAGTACCTACGCCACTGTGGCACCCAAGCCGACAATGGACTTTACAAGCATAATTAATTTCCTCCGTCTCAAATCCCCACTGCCCCCACCCAAGTGTAAATCCCATCCAACACAGGTAGCTCATTGCGGCGATCCATTTGGCGTCATCAGTAGCAAACAAAGTAGCAAGACGGTTAACCAAACTGTTTCCAGTTTTGCGGTTGTCTTTGTTCTCAACGAAGTCACTCCACCGTCCGTTCAGTCGCATTACACAGAACTCGCTCGACTGGCAAGTTCCATTTTTCAACTTTTTTTGGTGGTGCAACAGCTGAATCAAAACATTTGTACTAACATCAAGGTGACAACTTTTCGTGTTACCCACTCCAAAATAACCCTGCTTTAAATGTTTTTACTTGGTTGTGCTACTATCTTACAGGGCGTTCTCACCTGAGTTGCATCCAAGTTGATAACCTTTTGTTTTCTCTGTCATTTAACTCTTGTTTCTAAAGACGGGTGCACAGCTGCGTCGATCAGAGCTCTACTGGCAGAATTTGAGCAGCGAACGTGAGAAGATCTCCGCCATTCTCGACCGATACGCAGGCATTCTTAGTAGTGGGGAGGGTCAGGTGGATGCTGTAGATCGCGGCGGTGGTAACGGGAGCAGTATTGATGACAATGGCGACGTTAGTACCACTAGCGGAAGTGTTGGTGGTACGGAAGTAGTCTCGCCTCTCATTACTACACGTAAAGGGGTTTTATCGGAGGCACCTGATGAGGACGACTCCGTTAAATTTGAAAAACACGAATTTACCGGAAATGGTCGTTGTGACCCCTGGTGTGTCTACGCCCACGTAGCGAAACGCTCTTCTCTCTGCAGTGAACTTTCTCAAATTTTGAGTCAAGTGGCTTCTAGCGGCCGTGTAAATGTCAAGGTCCGTGGTTTATGGCCTTGTTGCAGACAAAACTTAAATACGGAGAAGATACGAGTTGAACTCTTTTTATTTACAGATCTACAACAAATATACAGTATTCTTCTGTCTGCCCTTCAAGGCCTACACGATTATGCCATTTGGCTTGAAAATGATAACTACACCAAAGCCATGTTGGCCTGCGATTCGACCAGGCGCAGTTTGGCGCGCTATGCAGCGTCTTCGACCCTACCACACTTTGCTCTTGACTACGCGCAAACGTTATCTTCATGCCTACACTGATTCCTTTCCCACCGATGCGAATCAATCCCTAGAGAGGTGAGCGATGAATCCAAGTTCACGATCATCCTCGCACTTTATCCACCGTTATTCCAACAAGTCAGTTGTAATGGCTGAAGCAGGTTAGATTCTATATTGTCTCCAAATTTTCAGCTTTGTAGAAAACATCTCTCCAACCTCTAGTTTGGTCTCGATGTCAAATCAAGGGCACTCTCAGGAGGACTGTCTGCGTTTGGCGCTTTGGCTAGTTTACCACGGTCACGCAATTATCATTTCGCCCATCGTCTCAAGCAATGCCTACACGCTAGCCCCACTCTCCCACTACTGGCTGCAGCCCAAGGTTCTCCTCCAATTCGCAGCCCAATTCCCCAATCTGAACTTTGCGGAGGTACCTCATTTCCCATTGCTGACCTCAGAACACGTAAATTTATAGTTTCAATTAACTCGAGAGCAGGAATCGCCAGGTTTTTGGTAGAGCCAAAACCATATGGTGAGCCTGCAACAACGGATATAATTATGTTCTCTGTATCTAGGTGCTGGCTTCATTCTCAGATTATTACACTCTTGAGGAACACTTCAACGGACAATCACCGTCCCAGTTTTGGACAAATTTGAGTGCTGCGGAGTGTGCCGACCTGGTGGCGTGGCTTCTGCGTCGTCGACTTATTGTACAGGTGCACACTTACCTCCTTTCTCTTCTAGCACAAAAAGCTAATGCCGTCCCGATTAAACATGACAAAGACGCCTTCGGTTCCGAGTCTTCCTCTTCCATGAGCGGTCCATCGGAACAAGCCTTCGTCCGAATTCACCAGGGATGTAGAGGAATTCTGCTTCAATCCGCCCTGCCAGATCCGAGTGATCGGGAACGTGTGCTAGCGCACTACTTTTCTGCTGTACAGCACTACCCCGACATGCTCCATCTCTTTCTGCGTCTTCTGACACACCTGCCTGCACACTTGGAAGAACTCATGTTCGTTGAATCAGTGGATAGACAAACCCTTATCACTTGTATGCAACTATTTTCGCCCTTCCTCGTTACAATGCGTCTGCCCGACCCCGTCACTGCCTGTTTTGCTGGTGTCGAATGGTCTCACTAACTACTCAGTTACTTCCATTGAAGTCGCAAATATTGATTTGCAAGAATACATCACTAGAATGTGTATGCATAAATAAAAAGAGTTGTGAACACCGAAATGCTTTCAAGAATAAAAGAATAGTATTACAAATGTTGAATGAATGACGTATGTACAAGAATTGATAGGACTGGCTAGGCATCAACTCGCTTGACTTTCGAGTTTTCACCTCTGCACCGGGGACAATACCAGCGACCTTTGGGTTGAGTCTTTATGTCTACGCATGCGAAATGAAACCACTCAATTTCGCAACGCGGATTGTCACAAGCTATCATATCTCCGTAAGACAGTTTTTTGCACAAGCAGTAGAGGCGCTCTCCAGACACGTCTGCGGCTGTGGAACTGGCTCCCGCTGCTTCTCTTTTACGACTGCGCAGAGGAGAAGAGGTGCTTCTCGACCTTGGACGCGGCTGGTTGCACTCATCTGACTCATTTGAAGAAGAAATCGAGGATGGGGAGGGAGGTATTTTCGTTGGTCGGTTGGCTATCACTTGTTCCAACGGAACGTGGTCTCTTCTGTGCAAATCACCAGTTCGAGAACGCGAGGAATGGGCGGAGGATGATGTCACTCGATTCCTAATACCTCTAAACGGACCTCCTCGAGCCGAAGACGCAGCGTTTCGCCGAGCACTTATCCACTTTGTGCCTCGTAAAAGAAGTTGCGAGGGTGAAGGACGGTGGTGTTGATGGATGGCTCGACGAGCTGATTTAACAGGTGGCTGCGGAGGTGGCGAAGGCGAAGCATTTTTTAATGGAAGTGGAGCTGCACACTGCCCATTGCCACCAGGTGCAAAAGCACTTATCAGACTCTTGAGCTGTTGCTCATCATTCGCGTGTAGTGCGGATTCGGATTGTGACAAAAATTGGAGCACTTGTTCGAGCGTTTCCAAAAGCTACCATAAAATAGCAAACAAATATTAAGCGTTCGAGTCTGTGGAAACTTCAAAGCACTAAATTGACTAAAAGTCCAAAAATCCAGAGTGTTCTGCATTATTCTGAGTTTTGAAAATGAGAAACTATACATTGTCATAAGTTCAGATAAAAACAACCAAGCCTTTGAGTTTGAGTTTTGATTGCACAAGAATGCAGGGAACTGCGAGTACCTCAGCAGTGTCGACGGCATTCCACCGGACAAATGGAAAGTACTTTCAAAGTTTACAGTAAACAAATCATTTATGCGTCCAAGGCAACGTAGTTTTAATGAGCGTTAAAGTAGCATAGATTCAAAGCATTGATGACAAATAAAACCAACCTCACTCATCTCAGCAAGCCTTGCATCATATGCATCGTTCATTGTTATTAGGATAGATGATAATGTCTCTAGATTTTTGCTGTCCCTATTTTCCGAGAGGCTAGTAAGAACTGATACAACAGTATTCATGAGATTAGTTTGCCCTATATCAGAATCAAATAAGGTGGTAAAAAATTTTTGAAGAAGACGCGGCAGATCCTGCGCAGCGGCAAGGTAACTGGCAAAGTAGGCGTTGACGGACCCGTCTATCATTTCTGCAAAACACCTCAAATAAGTTGCGAGAATTTCGATAAGCTTAAACAAATAAATTTGGCAATGATGAGTAAATAACAGATTGAGAAACCCATTAACTTATACTTGCAAACATAAATAGATCTGATGCATTTTGGACGATGTGGACTATTTTATATTACTTGTTTTCTAATTGAAGGATTGAGAGGTTAATAAATGAAGCACATTGCTAAAGTGCTACAGCTTGATTAATAAAATTTGGGCTATCAAAAACTCGGCTTGGATAACAGGGACTCACTCAAATGGATTCCAACACGCGATACGTAAACTAACCCACCCAGTTAAAGCACAATGTACATGAATGTGACCACTAGTCATACAGACATTCAAACAATTTGAGACCTATGTAATAGTTTGTTTATGGGATCACTTGCCTGACTGGTTGCTACTTTCGCGAGAACTGCCTGTCTGCCGTCGGGCTTCGGAAGAGACTTAGTTGGCGAAGCTTTATTAGGCATAATGTTTAGAAAGTAAAGGAATTGGGAGAGGTTAAATTGGACGCGAAGCGAACGTTGTTGTTTGACCCTTCAGACTTCTTACGATTTGGATTCGTGTTGGAATACTTTTCGCACCTCTCATCTGTAAAGGCTACCTTAAGCATATAAATATATATTACAACTTTGGCAGTAAAATTGCTGTTGTACGCATTGGCGTGCCATCTGGCCAAGCCAAACAGCGAAGTCCTCCACTTCTGTTAAAATGTATGCATTCTGCCCAACTTAATGCTCTCTCGGAAAATGTGGTAGATCTAGGGGAACTTCATTAATGTCTTCGAAATGGGAATCCTGCTTTTTACTTACTTTGTGCTAGTGTCTACCGTTTGTGACAGATATCTATGGTGAGGGAACTGATTATTCATCAGACGAGTGGTTTTCTTATTTCTTCACACCAGAAAATGATGACCCATCTCCGTATTCCTCGGACAAGCTATTATCAAATGAAGTTCCGTGTAGAAAGTATCCATACCGCATCCGCATATAGATATTGGGGATGAAATTACACCGAATCCTCTTCCACACAGAACTGTGTTTGCTGCCTTAATTAACATAAGTTCCTCTCAGTGTCTCTTGGACTCCGATTGAACATAACTCAAGATCCAGTTTAAGCTTCTAGGAAGGCTAAATACAGTCGCCTAGTTTCATGATAGCTGACGGCTGAGGCGACTGATTAGTTAGTGTTGCCATGTACCACCATGAGGTGTACCGAGTATAGTGCTGAAACCATCGCTCAAAGGAAGGGGAGCAATGTCCTGCTTTGTTCACCTGTGTGCATGTTTGTCACTTTGACATTGCTCTTGCTCTTGTGCGCATGAGCTGGCCTTCAAACCAGACCAGAACCCAATCCCATCTTCTTCATCTGGAATGCATTATGAAACCAAACTTAATGCCTTCTTCTACCTTGTGGAAATGTTCAGGACGCTACAGCTCGAATGTCCACCTAATCAAAATCAGTTCAAACACACCATCAAACCAAAACTGTAAACTGTAATAAAGGTCCGTCTTGACCGCCACAGGTTTTCACACAGAACTTTAAATTGTTTGCTTATAGCGCTCCCCACCAGCCCTGTTTGAAGGCATACAGAGAAATCGGGTGATGTGATCTGATAATTTGGTGAAAAACACATCAGACCCTGCGTCACCTAGATCCATGACTGCATAAAAGCAAACCTACATCCCGAAGAAACGAACCTTTTGATTGTAATAATCACCCCTTGAATGTCTTTCTAGCATAAGTCAAAGTACAGAAGTCGTGACTGATTAAGGCTGGGAGGAAGGGTTCAGGGCTAGAATAGAGGAGAGTGGAGGATGCGAATGACAAAAGGCAGGAGGAGAGGGAGAAGAGTAAAAGGGAGTAGGAGGATTTGGCGTCCACTTCAATGAGAAGCGGTGGAAGAGGTGGAGAGGAAAATAGCGATGTGGCAGATTGTCATGCGTAAACAATTGCACTCTTTCCTCCTCGCACTCTCATCTCCCATCGTATCCAGTGAACTAGACTTTAGTTATGTACATAAAGGATAATTGGGCACGATAGTCACGGCTGTCGAGTGACGAAGGAGAGAGGGAAAAATCCGATCTAAAAGATGGCAAAAGATATGCCAATAAAAATCTATACTACGAATATTTGTTCCGCTATCTGAGGTGCAAATTGATGAGAAAATAGCCAGTCCATGTATTTTTTCCAAATAACATTAACTATATGCGATCCAGGAGCACCACAAATATGGACTAGAGCAGACTTGATACAATGACTGACATTGACAATATGTATATAAACCTACTCTCCCGTTCAGCCAGCCCTTCCACCAGCCCTGTTCCTTAGCCCGAGTGCTGATCACATGCACGAGATCACCACGGGTCAGCGGCAGCATGCGCGGATTTGCGTCACCTTCAAAGTCATGCTGAGCTCGTGCGTAGAAGAGTACACTGTCCTCTGAGTGGATGAAAATAAAATTTAGTCAAAACAGCATCAGTTATCCTACTCATAGCACTTATGCATTCCCTTATGCAATCAAAATCAGAGGTTGGACCTGATAGTACGGATTGTGTCCAAAGCTAGGTCTAGGGAGAAGTGGGAAGCACTTATTTCTCCAACTTAGAAAAACAGAACGATTCTCAACGCAAATTGAGACACGGTTAAAGGTGATGGCTTTGACAGGTGAATTGTCATTATTACCTACGCGTGCCCACGGAGATTCGACAGGCGCTACCCGAAATTCGTGTTGCCCAAGTTCACTAACGCGAATGCAGGCCAAATGCCATTCAAGTGTCAAGCATATCAAAGCCCAAAGAGATAACATTGGAAGGCAGTAATAATGCTTGTTAAAAAGCAAATTGATGCACATAAATACATCAAAATAAATGACAGAGAACTCACCAGGGCATCGTTGGTAGGGGAATCTGAGGCAGGTCTGCACTTCATCAAAACACTCGTTCAATGAGACCCGGCAATAAAAGTCCACAAGTGCCTCAAAGTAAAAGTTTAGAAATGGCTTAGTTTGTTTGTTTAAAAGTCTTATCTACATTGAGAAATGCTTTGCAATCCGTTTGAACATAAGGCAGAAGACAATTTTTCACTTCCAGCTCCACCGAGCAATCCATTACGCAAGACGTGGGCAAATGAAGAGAAAAAGCTACGTGGGTGATGCAGGGACATGACTTGGGCCGTTGCACTGGCCACAATATCTAACAATGGATTTATGGGTGAAGAAGGAGTGCAATTAAGCGCAGCGACGTAAACAGCAATTCGCGAAGCCATGGTTGGCGGATCGATCATATCGATTTGTGTCGTAAGTGCACTAAACCGTTTTATTTGAGCACCGCTCAAGGGCGTCAATTCAACACCTGCAGATGCCGCTCCCAAAAGTGGTGGGAGTTGGCTCCCAACTATGTTAGCTTATTGTTTGTTTTAAGTGACAGCAGTAACAACGCCTTCCACTTCCCAATTTTAAGCAATAAAGTTTTAGTTTACATGCCGAGAAAGTTTAACAGTTGCTTTCAGACGTTTACTTTAGACTGCCGATAACAAATCATGCGGGCATCGTCATGGATGCCACAACTAACTGACGCTGTTGCTTAGCTCCAGTCAATTACATTTAATTGATCATGTAAAAAAGAGAAAAAAGTGTTATAAGCAATTCGGCAAAACAGCTAACATGATGAGCAAATGTCAAACCACGCGTGTACGAATTTCAAAGTGTGAGATACAGTCCGGGAAGGAACAACTGTCGCTTTGCAACCACACTTAGAATCCCAAGGTAGATAAGAGTCCATTCCAAACGGAGTTGCTATTTTTTGTGTCTATGTGGCGGGATATTAAGGTTTCCTCATGTTAAAGGTTCAGTAAGGCAGAATTAGATCAACTTGAAGGTATGGCAATGGTCTTCAGAAGGAAGCATACATTCCACGATAATACATAAGCAGGAGAAAATCAGGTACACAAATGTTCAGAACTGTAATTATTTCATAGTCATTGATTTAAGAAGAGAATAGATTTTAAAAAGATGCGGCAGAAATGTGAAGATACTCTCAGGCAAACTTAGAGGAGGGAACATATAGAACGGTTCCAAATGTGTGAGCAAGTGTGTCGAATAGTGTTTCCGATTCAAGTAACTTTAACATACCAATTCTTAGCACCGCAACAGGAACATATCTTTACGCAGTCAATGGAGATTTGGTTGAAGAGTCAGTTTTATGAGCTTCAAGTGTCGGTACTCAGAGCGCTAAATGATGGAAGGCCACCGCACCATCACGTAAACCACCCATTTAATATAGTGGCCAAGAGAGATCGTCAAGTTAACAAGGGGCAAAGAGGGATACCTTCGCACATCCTTCCTTTGAGAAATGAATATCAATGCACACAGGCAACATAATGCAGAGAACCAAATCTCCCGCGTCACCTTGCCTATGTACACGTGTCTAGAGTACCACTAACAAAAAGCAGTCCTGTTGTTGTGTGGAAGCAAAAAAAAATGTAAAAAGGTGGAAAAAACACGGATGCACTACCTGAGTGAGTCATGTTTGGGTGCCGATATGAACCGAAGAAAGAAGTCAAGCCGTGTGAGTTTAGAGAAGAAGGGAAGCAAGATAGGTGCCAAAGAATTGCAAAATGAACTCACTTCAAGGGACTTGAAGCGCTGTGGAGAGCAGAGATAGAAGCAGGAGTCGGAGCTACGCTGAATACGGATGTGACGCGGATGGTGGTATACGACGGAGAGAGAATACTCCCCCATTCGAGAAACATTTTTGGAAATTCTCACAAGAAATGTACCATTTTCACACCCCGTCAATAGCTGAGTGGCCTCTGCCCGATCCATTTCTCCAAAGTACCTATGGCGTTGAGAGACTTTGAATAGGCGATCACCAATGGCAATAATTCAAGCGATGCATGCACGACAAAACCACAGCAAGCAGGATTTAAGGCCTAAGTGGCTGAGAGATGATAAGGCAGTAATTGAAACTACTAAACTAGCTGCAGATCAATCCTCCTATAATTTCATGGGAAATGGGCTCCAGAAACATAATATGAGTAGATGACGCGTCGTCTTAATATTCATGAGGCCTGGTAGTCACGTGAATAAAAGTTAAAAGATTCCAGTGCCTGAGGCATTATTATTATTATTATTGGGAAGTGTAAATGTTAGTCAAGCTCAAACAGAACTCAAGCTGGTGCTATGCAACACAGATACTCAGCCATGCGGCCACCACCACTATTGTTTGCTTATTTGAAGAGGGGGAAGAAGTGGTAAAGCGAAGGGGATGTACCAAGACATAGAAGAGAATGATTGGTTAGTTGGAGGAGAAGGAAGGGAGGCACCAGCACAGCTGTGGTGCCTTCCGGTAGTTTTGGTACCACCGTTAGAATTGGGGGTCGTGTAGGTGCGGAGAGAGGAGGAGCGAGCGACTCCAGACCCACTGCCGTCGCCAGGTATTGGTGGTAGTTCTGTCCGAGTCAAGGCGGAGGAGGAGGCCACTGTTCCCAGTGGTGAAGTAGTGAGGTTGGATAGAGACTGATACCATCACCACCAGACAAGGAGAAATGAGTGGGAGAGCAAGCAAGAGGAAAAGGAATAACAGTACAGATACCATGCCGGCATGCGTCATGCACCCATATGACCAAAAAACAGGTACCAAAAATTTACGACAACCATTTCCTATTTCTCTCCAAGCGATATCTCACATGCTCGCGTTCTCACTCAATATGAAACCAACCATGGGCAATTAGAGGGAGCGGCTTTGACATTGACCATCGGTATGGAGGGTGAGATGGGATGTCCATCGGTTTCATCCGTAGTGGGACACTCGCCTGCCTCCCGCTCAGTGGAGTTGTGGTGACCTAAGCACGACGACACTGAGGTGGAAGCGAACCAAGACGACGTGGTCGTCTGTGAAGTCGTGTCGTTTAGCGACACGAAATGCATGACTTGGTCGCGAGAAATCTGGCGAGACATTGTGCTCAGGGCTCTCTGCATTCACGGGAGGTGGTAGTAGGGTTAAATTAAACGCGACAAGGCCTTAGCTCATTTATTCCCAGCTATTTTTAGTGTGGATAGTAGGAAATTAAATCCACTAACGATCGAATTTAGCAAACGCTCATTGTGGCTTACGGACTCACTGAATTTGATTATTGCAGTTCTATATGTAAAGAGCTGATCGCCAAATGTCCAATGGGTCATGTCCAGTTATGTACTTTGGCAATGTGGGTTGAATAAATTGTGGTCAGTTCAGTTGTTTTACGACATCTAAATGGCGTGCCTAATGTGACTTTCAGTGTTAAGCGACAGATCTCCAATAAAGCACTGAAAATTCCACCCATTACATAGTTGGAGACTTTCAAATAAGTTCCCAAGAGAAACCCTTATGTCTGTTTGCATCTAGCCGTCCCTCCATTTCGTCTGCAGCGACTTTATTCATCAGCGTGCCATTAACTTTTACGCAGTTTTATTTGCCGTTTGTGGAAACTAAACGAAATAGCTTAAAGCGTATCAGTATCCATAACCACAAACAAACTTAGAACAGGGTGTACACTGATTCATTAATGAATAAAGTGAAGTTTACTTGCAATGAGTAAACCTAATCATTCCCTTTGATCGACAATGCGGCCGCCAGCAGACATTAATAAACAACAGCATTTGCTTTGCCTAGCTTTGGAATAAGGTACATACAGAAACGGCCATCGCCAGAGCGGTGGAACAAAGGGAACGCGCGATTAGCATAAAGGACAACTTGTTGAGTGCGTGAGACAGCTTTTGAAGGTTGATACGGTTACTTCAACCCTCAGTGTAAACATGTTCTGTTCGAATGTGCAATGTCTGAATCACACCAGTGACTTTATCCTACATACAATTACATCATGATGTCATGTCCAGGGTAAGCATTGCTAGGCCCTTAAATTTACCACGTAGGAAGCAAGTGAGTAAAACAATGCTTGCACTTACATCCGATTTCAAGGGAATTTCCACGTGTGACGCTGGAAACCACCCTTCTTGATCATTTAGTCGACCCTAAAAAAAATTAGCAACTTAAAGTGTAGATGAGGTATACCTAAATAGCGATAATATTCAGCTTTAGGAACACCATGATTAGTTGTAAAAATGAAAACAGCATTTTGTGATACAAATAGGAAAATCCTCAGGACTATCCCACCAGAGGAAGCAGCCAAGTGTCTCGGGATGCGCCTGATATACCCCTTTGTGGCTTAGAGCAAACTCTAGGTATGTTGGGAGCACAATCACGCCAAACTTGATCTGATGGTTCCCAATGCCCTGTCCTGAAAATTGTAATGGTAGACGTACGAATTATTTGCATTGCCGGCAAAAAGGGCCAGGAGATTTGCAAACTGACCACCACAAGCCTTGCAAGCAAACGACCGCTCCAGTTTACAATCACATATTTATGCATAACTTTAAGCCCATATTTGGCACAAAAAACGAGGCACTCAACTGTGAATAGGTGATTACGCCGAACCATAGCATAAGGAAGGGGAGAAAACGAGGACCGGGTTTTTACCGCTTAATTACCTATGCACACAAGTGGTCGAGCAATGCGAGGCACGCACATGGATACACAAAACGTGTTCCCCAAAGGCCAGGCATTTGTGCATGATAATTAATTTTCCCGCGAATGGCATTGAAAAGAGATCAACGATCTTCAAGTTTCAAGACCCAGAAGTCATGTCAATAAATCATGCAACGGCGGCCGCATTCAAGCAAGTATGTCTTGGCTTGAGTGCCGTGACTAAATTACACTTCCGTAACTGGTGTCAAGGCGACCAATTAGCCTGCCAGCAGTAGGAGGGATCAACTACAAAATGCTAATAATTAAAGTGTTTGTTACCAAAGAGAACGTCACCATAATCAGTTAGCCTGTTCTAGTGCCAACTTTCATTCGTATAACGCCAAAATAATAAAAAATTAGAAGTCTAATAAACATTGAATGGCATTGTATGGTTTCAACACCTTCAGAAAATAAAAAGAGCATCGGTTTAATTGTTAATGAAAGTTCCTCAACAAATAGACTGCGCAGTCCTGCATTCAATTAGGGAGAACACAGCTGCTTCGCATTCGCGAAAAGCGAAGTTAGAATGAACTCGATGTCAGTCCGTAACTTAGGCATTTAGACGTGCCCAAGATTGCACGCAATTAAAGTTTTGCATTTGAATATATATTTGGACTCAGCACCTTTAGTCCTTCTCAACAAGGTATGCGTAAATTAAATCAGTAGTTTTAACAGTGACTAGGTGAGGTGCTGATACAAAATGCTTGGTATCTTGTAGTAAGAAGTCAAAATTCTTCGGATCTATTGGTCAAGATATGTTCCACTTTTTGTGAATCAGACCAAATCAGATACTTGAAAGCATATTCAATACCACATTGGTTTACGGAAAAAAGTTTTTGGAAAAATGCCACCACACTGAAGAGACAAATGTTTCGTCACATTAGAAAAAAGTCATTAATGAAAGTTGACCGTGAAATAAAGAACAAAAAACTAGCTTAATAAATCGCTCTGTATGGAATGGCAAAATGGAGTGCTTTCTACTAAAACACCAATTGTTGGTACCTGCTTACAGTGTAGTCGAAAACGCCGGACATCGTTCGCCTCTCTCGAGAACTGAGGTAATTCTTTGCATAATCGAATTTCAAACCCACACAAGAATTGTTACACGGTTAGGAGCGAGCAAAAGCGCTGACAACAAAGTTGCAAATTTACACCAAGACAAGCAAAGTCGTTTGAACTTTCTGACTTTCCTTATAAAAAAGTTTAAAATTGGTCATGATGCTTTTAGGAAATTCAAAACAGAATGAAAATTTCAAAGCCATCTATAAGCCACTATTGCGACATAAAAAATCTTTAACAAGAAATATTAAATGCTGAATCTCTGACCATCATTTTACCACTCTACACAAGATTCTAGAGGTGCTTCCAGAAAGTATTTGGCCAGAGGCACATGAAACAGCCTTCTCTATGGAGTGGGACCACCCAGGAAACAGGTAGTGAGACGTGATTGAACCTGTCTCTCAGAGAAGGTGAGCGAAGGGAGGCAACACTGAAGTATGGAGCACTTTAAAAAAGGAACCGATCTGCGTATTCAACGAACATATGCAAAGGGCAGAAGGCCTTCCCTAAGGCTCCGATTACGTGCATTTCAATGTTGACAAGCCTTTTAGAGAGGTTTGTATGCAACTATGATTCAAATCCACAGAGGAAGCCACTGATAAAAGCTTTTTTGCCAAGCTGTATGATTTCACGGGAAGGGACTGTCGTAATTTGAGAATGGAATGAAAGGAAATCGGAATAGCCATGGAAGTCACAACATTGGACGGAGAAAAATCCTGTTCCAAAGCTCATCGATGGTGAGAATTTTGTTACTTGAAAGCAATACAAATAGCAGCTCATTGTTAATTTAGACTGCATCCACATCTGCGAGCATTACTGATAGTTGTTTTGCTAAAATGTGAAGGTCGATTGAGGAAGTCCGTGATGCAGTGTTGTAAATTAGTCAGTTAGTGGGCACAAAGAACTAAAAACACGTTTCCACGTGATGGGAGGAATTCGCAACAGCAACTAACCCAGTAATTTTCAAGTCGAAAGCGGACCCAAGGAATCACCTTAACGTGAAGCACTCATCAAAATTGACATCACTGTTGAATAAGAAAAGACCAGAATTTCATATGGTTATTCCGCACTTTACAAATGCACAGATGCGTGGGTAGCCATGTCCTGTGCACGCATAAAGCGCCAGTATTCGACCCACGCTAAGACCAAATATGTCCGAACCACAATGTGTGATTGATGCATTCAATCTAATGAAAAGGCTTTCGTAAAATGGAGGCGAGGAGACGGTGTGCGGTTTTAGCAAAAACAGAATTTCTAAAATCGAATTAAATAATTAAAAAATCGATCAAGCTATGAATAGGGTGATTTAGCCGTCTTAATGCCATTCCCACCAGTGCCCCTTCCACTGCTACCGTTCGTGAGCGCCCAGAGTAATGAAATAGAAAGAATAAAAAATGCCTAAATCACCAAGACACATCAAGCATTCACCAACTTAAACATGAAAAATGAGGTAAGGGTAGTCAAACCTAAGGGAGCCTACGGTGAAGGGCTAACGAAATTGTGCGGGTAATTAGAAATGAAAGCATGCACAAGCTATTCTGTTTGATGCGCCAAGAAAAAAATGTATACAAGCTTTGAATGCGCACGCACTAATATTATATTACGGAGTAGTAGTTGAATGTGAATGAGGAAAACAAACAAGCCAATATTTGGTTAAGAAAACACTAGGTGGAATGGAATGCACAACCGCCGGTAGTTAGCAGAACAATATCCGTACTAAAAATTACCGCGAATGGTGTATAATACGAGCCCCCGCAACTAGCATCACGCTGTAAATAGATAAATTGATACCAGGAAAAGCGTCAAATTTTACTATAAAAAAAACATTCCCACTAGTGGGAGGTTTGGCACATTCGACGCAAGGTCACCGTTGCCGGTATTCGAGAGAAATTAACAACCGAGGTTGAGTGGATGAGGTCACGCTTAATCATCAAGTTCGCAAAAAAGGATGCGAATTGCGATATTAATAGAGAGGGAGATGATTCAGTCAGTACTTTTGAAGACAGAGATGCAGGTGAAGAAAGTTGCATCATTAGTGAGAGGATTCACAGTGCATTCGAGGTGTAACGAATGGAAATTCGACCGAATGAAGAGATGTGAGAGAAACCAACATAATTACAGTTACCTAACACATAGGAAGCAATTGATGAGCCAAATTCGCAACTTCATTTGTAAATCAGCAGTAGTAGAGCTGGCAGTATTAACAGTAATACGGCACTATTATACCCTTAAGTATCAATCGCTCTCAAAATGCAAATCATGAGAATTAACGCGTAACATCAATAATAGGTAAGAAGCAAATGACCGTTTGTATCCAGTTAGCCCAAGTATCTCTTATTACAGACGCAAAAAGGTGCAGTACACACCTAAAACAATGCAACCGCGTTTACAGCATAAACAATCTAGTCGTCTGCATGTCACTTGTTTGGGTTATTCAATAGGATAGATATTCGAAGCAGTTAGCAGTCTTAAACAAAATATGCAAAATGCAACACAAATTAAGGGCGAGATTCACATACATGAAGCCATCTTGACCCATCAAAAGGTTGAGTAAGGGTGATTCTGTCGCCAATGTTGAAGGAGAGGGGTTTGGGACGCTTTGACGTGTCACCAAATGCACCAGGAGGTGGAAGTGGGGGTGGGGGTTCACCCGAGTAGGCGGCTACAGCGGTGATCACAGTAGTCTTCGCTGTAAAGACCTCTCCAATGGCCTCAAAAGAGTTCGAACTATTGCGAAGGTGGAGAGAAGAGCTGTTAGCAGAGTCAGTGGAGACGGAGCTGGTATTGCGCGAGACTCGATGGTGTTGCTGAGATGAGTGATGCTGATTTGCAGGGGAAAGTGCCGACGACTGTTGAGGAGGGGTTGAAATTGAGCCGATGGAGGGTCGAAAAACACCGGGAATGTGACTGCCGCGATGGTAGGTATTTCCTCCATTGGCCACCAAAATGGAAGTGTGAGGAGGGAGAAGAGTCGAAACGTTTACCAGACAGGCTTTGTGTGCAGCTAAACCGGTTTCTACAAAGTAAGCATGGATTTTGCCCTTACTACCCACAATCCCAATGCATCATTTTTGGATCATAATGGGGGATCACTTTTGCAATGTAAACATAGACTCAAATGATTAGGGAGGAGGAAGTCAAAATGGTGTAAAATTTTTTCAAAACTTGCACAAATTAGGGTAAACCAGAAGGCACTAATGGTGTGGATACCTAAAAGTGATGGAAACACTAACAGCATAAGAGGTGGCCACGAGATGCAACTTTGCGTCCAGACACCAAGGTCCTGTTAGCATAGTGCACATCTTTTAATCGTAATTTCCAGCTGTGTGTAAAATTCACAAAGTTTGCATTTGGTTGAATGAAATCCGTCTGTCATTGATGCAATTCTTTGATTTGGACATTGACTTTTAGGCCAAGGTGTTGGTAGGTTTTATGCATGTTTACCTCTTTGCAAATGTTAATTGGGTGATTCAATCAGTGCAGCACATTTACCAGGAGAGTGTCTCAATAACGAAAAGGGCTAAAGTCGCAAACAAAGTCACTCCTGAGGTAATAAACCAAGTGGAGAACGTTAACCCAATTTAACAAATTATTTGGACGACAAACAAAATATCCAGCTTCGGAACTAAATAACGAGTTAACAAAGTGAAAAAGTGCTAATTACCTCTGCATTGGTATCCCTGGTAGAAAACGCCCTGAAGTAATTTTTTACACATGCAACAATAAGTTGTTTGCTTGAAGGTGGCCATTTCAAACTGATACCCGTTGTCCTTGGCGCCGGGAGGGAACTGATTACTCCTAAAATACACGATCGACCATAATCAGCGCTTAAAGCTACAGGCGACATGATTCGCAGTGTTCTAGCTTCGGCACCATGTCTAGAAACAAGTAAACTCTTCCCAATTATTGTATTTCAATGAGATTCATACCTAGTGCTGACACAATCTTTGTATACGAGTTTTCAATTGCTAATGCAATCAACAGTAGGCAATGGAGGCAATTCGTGACAGACAGAACTCCAAATAGCGCAAAATATATGAAGAAGGACACTCACAACGCCGTTTCAGTGGCCTTAATCCATGCATTTCGAAACTCCTCCGATTTGGCAAAGAAGGTCAACTGAACGTCTTCATCGCGTTCACCAGCCAACGGAATGATGAACTCGTAGGGAAACTAAGTGCGAATGGCCAGTTATGGCAATTGAAAGTCACGATGCGGTGGGCAAAGCACTAGTGAGAAATGGCTTGTGTTTGATGAGCCTGCCACTACGGCTTTGGTATTATTTATTTAAACGAAGAGCTTGAGGGGCCACTTTGAACCAATCATGTGTTTTGGGGTTTGAAGAGCAAATCATAAGCAAGCAGTGACAACACCCACCTTTCCTCCTTTCTTCGACGGTAGGCCGAGAGCATGAGGTGAGCCGTTCACTATGTGATAGGCGGCCATGAAGGTATAATTATCCCCCTAAGTACATTAAGACTGTTAATTGAGCCATCCATCATGGCACGATGTTCAAAAATGACCATCGCCCAGAATCACAGAAATCAGTGTCTACCCGAAAACACTTCACTTACTAAATTTGTAAAAGGTGGTACCTGAACCAAAATTGAAGTAAAAGAAGCCATCTACGAGAGTCAGGATGACAATTCATAAGCCAGTGCTTGCTGAGCGGAGTGGTTTTAAGAGAGCCAAAAAATAACACCGGTGGTACTTTACTAAATGACTTTCCGCAAAAAGAAATCGGAACGCCAGCGAAGCTCTGGCAGTGATACCTAGATTATGCAAAAAAGAAGTTGAATTGGATGATGATGATGATGATGATGATGATAGATGCTGTCTTCATGGATCACCTTAGAACCGTTCGAAGACTTCTGAAGGAGCTAAATACGGATGAAGTACAAAATCTCATTATGCAGGTTACTGGACTGAAAATCACAAAACCGACGGATTGTGAGCTGATGATAATACTGAATCGAGAATACGGAACCCAAGATTCAAGGACAAACTTCATTTGCAACTTCAACATATTTTTGGAGTAAGAAGGTCTAAAGGACTAAAACCACCAGCGAGAGTGCGATTGATTAGAAGCATCTCCCCGGAGATCAAGAGGAGAATGGAGTAGGAGAACACTGAGAGAGTTGCACGAGAGTTTTGGTGCCGGCCGAAGGTAATAAAAAGCACTAGTGTTGAAGCACTTGCAAAATGGTTCAATATTATTTGCAATAACGGGTGACCTTTGAAAAAAGGTAAAAGTACCAAATACAATAGTGGTTTTTCAAGAAAACTTGAGAATGAATACCGACCCCGTCAACGACAAGGATAGGGAAGTTAGTTAATTATTTAAAAGTGTGTCTTAGACGTCCTTTTCATGGTCAACATTCAACGCTCAAACATGTTTAGTCTGGATAAGACAGGCGAGGTGTAGTGTTGAACAATATAGAGATTGAAAGAACAATCCCTCAATTTGCTATTAAAAACAGTCCTCTACCTAAAAAAGTCAAATAATTTTATTAGTCACTCATTGACACGTAGTACATACAATAAAATGCGAGGATGAAGATAGTGTTATATCCTGCATCCACCATGGCATATGAGGTTGGGAATAGCACTGGTGTGTGAATAAAAGTGCGGTCGTTTCTGGGGTGCAATGGGGAAATATCTTGATCGATTGTTGCCTTGACCCAAACTATCAGATTAACTGTGCCAGTGGGAACTATGATTGCTCCAAATTAAACCTCTTAAAATGGTTCCACTCAGAAGGCGTAAGATACGCGAAACTAAGAGAGGGATTAGACCCTATTTTCAGGGTTCGTGTTACAGATGAGACTCCTGCCATCCCGTTAAAATATGACAAATGACACAGGAATAATTTGTGCTGACTGTTTCGCACCCAAAAAACAACGAGCTCAATTTTTTTTACCCTGAACAATTAGTGATGATAGAAGGCCCATGAGAGGTGGGTCGCGATAGTTTCGGCCAATTAATACGACTTGTGATTAGTCACATGGAGGTGTGGGCGTGGAGGCTGGCACGGATAAGGAGCTACACCATTGCAGGAACGAGAGATCACAGGATCTAAGTAAGCTAGCTAAATCAAAATAGAAGGAAACTATACACCAAATTTTAAATAATTGGCTGACCTTTCAGCATATGAAAAGTGGCATTGCAAGGTAATGATCACCTAAACGCTACTCCTACCGGCGTGTACAAGTAACGAAATCGTCCAGATTAAGTGCATACTCAATTAGCAGTAACTTAAATTTCCGCGACCGGTGGACGGATGCTGAAGTGCTGACATGAAAACAGAGATGAAAAAACCAACCGAAAATTAGTAAAAAGTTGCTAAACGGTGATAGGGCCTAGAAGGCCTTCAGTGATCCGCCGATAAACGTAATGAACCTCGAAGACTCCCCTCATCACACGAATTCAAGAAGATAGTACTGGCTACCCTAGATGAAGTATTTGAAATGAGACCACCAGAATGCAACGTTAAATGAAGATCGTGAAAAATTTTAGTTTAGATAAAGAGAATTTGCGATAAGTATGCTTAAGTAAGGCCTCAAAATTCAAAGAACACAATTAGATGGAGAACAATGGGTCAATCAACCGTAGAATGCAACCCAAAGCGCAAACACCGCACCACAGAGAACTTAAATCTGAAGGGATGATAACGCTTAAATATCCAAACCCCTGCCTTGAATGGGATAAGCAGTGTCTGGTTAAGACCACAGCAGCAAAAGCGCAAAAGGGGGTTAGGAATTGAAGAAGCAAAGACTAGTGATGATAAAGAGGATCGTGCTTCCTGAGCCGAAGCGTTCACTCTGTTGGTTACCTTAGAGTGATTCGGTACTCCCCCCAAGACGTGAGATGTGCGATCGACAATGTTTTCCTGCACCTGGAAATGACGTCGCAATCGTTTAATAATTGGGGGACTGACACCGTCAAGATTGACTGACGAGTAACTAAATAATTCCTGATGGAGGAGAGGATGGCGTCTTACATGCACGAGGGGCAAAACTATGAAAAATCAGCTCACTGGCCGAGCATGGAATTAGTTGAAGTAGTGTGTCTAAATGCAATTATTTTCAGCTAGAATGTAAACCCTCGACACCAAATTCATAAAACTTCAGATGTGCAACTTAAGGCAAAAGGTTATGCTTAACCCTGAGGGCGACAGAACTGTGGCCTAAACTTCGGAGCCAATTACCGTGGGGATGGGCAATGACGCAGAGCAATAGGGTGGGAAGGTGGATGGGGTGGGAAACATGTGTGCTAGACTTAGTCACTAGCCAACACGGCAAACCGCAACAACCTCCACATACGTGCATATGACAGCGATGCACATTACATCAAAGTCCGGCTTGGCTGTGCGAGACAGGAGCAGTGATTATCAAATCCAAAGTGAAAGACACAATTAACAGGGAGACAGTTTTGTTTCTTTAATTCTAAGCTCTCAAATTAAATATGCTAAAAAAGAAAGCAAAATAAATGTTCATGTGTGGATTGCATTTGCTAAGAGAAGGAAGTGGAACAAAGCATAATGAAATTGTTCAACAGCAATGCTGTACAATAGCACCTTCTGCGTGAACTTTGCGCCGTTGTTTACGGTAGTCAAACATGTGTACCCTTTATCATCGGTTGACACCATGTTAATAAAAATACCGAGCTGTGACAATGGCCGCAGTACTGGCTAAGCTAAATCATGCTAGGCGGCTGAAATCCGGACATGGACAATGTGGTCTCTTTCACAGCTAAAAACTGGTTGCGGACACGCTTTGGGTAACCATATTGTCTTAGAAATGGGGAGAAAATATCGAAAACGGGAATTTGCAACTTACCTTCGATTTGCACAGGAGAAGGATTTTGTCAAAGAGGAAAACATATCTGTAAGTGTGAAAAAGGAAGAACAAGTTAGAAGTGTTAGGTGACGGATGGGGCGGCTGATTTGCATTTCACAAAATCCATCCGTGTGTGGTATTAAAGAACAATTTCATCAACATGCAGAAAACCAAGCTAATGAAAAATTGTGAATACTCATCCAAACATAGCCAATTTCAAATCCCAAAAAGGAGGCCTATTTATACGAACGCAAAATGTTCGTTGAGGGTAAAATATAGTCCTCAGTGGCAAAAAACCCCTTGGAGTACTGTACTTTTGAAATGCGTGTGAAGTTAGATTGAGAGAAGGACTCCAATATGATAAAACAACGAAATCACAACCGTAGTTGAAAGCAGAGATCCCCCTTATTAAATACAAAAAAATGGTAGACAGTGGAATGAAGCATTCAATTTACTAAGCCAACTAACTTGACTACTATTTCTGGAATATACTCGTCAACTCCCAACTACTATGAGCACCGCTAATGGCACGAGCCAAAGGAATGACACGCAATATAGACTGATTGGACAGGGAGAGCAAGGAAGAACACACGCAATGGAGGTTAAGTGGTCTCAGCTTAAGTGATGCAAATCAAGAAAAGAACATAAAGTTGACAGATCGGAGAAATAAGAAAGCCGAATTGTGACAGTGCGATACCCACACATGAACACATAGTTAGTAGCTGATGTAATCAACAAATCAAGTCACAAAAATCAGAATTACATCACATGGATGAGAGCAAGAAAGCCATCGACAATGCACATAGACGCTGTTTGGGAAGTGAAGTAGCCGCACGAAATTAGTGAATGATAACCATAAGTCGGTAAGTTTGCGGATTTCAATTAATAAATGCACAGACACGCCTGCCTAAACAGCGAGATGTATTTTCGAACTTATGGGCGCATTGGATGGAAGCATGTGATACGTTGGTCTACTTGCCACTGATCAAAAGACATTAGGGCGCTGATCAAACTAAATTAAGATGGCTGCGATCCGATGAGCCGGTTTTAACATCCTAAAGGTCTGGGGACAAGGAGCAATTATTTCCTTGCATAGTAATGAAAAAGATAGGGGTCTAGACTCAAGGCAGCAAAATAATGCAGTCAAAATCACTTCCAGAATCTTTTGGATCAAAGATTGCGCTTTGCTTCGAACAGGAGATAGACAGCAACTCTGTTGATACCTGTGATGCACTCCGATTGATGACTCAGTTGCAATGAATTATAAAGGACGTCTCAATTCATGAGGCACTTGGGGAGTGAGGGTGGAAACGCGTGATTATTCCCTTGCATCACAATAGCTAACTTAGACTGTCACGCCAACCTAACGAACTTCCATTGTGTTTTGCACAGACACCCACGTATTTAGTAACGTGAGAAGAAGGATTTGTAGTGTTGAGTTGGATGGTTACAAGGGCTACCGGCTACAGGTCGAAAATAGCAGGGCATCTTATGCACACTACCACTGAATACGCCAATTAGCAAAGGGGATAGGTGTTTACATTTAAAAGCCCATCAGCAACAGTATTGGCAACAGATAAATTCAAGTGGCTTGTAATGTAAACAAACATTGAAAGATATAAAAAA